CAAACTGGCTCTAGCTTCCAGCGTACATCGGCATTGCGCCGTGGCCAGATATTCTCCGTCAGCTCTAACTTAAAGGGAAACTCCACTCAAAAAGTCGACCCTATCGAAATGACTGATATCGCTTTAGGAGGTCAAAATGCGGTCATACCCAAAATATCACGTCAAACCGGCGCCGCGTTACCGATTAAAACCAATATTAAAAATGTTCTCCCGGCTCGGTTAGCGGCCCGAAAGCGGGTGAGCAACGCTGGCACCGGGTGAGCTAGTGAAGCAACACTGGGCAATGACGTAGGTCTAGTCCTACGCTCTCGTACGGACGCCGCGAACGCTTCGTTTCCCGTGGCATCCTGCGATTCTGCTGACGGCACGAGGTGTTTACCAGATTATCCTGTGTTCTCCTATTTTTATTAGCGTCCAGGCAGTTCCTTTAATTCCCGCATTGCTTCCGCGACAGCGCGGAAGAGAGCGAAGCGGTGCTGCTCGCTCACGCGCGCGTCGTGGAGCCGGAGAGATTTGCCGGTCTCGCGTTGGGCAATGACGAGCAGGATTTATAGTGCTGTGGGTTGCACCAACAACCCGGTGCGCAACCCGGAGCTGCGGTTCTACCAGTTCCCAAGAGACCGGAAGAGGCACAAGGTGTGGGTCGGTGCCGTTCGCCGGATAGACTTCGGAAGACCGTCGACTCCGAGCTCCAATGCGAAGCTCTGCTCCCAGCACTTTACGTCAGACACCTACACACGGGATCTGCGGCTGCTGACTGTTGCGGGTTTCACCACGAAACAGGCGTCTTTGAAGAACGATGCGGTGCCGTCGCTGTTCGCGTACCGTCCGCCGGATGCTCCAGCACGATCGGCCGGACGCAGCATGTCGCGGATGATCTAACTATACTTCGTCTCACCCTACGTTGGACTAAAGGCAGAAGCTACGAACCGCCCGATCCAATCATGAGTCACTTAATCGCCCGGTATTTCGCTTCGATGCACGTATCGGTGCATCACTGAGAGATATGGGCGTACTGTGGTTATTATCAAATAGCACTGAGTGACTCATCAGTTTTACATTGCGGAGAAAGCCACGATATACAGGCTCTTTACAGTGCCGAAGCTATAGAAATGATGCAGCGCTCTTTGATTCAGAGCATTATTCGTCTACCCCTAATCAATGTTAGGCATGTTATAGATTAGCGTGGAACGTGATTGGACCTGGCGGCCCGTGGCTTTGGCCTTTAGTCCATCGTAGGATGAGACAAAGTATAGCGTGCACAGAAAGGCACCTTGGCTTTAACAACTTAGACCACTTGTGGATAGATCTGTCCATATACTCCCATTATTTCGTTTTCTCAGTCCGCGCGCAAGAAACAAATACAGTCACGCTGCACCGGCACCGACCGCGTCATATTTATAGCAGTCGAATTCGCTTTTCGGCCGGCAAATTTATAAATACACACTAAAAATTACTACATTTGGTGCATGTTAACAAAGTGAAGCGGTAAAACAAGAAAATGTGCATCTAACCTTTTGTTTTGAAACTCCACCTGCGACTGAGCCGACCTTGTCGGCGCGTCGGCTCAGAAGCGCGGGACTAGAACTATGTCATGCCGACGACGCGCCACTAGTATCAGTGTTGCCAAGCTGCTTCAACCGGTAGTTTCGGTTTCGCCGTGCCGCCGGACCGATTCTTGCATTCGCGATATCTACAAAACTATACACACTACCGAAAAACAAATTATATCTCGTGATTCAGGGTCGCCGGCTTCGACTAAACAGATCATAACCCGAAAATTGTAAAAATGGAGTGGAGTTGCCCTTTAAAGATGACCTAGAGATGCAGCAACACTGGTATCAAGTTTTAACATGGCGGCCCCCACGGAGCGCCGTAAATTCTGAGGAGGGTGCATTGGAAGCGGCGGCACCTTCCCCCCCCCTGACCGAGACCGAGCTAAATGCGACAACAGCGCCACTCTTTTTCGTTTGTCTGTACTATGGTCACCTCGAGCTTTTTGAAAGCCTGTTTTTTGCGTAAAAACAAACGGAAAAGACTCTTTTTGTATGAAATTTATTGGAGTTTAGTACCAAATGATGGGCGCGTGATGTTTTTATCATCTTTAGTTCGCAAGGTTTTACGGAACAATTAATATTGTTTTTATAAAACCATGCCTCAGCGGGCCTTTCAGGTAGCGCGTCCCGACCTAGGTGCATTTTAATTGCGAGCAGAGTCGACTTGGCTGGCGTTTACATTTGGGCGATGGGTAGAACTGAGGGCGAGAAGAATGGACGGTGGTTTGAACGGCGAGGGCTCGTTGGCTCTAGAGAACTCGGGTTGCGGGGAGCAATTTGGAAGGAAAGAACGGAGCGGGGGCGGTAGAGGGGATGGAAGAATAACAGATGGCTATGGTTAACATATGCTCACATTAGTAACGTTGACTTGCATTCTCCAGCAGTGTTGCCAGGTCTACTGATTTATCAGTAGATCTACTGATTTCTAGGGGTGTCGCGAACTTTTGTCGAACCGGATTTTTAGGTCGAACTTTCGGGGTTCGACTGGGTCGAACCGGTTCGACGAACCTTCGAACTTTTCACCAGATTCGACCGGTTCGACTTTGCGGACAGTGTGGCCAGACCTTGATAGATGCATGTCTAGGTTTGGAGAATTTATTTTTATGCAAATGGTTATTTTATTTTATGAACAGTTGGAATTAAAAGAAACCACTTCTATTCACTAAAGACGTTAATAACTTAATTTTTTTTGTACTGTATTAACTGAAATAACCAACCAGTGGTGCCCTTAATTCATCCATTAGCCATTACCATCCAATCCGAAGCCAACTGGCCAGCCTGTCGCGCATGCGCACACGAGTCGAACCTCAATACAAGGTTCGTCGAAATTTCCACGAAAAGTTCGAAAAAGTCGAACCAGGTCGAACTCGAACCTCGGCCGGTTCGCGACACCCCTACTGATTTCGTTCCAGGTCATAGAGATCATATACTAAATCTAGAGGAAAAGGTCCGCCATTTTCCCATACATTCTGGCTGCCGCAAGCGGCGCACCATGCAGGCAGACCCTCTGGGTCCCAAACACGGTTACATCATCAGAGCAGTTTCGTGAACTTCAACAATCCACGAATTTACCGGTGGAAAGATACTCGCGTTCTTTTCGAAGGTTTCTTTTTGCATAGCGCGCAGATGTACGGCCTCGCGTTAACGCTAAACTAAACCATATACCCGGCTTCGCTGGTGGGGCGCGGCTGGGCGCGGTTGAGGAATACGAAACTGCGCAACCACCAGATTTCCGAGATTTCGACAGAAGGGGAGTTAATGCAGCGTAATGACTTTATTGCTTTTTATAAGCGTTAGAATAGCTCAGAATTTAGTTTACAACGTTAAATTATCACTGTTTATATTGCTGAGAGTTTTCACTCTCCGTGTTTACCATGGCAACGTTGCTTTCTTTCTCTCGTGTTCTGTCGCTCTCTTTTGCGATCGTTCACTCGGGACCCAGGATGTCGGCGCACGGGATTTGCCACTCCTCCTCACCCACCTTTACCCCCCTGTTCCAGGTCTACTGATTCACTGAAAAAAAAAAGAAAATCTACTGACTTTTTTTGTAAACATATTGAAATTTATTGTTTCGCCCCTTCAGTTCCTAGGGTCGCCCGGCCATCAAAGGAAACTCATATTCTCCCAGAATTAAAAACGAAGCACTGGCTAGATGGCCCAGAAGCCCGTCCTATTCGAGTGACAGCCGTATATTCATCTATTCATTCACCCTAAGCAGGTTCGACGGTTCAACTTTACGTTGGACCCGTTGGACGGTTCTAGAGCACTATATAGCTCCTATATAGCTCCTTCGGAGCAGAGTAGCGCAATCTAGAACGCCGCCTCTCGGCGACTAGCGGCGAACGCCCGGAGGTTCCAACTGCGGTCAGAAATGCATGGAGAACGTGAGAAAATCGTTGTTTCTCCAGTATTGTGGGAATGTACGGGATCGCAATCATTTTTGACATAATAATGGAACACTTTAGAATACTTTGCGCTAAGTTTTGTGCCCCGCAAGGACCTGACTTTTTTTAAAAAATTGCCTGAGCGGCATCATGCAGCAGACGACACGGCGACGTCACACCATTCACGTGACCCGCTCCGGCCAACCCGAAAAGCCCATCTCCGCTGCGAGCAAAAATCGTCTGCTTCAAACGCCATTGCCTTGGAAATTGCCTTCTCAAAATTTGCACACGCATCCGATATTGTTAAAACTTTGATAAAGTGTTTAGTGTTTTACTAACTTCACGACAGACTAGTTTTGAAAAGTGTGAACTCGCCGTTCATTTTTTAATCAGCCGTGTTGAGTCGATCTCCATGTATTCTCCCATAGGGCGGGCCGCCTCTTGGAACCCTGAGTACCACGTGACTCGCGCCGAGCCGCTCTGTCGGCCATGTTGTCGGCGAAACACGGGGTTCAAAGGATTGCGTTACTCTGCTCCGCAGGAGCTATATAGTGCTCTAGACGGTTCGACGGCGACATCCGGGCCAGAGCCATATATGGTGAGAGTTTGGCCAGTCTATGATCTCGCCGCTGTAACGCCCTCCTCCCAAGTGAGCCAATCAGCCCGCGGCGCAGAGCGAGAGGCGTGAGCGCATGCGCGTGAACTCTCGGCTGTTTCCCAGCCATATGCTCCCAGCCCTCCCAGCTGAGCGGAGAGGGCCGCCATTTTCATTAATTCGCCCGGCGGAATGCATGGGATCGACATCCAAATCTTGGTTCTTTACTTTTATTTGGCAGGCTCTGGCAAGAAAATGGTATAATTAATGTTAATCCTCGGTGGCTTAAGAAGCTAACGAATTAAGTTCCTCCGCGTTTGAACGCAAACTTTGAGTCAGGCGAAAAAGAAATAAGCCCGTAGCAGACGACGCGTAGCCTCAACAGTGCTCCGCGCCGACAGAGTTGCGTCAGAAACCTTCCACAGCCCAGTAAGGTAAGGTGGCAGCTTGCAGAGGACTTCCATTATCCATACTGGTCTTTTTTTTTTTTTTTTTTTTTGTGTTTTTTACCATTTTATTTGTTACTCGATACTATTTCTTCGAAGTGTGGTTTAATGGAAATAGGAACACATGGCAAAACACCGATTTCGTAGAATCTACTGATTTTTGAGCAAAACCACTGACTTTTTGGGGATGAATCTGCTGACTTTTTTCTTCTCCGTCTGGCAACACTGTTCTCCAGCAAGATGGCTTCCAGCGAAATGGTGCGGAATGCCGGTAGCAGCTCAAACAGCTCGGGCCTCAGCAAGTGGCAGTATGCGTTGCTTTTTGGAACGCCGGTTGCCGCTGGCCTGGCCATCTGGTACTACAAGAGGACACGAGACAGAAAAAAGAAGCCGTCAGACTCTGGCAGCGGGAAGAGTGCCAAGTCGGAAGACCGGACCCTCTCGCACAACTCTCGCAGTGCTACCGATGTCGAGGTGAGTCCTTGAGAATATCGGCTAGGAGATTACTAAATTAGGGGAGCTTTAGAGGAGCATTGCCTTTTAAATTAGAGGTGCATTACCGGGTTTTGTGGATTTTATCTTTTCTTCGGTCAGCGATCATGCACCACGCCGTGTGCTTCGTACCGGTCCGCACGTTGTGCAAATCCTGGAAAACGAAGAAAAAACTTCCGCAGATAAGCTAACCTGTGTTAAAGCATACCATCCCTTATCACAGCAGAACCCCTACGAGAAGGCGAAGGCGTTCAAGAACCAGGGCAACAAATATTTCAAGGGAGGCAAGTTCGATAAGGCTATCGAATGTTACACGGAAGCAATCAACATCTGCCCGAAGGAGCACGTGAGCGAGCGCGCCACCTTCTTCCAAAATCGCGCCGCTGCCTTTGACAACCTGGTGAGCCTGAGAGGGAGCTTGGGGAAGTGGGGCCTCTTTCTGTCAAAATCTGCAACACGAGTTTTCTTGCAGAAAAATTACAAAGAAGTTATCTCTGACTGCAGCAGAGCCATAGAACTGAACGGCACTTACATCAAAGCACTTCATCGAAGGGCTAAAGCCTACGAGCTGGTCGACGAACTGAAGAAATGCCTGGAAGGTGAGAGCAGCCTGATATTGGGGGCATTTATGTTTATAATCTGTGCGAGAGGGCGAGCATGAGTGTAGACGTGGGTTTTGCTCAAGATCACCTGTTCACTTTTCATACAGCTATGCACATAATAATTATTGTGATGGTTTCTTTTTTTTTTTTTAAGTGTGTGTGTGTGTGTGGGGGGGGGGGGGGGGGGGGGGGAAGATAGATGGGGTTGGGATAGCGATAGCAAGACCCAAAACTATATTAATAACAGCAGTGATTCCAACGAAGAGACCCTGATAGTTTTTGAGGCATTGGAAAGGCAATGTTCATCATGCAAAACACACTTTTTTTTTCTTCCTGTAGACATTACAGCTGTCTGTATCTTGGAAGGCTTTCAGAACCAAAATTCACTAATGGTCACTGACCGGGTGCTGAAAAAGCTGGGAAAAGCAAGTGCCAAGGAGATTGTGAAGGTGAGCGCAAGCAACAGGGTCACTCACATAAAAAGTGACGAGGCACAAAACCATTCAGAGTCTGGACTATTTCATGTCCCTTTCCATCATTTGTCCTTTATTTTGGAGTTGTATCCATCCACTGCTTTAATATTTACAAATTCACATCTCAGCATGCACCCCTTCTCCGAAAGCATGTTTTTAAAGCTGCAATCTCGAGCCTGCGGCCCTCACTGTCCTCTAAGCTTAATGGTGCATAGACAATGTTCTTTACCTTGCCTTTTTAAGTTTGGTCACAATCTACCTGTCAAATCCTGTACCAGCGCCCACCCAAACTGAAGAGATAAATGCTAAAACATATAGGGATGAAAAAGAAAAACTTCATCAAAAATTAATGATAAACACTGGGGCATCCGCTACAAACCATGCTACTTGGGAACTGATACCGCAGATCGTGGACACGCCAAATTCGCGTTTCACAATGCGATAAATATGAGAAAATTTGCCACGATCTCCTGTGCCATGATACCGCAAACACCGTGGATGCAGCAGTTTTGTGTCTCACAGTGCAAAAAACTCTCAGAAACTGGCTACAAAGTTGCAAACCACGGGAACCAATATCGCGTGTGCGGATCGCGGTAAAAAAATGCGTGAACTCTACGAACTTGCATGCAACGGGAAGCAATATTGCATCCGCAGATCGCGGACATATATGCGGGAACCCACCGCGAACTCGTTTGTCACGCGTACCGGTGCCGCAAATCGCGCAGTTAATGTGATTCCCGTCCAACATCGCACAATTTCCAACGGAAATCAAGGGGTGAGCAATGTCTCGGAATTTCTATGTTATGGGTATTGAGCCAGAAAAACAGTATGGGTAATCTCTCGGCGGGGAGGGTGCCCTTTCGGGATTTTACGGTACTTCACAAAGTCTAAGAAGTAACAAATTGTTTGTACGCACGTCACTTTTCTATATAAAATATGCTGTAATAGTCTCAAATAGTCTTCATTGTGCCGAGAAATGGGAGGCAACAAACTCTTGCCTTCCTTTTCTTGGAGTGCAAAAGAAAATGGGTATAACTTTTATCACCCAGTTTGTATAGAAGTAGGATGCATGTACAAATAATTTTGACTAACTTTGTGAAGCTGGTAGATTATGTTAAAGCCATAAGAAGACTGCTGCATACGCCATAAACTGCTGCAGTACACCTCTACCCTTTTAAGTACCACACCCGTGTATACTCGGTTGCACTCCTGTGCACACCCCCTGCTGCACCCAATTATGCTCGTGTGGTTTTAGTTCATTTGCTCCCTGCCACTTCTAACCGGTCTAGAAATTTTTCTTTTACGTGTAGCGCCATTGATGAGCAAGCGATAAAAACCACATTTTTTCTTGTGTTTTTTGTTGGCGGCATGTGAAAAATTTTGTTTAAGCGACTTTCGTTTCGGCTTGCTCCTTCCTCCAGAAGGGCAAGTCTACATTTTTCAACCTTGCGCTTAATGGCAAACTCCATCTTTTGCACAGTCATTAGTTGCAGTTCATATGTAGTCTCTACTACATATGAACTGCAACTAATGACTGCGCAAAGGATGGAGTTACAGACCTGAATAAAAAAAATAACGAGTAAAGCCATTTAGAAAGTGACCTTGGGGTGCGAGGTCAAGGTGCCACCTTGCACGGTACCGTGTCTCTTAAAGCACAACATGAGGAAGATGTCCTAAGTTGGAGGCATGCTGACATCAATCAACTTTGAGCCATAGATCAATTTGTTTTTGATAAATAAATGTAATTCACTAAGCGTGCTACGGTGTTATTAAGATTAAAAGTTGCGTTCGGCATGCGAGGGAAAAAAAGATGTGGCATGGGGTGCACTTCGGCGGAAAAAATACTTGGCACTTGAAGGGTTGAAGGTAAGTGGATTATAGGTTCTAACCATACTTTGCTAATTGGGTTAGGCATGTACTTTGTGGAGTCGATTTTGAGAGGAGCGAACCAGCTCTGACAGCGTCTGCGGGTCCCTTTGCAGACGAGGAAGCCGACCATGCCCTCGAAGCACTTTATCCGCAACTACTTTGTGTCCTTTTGCGAGGACCCCATCATTGAGGCAACGCAGGCCTTCCGCCAAGGAAAGGCACCCCAGCCGGAAGACTCAGAGGAGCAGAAGAGGTGAGTCTATGGTCGTGACAGTCACTGCCTCAAAGCCGGAGGTGGCATCGTATTGCTCATGAGAGCTGTTCCACCTTAGGGGAAATGCAGATTGGTTGCGCAGTGAGGGAACAAGATTTCTTTTAATTTTCAGCATATGACTTTTGTTCTAGAAAGAGCAGAGAGCTCTACACGGTTGAAACAAACATTACTAGATCAACTCAGTTCTGGAACTGTCTATAGATGCTGCTTCTATGTGTCATACCACCCTTATCACTCGGAGGTTTGCCTCCCGTCGTTCAAAGCACCACGATTTTGGAGACCGCTATTATAGCAACTACTGAATATTCGTAGAACACACAGGTTTTTGAAGCACAGCGTGTAGATGGCTCTTCACCACAGCCTTTCTAGTGACTGCAGTTTTGAATCATAGCCACTAGGTAGATGGCGCATTGAACAATAAATAGTTGAAGCCCCTTGAAAAAATTTATGCTTCTCATGTTTTCCAAGTACCGACAACCGTTGTTGTGCGAATGCACAGGACATGTGCCATGAGCGGGTGCTGCACCTCAGTTTCTTTTCTAAGGCCGCTCATTTCAGTGCTGCGCCGTAATTGTCTTCCTAGAGAGCTGCACAGGGCATGGACCTCCCGCACTTGCACGTTTGATGCTGCTCATAAAAACAAACACCAATGCATCAATGCATTTTATAGGTAGTGGCCTCAGGAGAGGAGAAAGGGGGTTTGCTTTTCCACAATTAAGTTGATCTAGTAACGTTGGTTGGCCCGCACGATACATTGCCTGCATCTCCTAGTGTTGTGGAATGCGCTTTTTCGGGGGTAAAACTTGGAAGATAATATATTGTGCCCACAACTACTCTGAATGAGAACTACGCAAAAAAACTTAAGTGACATGTTTGGACTGTGTCGGGCGGTGATCACTACATGACACTTTTAGTGCTAACATGACTTCGGCACTTTTTTGCATTTTACTAAAAGAGGGTATTGACAAGCACCAATATATTTTTTTCTCAATTCAATTGGTGTTTTTTGTGAGCACACTTTACAGTACTATAAATTTTTATTTCAGTCTTTCAATTCTAAGAGAAAAAACAAAAAAACCTGCAAACCCATATTCGTGCCAACTGTGTTGCATGCTACATTATATAATCAGTGGCCTGTCTGCTAAGCGTCATTGGCAGGACCCGCTTGTGTGCAGTCATCAGCCAGTCTTAAGTGTTGCTAGCACCTTCTGCATGCAAGCAAATGCATTGTGCTTTGGACTTTTGATTGTTGTGTGATGCAAGCCTGAATCCTGGTGCCTTGGCTTACTTCGCCCGGTGACCTTTTTCATGTGGTTGCTTTCGGTCAGGGTACTGATGTATGAGAGCTTGGCTCAACTGAAAGTGATGCACTGCTCTTATGAACATTTTTTTCTAGCCTTATTGGTTATAATAACCAGATATGTAGCATTGGAGAATATAAACACACATTGCTAAACCCATTAAATTAAAGGTTGTACACTAAAATTCATCTTATAAATGTAGCCAACAATTGTTATTACTGGTAGTATGCATTTTGGTCTTGGAAAACAACCTCTCGTGTAATGGGCAGCAGTGGTTTCACCTAAGTGCTTTGGCACCTCATAGATACTGGAGCATCTGGGAGGTGCTTTTGCTATTTCCTAGTGATGGTTCTACCAAAAGAAATTTAATTTTGACAGTAGATAAACGCTTTAAAAATTGGGAGATTTTTAACGCGTTTAGGAGCTTGTGTCGCAAAAAATCCGGCGTCGGTGTCAGTGGGACCAAAAAGTTCCATAGAACAATGCGCGCAGCCACGTGTAACGTCACATGTGGCTGTAATGTCATGACCCTATCGACCGGCTAAGTTTGGTGTAAAAATTTTGCGGGAAATTTTCCCGCCAGATTTAGCGGAACACTTTCCCACCCTATTTAGTGGAATATTTTCTCAACTGATTTAGCAGTAAATTTTCCTGCAAGATTTGGCAGGAAAATTTAAATGAAAAGATGTGACATCACGTGACGTGTGATGCTTCCGACTAGACCACACACACACTTGCACAGCTTGGGAATGAGCACTGGTTTAATGAGAAGGCCTTGCGAATGGGGCCCGATAACGCTATCACGTTCCACTCTGAAAGGCGAAGCTTAAGCATCCCCGAAGTTCTTTAAAACTTGTCTTTATACAATCTGAAAATGTGCCTTCACAAAATTGATCTTTTATTTCTTTTCACAAAGAAACGAAGTAAAAAAGTGCAAAAAATATAAGTACTGGAACTTTGGAGCTGTCGTTTTATCTAGGGAATTCGGCATGTCTATAGGCAGCCTGCCTTTCTTGCTTGCGAGTTCCGCCAAATCACAGTTAGTGCAGTATTCCACACATTCTTTTTCAATGTATTATCTGCGACTGCATTTTGCGTAAGTGTCTCGAGTCTGGGTGCCGCGTTGTGTGCGATACAGTGGCTTTGCGCTGGCGGTGGAGTGCCTGGCCCGGGAGGAGTATGAGAAGGTGGTGGCCCACTGCAACGCGGAAGTGGACGGGGGAGGCAAATGCGCGGCCGAGGCCCTGCTGCTGCGGGGCACCTTCCACCTGCTCCAGGGTCGCTCCCAGGCCACCCTTGACGACCTCAACCAGCTGCTGTCCATGGACAACATCAGCAGCAAGGTGGGGGAATGGATGTGCACCCGTCACAAAGAACAGCATGCGTGCCCTTCGAGTACAGTGGCGTTTCTGAGCTAAACTTTCTGCGCCTTGTGTACCCGTCTGCGCGCAATAACTGAGGAAGCTGGCGACGTGCATCTCTTAAGTGCCTACTGTAATCGTGCATGCAGCTACATGGGGTTATGTGCCCAATGAACGTCACGTGCTGCACATTCGAATCTTGCTCGAGCAAACGCCACTTCGACGAAATTTCCGCAACGATGAGGTATCTTAAATTCCACACTTGTTTTCCGTAGAAAATAGCATATAAAAAGCCTCTCTGTAGCTAACAATTTTTCATACTCCACTTCGCTTCAACAAACATTAAAAAAAAAAAAAAAATTCAATCACTTAATTTCTAAATTACAGAAATATTAAATTATCTTTCCGTTCGATATCAGGGCTTGCAATGCCTCCAAACGGCCACTTTAAGCACAGGTGCCATGTCACATGCAGTTTTCAAAGTTGGAAACATGGGAGGATAGATGTTAACGGCTGTACCCTTTTTAACAAACTGTAGCTTGCACCACCTAACCTGAAATACTAGAAATGCATTATTTTTTACTTTCCTGGGGGATGTTTCCTCCTAGTTCGACGGTAGAAATATGCAGCTGTGTGTTTGTCCTTATCTATTGGCAGTTTGCTACGAACGAGTAACCTGACATCTGTGCTCAATTTAATAAACTTGGCAAAGTGTGATGGCTTTCTTACTGAACTGGAGCATTTTACCGTAACAACACACCCAGCATTGCACTGCTGCGGCTGTCATTGTAGTGGTTCTGATGGCCGTCTTCGGCCGCCCTTCTGCTCCTGGGTGTCGTGCAGGTGCGGGTGAACGCCCTCATCAAGCTGGGCACGCTCAAGGTGCACTCCGAGCACCTGGACGAGGCTCTGCAGGACTTTGAGAGGGCGGCAGAACTGGATCCAGCCAACGCAGACATCTTCCTGCACCGAGGCCAGGTCAGTGATACCACCTTTATGCCATACCTTTCGGTCGTTGAAGCCTGTTCAGTGGACGCACGGAGGGAGAGTCGGTATCTCCCATTACTCTCAAACGAGTGATAGCCTGCACCTCCTTTCAGTATTCAACTTTTAATGCCCCTCTAGTTTATTTGCCTGTAATTATTTCTTTTTTTTACTTCCCTGGAATCTTCACTTTAGTGTTGTCTTATTTTTTACTTTTATTTTGCATTATCCACGAGTAGTTTATTTCTTTCCTGTCTGCAACTCCTTAAAGGCCGACGACCAGACTCGAGATTCTGCAAGGCAGAGGATCCTCCTCACCACGGGGAGGAGGAAACACGCTACGGTGGACAGGGTACAAGTGGGAGAGGAGGAAGCGATGGAAAAGTGGAAAGCGCGAACTGGTCCTCGGCCTTTAAATATTTTTTTTTTTTTGTTGTAGCAGATCGGATTGCTCCCACTATGCATGTTACCCCTTTGGGGAGGGCAAGACTAAGTCTCTTGCACCTTAAAACCACACGTCGTTGCTTCAGTAGCGTCGGATGTCGTGAGTCTCAATCTCACTCGTGCCAGTTACAAACAGACCAGTCATCCTGAATTTGCGTAATCTGCTCTGTGCAATGCACACCCGGAGTTAGCAGTTGTAGTGCTTCGGCCAAGTTGGCCCTAGAGTCAGTAAATAAGATGTTTTTCAAAATTGTGCGACACTCGAGCCGTCTTGGTGCTCAAAGTCATTGTTGCCTGTCATCCGAAGCTTCATGTGAAGTCGCAGAAAGGAGGTGACTGGCCTCCAGAATTGTCAAAACAGTTCGCAGCAGAGTGTAACAATATCACATTTTCGAATCCTAACAGTCGCCAATTGCACCCACTCTGTGACAAGCTCCAAGAATGGTGGCGTCCGCCTGAACGTCGGGGAATGGAATGCCAATACTCTGAGCCAGTGGTTCTCAACGATTGATGTTTTGCGGACCCCTTGTTGATCGGCGGAGGTGATGAAGGATCCCCTTTGTGGTGAGGGGAAGAGAAAGGTATAGGTTAAATATGATATCGATTTGAGGGCTAGGGTGAAGTATCGTAGGATACTGCGCATCCGCCCATTTTACATTAAGCGCCCGCACCCAAATTTGTAAAATCTGAGGAAATATGCGCAGTACATTTATATGTAAAATTGATGACCAGCCAAGCGCCCATCCCCTGTTTTTTCGCGATCATCTTTAAATTTTGAGTGGGCGCTTGCCCGGTATTTTACGGTAGACTTCTTATTGACATACACACGAGAAAACTTGCCCGAAAATTGGAACACTTTTTCTCACTCCGAAAAAAGGCAACTTTCATTGCCGGGCTTGACTGAGTAGGCAGGGCTTGGTCCACGGACCCCTATTTGAGAACCACTGCTCTTAGCCATTCGTCCTCAAAACCGGCTTCCTAGGAATGTTCCCCAAACTATTGACGCGGGCTCCCCGAGCCCCCAAATCGATTGTGCCCTCCCCAAAATTCAGAGTTCCTGCAGTTTAAGTATTATTAAACGTGTTAGCATTTATTGCCCCAGTGCACGTTGTCATCTTTGGTTTGGACTGGACCGGATCAAACTGGCTTCGTGAGGCTGTGGCATGGTTCCCGCTGTGCTCTTCTGCTCTGTTCGTTTGCTTGTTACGTCCACTTTCCTTCTTATGTAAGAGGGAACCTTCGCGCAAATGCTGTCGCATTTCGTCGAGAATCGGCGTGATGACAGCCACGGTTTCGGCATAATTAATTTTAGTTAATTTGAGCTAATCATTGAAGCATAACAATGAGCCACGTTTTCTTCAGTTTTTACACTCCTGTTTAGAATGTCTGCGGGCTTTTGCACCGCTTTGGTGCTCTAGTGCCAAGACCGGGAGGCATCCCTCGGCTGTCGATCGAGAGGGGTTCTTTAAGATTAAGAAGTTGTAGAACCCTTGCTATAAGCATAGCCCATTTAGTGGCTCCGGTTGCCCACTATGGCAGTTGGCGTACCTAGAGGCGGACTCGCGTCAAGAAAGCATTGCCCGAAGAAATTTGTGCGAGGTGCAACTGAGGAGCGTCTGCCTTTGCCGCCGCAGGTACTGATGCTGCTGGACCGGCTGGAAGACACGCTGCAGGACATGGAGCGCACGTGCACCCTGCGACCGGACTTCCCGTCGGCTGCCGCCCAGCGCTGCTACGTGCAGTACCGGTGCGGCATGCGGGCCACAGACCCCGAGCAGCGGCAGAAGGCCCTGGACGGCTTTGCCGAGGTGCAGCAGCGCTTCCCCAACTGCCCCGAGAGCTACTTCCTGCACGCACAGGTGACTTGCACCAGGTCTGCCTAGCCGATGGGACCATTTCATGCCCAACTTAATGTTTTATATGAAGATTTTCTGCATTACTGAGTGAAACGCTGAACTCCCCTCAAAATTTTTCTTTTGTTTAAAATGTCTCAAAATATACTTTCCTCCAAAATTATGTAGGCTTGATCGTGCTGACAAAAACCAGGGAGCACAGAAGGTGTCCGGTACAAACCACACTTTGTGTGTCATTTGTGCTAGTTTTTTTCATTAATTTTAATATCTATTAAGCGATAGCTTTAAGGAGCTCGTTGTGCAGAAAAGCTGGCTTTAATGGGACGGGGAAATTCTGATTGGTCCATAAATAATCCATTTGCCTCAAAGAAAAAAATTTGAAGAATTTTGTACGGTGTCGGTTTGAACTTGCAACCCTTTAGTTGCGAGCCAGACACGCTACCCACTAGGCCACGCAGACTTTTTTTTCCTTGTCTTTATTGCATGGAAGGATAAACAATAAAGATAAACTGCTTATTCAAAGTTCACGAGCTTAGTTCAGTGTCATTTGTTAAGCAAAATGCTTTGATATCTATGAGACTACTAAATAAAGGTAACCATTCGGGAACTGCTTGAATGTCGTACACACTTGATACGAGTTATAAGATCAATGAAACTGATGACTACTTTCCGGTCAACAATGTTCGCTTATATTCCGCCACAGGTAACTAGCCGCATTTATGCCGGAGTCATCATTGATTCGAAAACTATGATTACTAGGAGTGGGCCGTCTTTCCGTGTTTAAAAGAAAATAGGCGGGTTATCCTTTGGGGGTGGGGTATCTTGGGATATTATGGTAGTAGTGGCTTTCAATGACACTGAATAAGTTTCTAATTGAAACTGTATGTTTTGTTGTCACGAATTAAGACATTGATTAACAAATTTTAGTTAAATGTCCAGTTTATCGTGATCATTAGCCCCCTGTATAATGTTTGTCTGGCCGTAAAACTAACCTGACCTTTCATGCTTATTTTAAAATAAATCTGTAAAGTCTAAAAGAAACACCCGATATGCATGCTTTGAACGTATCTGGAGACGGTTTTTGTACGACCAGTGCGACAGGAGCATCATACAAGAGGCACGCCTTAGGCAGTGTCGGCAAACTCTCTTTTGTCATGACTTTTAAACCCTGAGATTGGGAAGGAAACTTGAAGATGAATTAGAAGGGACAAGAAGGTGCAATGTGACCACAACTTATGAGCACCCACAGCAGGCAAGGAGGTCAGTCCAGGATCACGCTCTAAGGCATTGGTTGTTGGTTATTGGTGATTAGCATTTCAGCTAGCGATGTTATCAGGGTACGGACACAGGTGTTTTACTATGGAATATGTGCATGATTTAATCAAATTGTAAGCGCAGGAACGCACGTGCGTAACAATATAACCGATTGCAGTGCTTGATTTAATAGTCTGAGTTGCCTCCCATGTCCTCATGCTCACAGCTGCTAACCGAGACTCAGGAGTTTGACAAGGCGGAAGAGTACTTCCGCAAGGCAGAGAAGGCAGACCCTACAGACCCCAATGTCTACGTACACCTGGGGTGAGTGCCACGTTAGACTGGTATCTGCAGTTCATTCAACTGCATGGACTAGGTTATAAGTAGGGCTCCGTGTTTTCGGAGTTTATTTTTCGTCAAATTCAAAGGGTGTTTTTCGGAGTTTATTTTTTGCCGAAGATTCGGAGTTTATCGGAGTTTATATATTTTTTATTCCCGATTCTCCGAAATTCAGAGTTTAATTTCGCTCTGTTTCCTATTAAAAATACATAATAACCGAATGTAAACGTATGTCAGATAAAAAAAAAACGCGCTTGTATCAATTGAAATATCTTCAGTTGAATTTGGCGTTGGTGCCATTGTCATTGGCAATACTAATTTATCCATGAGAAAAGTCACGCACCAAATCAATAAACTCCCGACGGTAGTCGCTAGGAAGCTCGTGGTCGTCCCATCCTATTTTATCAATCTAGCCCGCGGCCGCGCGAGGTGGAGTGGTTAAGGAGGTAATAGAGAGTTTGAACTGCCCCTCTTCCCAATTTTATACAATCCCTATGGTCCATAGCTTTCACTGTTACAAAAACACACCCTTTCCTTTCTCTAAATCACAAATCGCATGATCCAAACTGGAAACTTAAAGAGTGGCTTTTATCGTGACCCGAATGTACAACGAGCGACCTGCTGCACTGAATCAACCTTGAAGAGACAAGCGGCAAGACCCGTTCTGAGAAGTGTCCGAGATTTGAAAGATAAGATGGTGGAATTTTTCCAGGACCATTGGCTCTGGGCTAATCAAACTGTAAAAGATAAAAAAAAAAAAAAAAAAAAACAGTTTCTTACTTTTTTTTTTTTTTTTTGCCCGGGGGGGGGGGTGTGGCATTGACACACAAATATCTGGAGTTTATCGGATAAATCCGAATTGACCAAAATTTTACCGGTGGGTGTTTTTCGGATTTATCCGAAAACACTGAGCCCTAGTTATAAGCGTGTAAGCTTTTCAGACCGCAACCCCGAAAGCCATGTGAATACTGAAAACCATTATTTTCTCTTCTGGGATATCTAGTCAATGAAACATGTTTCAGTTTTTCTGGTGTCCTTAGTGGAACTATTGAACGTAAACCCTAAACTACTAGAATATCTTTTGCACAGAAAAAAAAACAAAAAACCGCATCTCCACTTGGTGAATGATGTTGATTGGGGCGAAGCTCTGGTGGTGCTTGTCTGTGTAGACGCTGAGCCGCGGCATGCCGAGCCTTTCGTTCGTTTTTATCCATGTCACGCTGCGGTCAAATGCTCAGATGCGTATATAACCACGTTCCATACCACACATTCTCTTTCTGACATGGATGAAAACGAAAGAAAGGCTCGGCATGCTGCGGCTCACCGTCTACGCAGACAAGCACCACCAGAACTTCGCCCCAATCAACATCATTCACCACTTGGAGATGCGTTTTTTTTTTTTTTTTTCCCCTACACGAGCACGGGAGCACTCGCTCACGTGCTCGTGAGCACGAGCACCCGACTCCGGACATCGGACGAACATGGTTAGCTCCTAAGGAGCTTCGCCCCTTAAAAAAAAACTTGTTGGAGTTCTCGGATAGATTGATAGGCATGCTCTTATCAGTGTGATTTGTGGTTTTGTTAATTAAGAGTTTTTGAATCTGTTATTTATGTGGCACTGGTTATACACAGTGCGATGCGACGGGACCTCTGTATTAATCTTTGCTATCAGCTTGTGTTCATTCCAACATAACATCCTGAAGGGCGATTCATGCCTCAGCATTCAATTCAGAACGGCTGGATAGCATTACGAACTGAACACTTGGCAATGTTTCTTCGCCAAGGAAGCATGTCACCGTGACCAAGGCACGTAGCCAGAGGGGGGAGGCCTATGGGGCCTGGGCCCCCCCCCCCCCCCAAAATCTTCCATTTTGCTGGGACCTCCTCTCCCCCTCCCCCTCATACAGCATTTTGTTATGGGCGGCCCCCCCCGAAACAAAATCCTGGCTACGTGCCTGCCGTGACCGCCATGTTTCCTCGCCAAAGAAACATGGCACCCTGACCGCCCCTTGGCACCTTTCACCGTCCGGAGGTTTACGATAACTTCGGTATGTCGAGATACTGCAATGCATCATCTCATAAGCTCCTGCTGTTTCTTTTTTGACAGAGAACGGGCTGTGGCTGTTTTAAGTAAACCTAACCGTTTCCAGTTCTCACTCCAGTGACGGAACTAGAACACACGAGTGCCAGCAGGATGCCGACGCAGCACTCATCTCCTCACCAATTGAGCACAAGTGCCAGCCGAACGTCTTGCTCGAGTAGATTCGCGTTTCTCCCGCATGTCACATCACGTGATCAAACATAGAGTGATGCCATGCTAGGAGCAGGTTGATGCACACTCTACTCCTAGCACGCACTAAATGAGTGAGCTCTGGGCTTTCAACGTTCTTGCCTAACGCGCACACTTTTCTTTTTTCATCTTGGTATGCTTTTTGGAGGGCCATTCACGAGGAAGCTGCATCACAGCACGAATCTTTCGTCTTCTCCGTTCCGGCATCTCTCATTCCCAGAGTTATAAAGCGGGAGTTGCAGTGGTTCCAGAAATGGTGGCCCTGCAGCCACATCTAGCTCGACGCCGCACCACGCTCTGTGCTACCGCTGCCTTTGCTACAAAATTGTCTATAAAGAAACCCACGTCATTGTTGCTAGGCGCTATTGCAGGAGGTGGGTCTAAATGAGGTGCAGACTCATGCAGTGTGCCCGCCTGACAACGTGCTCTGTTCCTCGCAGGATCCTGCAGCTGCAGTGGAAGCAGGACTTTGACAAGGCCGTCCAGTACCTGCAGAAGGCGATCGACATGGACGAGAAGTGCCAGTTCGCCTACGAGACCTTCGGCTCCATCCAAGTGCAGAGGTGGGTCGCTTGGGGCCGGAGTGGGTCGAGGATGCCGGAGAAACTCCCGGTGATGCATGTGTGAACTAGCACCACTGTATATGCTCCCGTTGGGAGCAGAGCAGAGCCATTGATTAATGTTAGAGTTCGTCGACAACCCACGCTTCCTATTGGCTCACGGCAATCACTTGGGCAAGCTTTTCGTGCGCTTTCGCAAAAGGTTCCTGTCTTTGCTACAGGAGCACTGGTATGGTATCGGCAGTCGTTTTTTTTTGCAACATTTTGAGTGTTTGATGCCAGGGTGCTGCGCTTTCGGGTGTAATATTCGGCATGTGGGGAAAACAGCTTTTTTGTATCGCGGTGGACGAGAAGCACCGCACACGGCTACTTTTGTGGCTGTCGTGGATGAGTAGAACGGACTTCACTTGCACCTCTTGTACTCGGCTGTGCAAGGTGGGCTATATCATTGCGATAATTAGTGTAGCAGTTTGAAGAACTGAACGAACACAAACTGCAATGTTCATTCTGACGAAGATTTGTTTTCTGGATGTTGGGACGACGGCAAATGCAAGCTAGTGCAAAATGCAGTGCCTTTGATCTTCACCCAAAAGTTACGAAGGGCTCTTTTTTTTCGAGGAGCCGAGAACAAATGCATAGCATTTAAGGAAGGACATTAACCTAAATTTAAAATTTTTTTGAAAAAAACAAAAAAATATGTATTTTTTTTATATTTGAGGTTTTTGGTTTTAGAAACTAATTATATGACCTTACACTAAATTTGATAACCATACACCAAATAGTTGCGTTGATATAAAATATTTTCATCGCAGTTTTGAGGCAGTAACAGAGTATAAAATTTCAATGTGTAAATGCATTTTTCTCAGTTCCACTTTTTGCTGCAAATTTTGTATGAAGGAATTTTTTTTCGAAGGTAAAAGTATTCTGATACCACAAATCAAGATGTTTCTGAACTGAAATTTACTGGAGAATTGGGCTATCTACTTTATTTTGTTTTAAGTTGAATCTCTCATTGAGAAAAAAACTGTTTTCTAAAATTGACATAGGGCAGATATGCTTCTCATATTTTGAGGTAATAACTCTTCCTGGATTTTACATTATAAAAACTAGATAAGCCCGAAGTCCCATATCTCCCACTTTATATTTATTTATTTATTTATTGTACATACCCTCAAGCGCCGAAGCATTGTAGAGGGGAGGGGCAAAGCAAACAAAAATAAAACAAACTGACAAAACAATAAAAAACAAACAACAAGAAATTGAAATATCAAAAACACACAGCCATTGGCAAAAGCGGCAAGCAATATATTTTACGGAAAAAAATAAACAAAATAAAATGACTCATGTTGGCTCACCAAACAGAAATGTAGACAAAGATTGGCGAAAAAGAGAATAATCAGGTATAGTTGCGATATCTGCTGGAAGGTGGTTCCAGTCGTTTGATGTATGCGGGATAAATGAATAAAAAAAAGTGTTTGTTTGGCAACGTGTTAATCCAACTTTATTCCGATGTTAATTGACTTAATTCAGGCAGTCAAGAATGGTGCTTAATAGCTTCATTTGCATATCATAGATTTCTGAACGAAAAGTGACGCATATTCTTATGCAGGTACTATGTAACATTATCCTAGAGAGCTGACAGTTTGCACAATACACATACATCTGATCTTAAATCTCCCCTGCGAATTTCATTCCGGTCACTTGAGTAGTTCAGAGGTTAAATCTCTAAGCTAAAAATCTGCGCATTAATTGACTGCTACTGTAAAGACTTGCCGCTAGCTCGCCATGAATTTCTCTCATCACATTGTTGCTGTATCACGTTTCCTATCTGAACGTACAATATTGCATTGCTTCTCACGTATTGACTATATACGCTGGTTTTATTCTGCGCATGTGAATTGATTAGCTCGTCTTAGCTTGGAGCACATGGAACGAAAGTTTGCGCTGCAGAAGCCAGGGATCCTAGGCTCAATCATCACCCGTATACCTGTTTCGATTTGGACAAGCATTGTACCGGCACGCTTTCATGTATCACTACTGCGTGATGCACATTACAGGCCCCAGGCTAGCAGTTGTACAGCACTGGCTAATTAATTGAAGAAACACCGCGAAAAGTTGGCGGCAGCACCGCACAACCGCCGCTTATTCACCACCGAGCCCGCTCTGTTGTCTGCTACCGTAAGGTGATTTGGGCTGAAAACAAGACTTCTTCGCTCGCTCAGAACATAACAAGTGATACAAATGCTTTTAGAGTGCTTAGCTATTATATTAAAAACAGTTTTCACACAATAAATAGCCTAGATATAACGAAACCCCAGCTTTCTTCTATACCCGATACATCTACCGCGCAAGAGTTGGATCTTTTTTTGGCATTTGCTGCTAGTTGCCGAGGGGGGGTGCTACAGTTGGCGTAACTCTGCCCCCTATGAGAACATATACAGTGGCGCTAGTTCACACTTGGGAAAAACTCTTTGGCCCCCGACCGAATTCGCTCCACTGTTAACATTTGTTGCCACCCACTGCATCCGTGCAGCTCTGGTTTCTCGCACAGATACGGTGCAACCCACTTATAACAATAATGAGGAAACCCGAAAATTCAATCGTTATAACCTAGTATCGTTATCTGGGCTAGAAACTGATCGTTTCTAGTCTAGAAGCTCTAGAAACTGATCGTTATAAGTGGTACATCGCTATATGTGGTATCGTTATAAGTGGATTGCACTGCACCAGAGAAGACAGCCTCGGGCCCGTGCAGTGTTAGAAAACTGCTCTCGCAGGCTCCCTTTTGCAGTCAACACTTTGCTGCTACGCGATATAAAATAGCTAACAGCCCACAGTGCAGAGAAAGTATCCAATGTTCTCTCAGCAAAACGAGAATGCAGTAATAAGATGGGCAAAGGGGAGGCAACATGTTTATGTACCGCTCATGCCCATTTCCGTGCCAATTTTATTCCAGAGATCTTTCTTGTGGGCACTGTCTTTGTTGTAAAGTTGTTGAAAAGGGTTGGATAATTCTTTAGTCTCTGAGTATTTCTGCTGGCAGAGCGAGTGGTCGGTGGACTCTGGCAATCCATACAACTTGGCCGGGATGCGAGATCAACAATTGCCATGTCCTCCATGCTTTTGACTGCGGAAACATAGAAACTTCTTCCGCGCAAAAAAATAGGTCCTGGACAGATTGCTCTCGCCGGCGGTGAGTGAACTTTGCCACCCGCTGTCAATGTTTGCGTGGACCCGCAAGTGTGAATAAAGCGATAGAGGGGACTTGCTGGTCTTGCACACAAACGTCTGTTGTAGAAGCGATAGTGCAGCTAGTACTTGTGTCGAGGTCCAGAGAAGGGGATGCAAGGAGAGATAGGGGTCTACTCTACAGGACAACTCGCTATCAACGATTGTGCAGCACCGCTTTAAATTTTGCAGCATTTGCTCCCAAGTTCTTGTTCATGGTTTTCCCTTTTGCCTTGCTACAAACTTACACATTCACAGTTTAGTGTCGTGATTAGTTTTTGTCCAACTTTCTGATGCTTGATACGTGAAAAGGCGCATTCAATGGGACCACATAAATGGTCGCTTCGGCTCCAACAGACGTTGAACGATGTCTTTTATTTAGGGGTGTGGAAATATTGAAGTTTGTTTTAATATAAATTGAGTACAAGGGGTGTTGTGTCAGGTGGTTTTGGAACGTCGTGGTTGTTCCCGTCAGTGTTTGTAGGACACTTTGGCACGACTTGCACTGAGCTTTCTACGGTGAGGGTTTTGTGTGATACTGCCAGAGAAGACTTTTCCAGCTTTCACTCCTTGCTCGCTCAGTGGCTCATCAACTGCGGCTGAGGCCGTACTTTGAGAGCATGCTCGAGCAAGGACCGCCATTAACTAGAGCAGCTAGTGTGGCTGACAAATTGCCAAGTAAAGCACACAACGCAGTGTTAGCCATCTTGTCCGGTAGTTGAGTTGTCTATGGCAATGGAATGTTCCTATAGTTTTTTCTTCTCGTTAATTTCCAAACATTTATAAATATTTTGAGAAAAATCATCGAGATAAGCGATTGTTTTGCCTATTTTTATTATGCAAAGAAAGCATACTAATGTATATGTAGACTATATCGCTAAAAATAAGAAACCGAAACTACTGCCGTCTCACAGGGCAGATAAGAGTTATGTGCAAAACGGCAACAGAGCCGATATAGAAAAGATAATGAATGCATTGTGTGTAGATTACATTAAATAAACATTCTGAGATACCTCAGAATGTTCAGTGGATGCGAAATTATCCTTTATTTACCCGAACATTCGTAGTCTTTTCGAATATCCGGATGTGGCCGAATATTTGGGGAATTTTGAATATGCAATTCGCAAATTGAATATGAATGAGGAAAGTATTTAATTTGTATTCGAAATTCTGAATATTCACACACCTCTATTTTTATTGTGAACAAGAGTGGACAATAAAAATCCCTATGATTTAAATTATGATTTAAATCAAACCTTACCTGCAAAAAGAATCTCGAAAAAATTGTTTTTATTTACTGTTGGTTCATCATTTTAAGCTTCCTGTGTGAATTTGTTTTGTTCTGAAATCAAAGAATTATCAAGCAATGAAGATTTATATCGGGCTGAACACAAGCGAAAAGCTGTGTTCTGAGCAAATCGGAGCATTGAGTTCTTTGTCTCCGTCCACTTTGTTCGCCGGTTACGTAACATCCTATTTCAAGCAAATGAGAAGGCGAAAGGAAGGAACAAAAGTTAGAAAAATAATGTCTTATTGCGAGTCAATCAAGATGCAAAAGAAATAAAACAAAATAAAGCTCTTTAGCTGGCTCAGTGATGGAAGTGCTGCGCCATTTGTGCCAAATTATGCCATGAACGAAAGTCTGCTACATGTTGCGCCGAAGCGCCATTTTTGCTAAATATTGCACCACACCTGTGCCAAAGCAGCCTTAAAGTCCAACCTACAGAATCGTCTTTACCGGGGAAAAAAAGGGTTCCCAGTTTCCTTCTCTCCATTCCCACTCACCCACTTTTCCCCTCCTCTCCACACAGGAGTGGATCTCTGAACTACTCCCGGTGGAGAGGAGGAGGGTCTTCCTCTTTCTCAAATGGAACGGAGGAATTGAGGGAGTGTTTCCTTCTTTCTGCTTGTTGGTCGGCCTTCAAGCAAAGCACAAAATAAAAAAATTTAAAATATTTTTGGTTGATTTTATTTAGAGAAGTTGAAGGAAACGAAAATGGTAAAAATATATATTTCACAGTGAATATCCTACCGGCCGTTTAGTTTGTTTCATCCTAGGTAAGCGCAGTGGAAAGCTCAAACACATACTATGAAAAAGACATGAATGTGCAAGTCTAGGGGCATTCGCTGCTCTTGGTTGGTTTAGCCGATGAAAGAGCACGCACAGATAGATAATGAATGCCATGATGTTGCGTCTTTGAAGCTGCTTGAATTGTCCCATTGGTCGGGAGCGTTGCCTGTGTTTTGACTTAGTAGGAAACGAAGTGCAAAGGTTGCTCGTCAACCGCGCTGGCCCCGTCGTCGTCTGAACTTCCATTCGATGTCTTCGATGTCAGGAGTTGAATGTCACAACAAAAAAAGTGCAAAAAATGGGATAACGACTACAGTCTAAGCTCGTTATAACAGACCTTGATTTTGACCAAGATTTTGGTCCGTTGTAAAAGAAGTATGTTGTACTATGCAGATATGAAGTTGAGTCAATGGTGCATAGTGGAAGACCAACCGAACTTCACAAATCGGTATGTTATATCCAAATGTCTGTTGTAAACAGGTCTGTTATGATGAGCTTAGACTGCACTGTAACAAGACAGAACCAAGGTCCTTTACTCCTAATGATATCACTTGTTTATCCCGTTTGCCACATGCCTTCCCCTTGCCGTGGCTGCAGAGTACCGTGGCACTTTTGCCGCTCGCATCAACCTTCATGGTCTAACACCAGTGTGCATCCGTCGAGCTTCACCGCTTTGCACCGGAGTGCTAGGAGCAGTGGCTGTTGTGGGGGAGGCATGGGTTAGCACCATTGGCTTGAAAATCCTGCTCAGTACTATTACAGATCGACCGTCTTTGGTATTGACTGTAGGTTAACCTCTAATCTAAAAAAAAGAAACTGTGCTGAAAAAAAAAATGTGGCCTATGCTTGAACAACTACTTCAGTGAAGGTAGTTCCCGTGCAGCTGTCAAATGTAAAAGCAAGAAAACTTTGACTGGACTCTGGTTCAACCGCCTCTAAAGTGCAATGTAACTTAAAGCTCAATTGTAGGTTTTCATAATATTCGCTGAATATTATGAAAACCTACAATTTTATGTTTTTGAGTTTATGAAATCAGAGTCTTGAGTTTGGCGTTTATAAACCTTGTGAAGGGGGGAAAGGGGGTGCATTTTTATTGATAGACGTTTTAGCGCATTAGCTGATTTTTTCCGGCATTTTACAGGAGTTATATTTACAGGCTAAATTAACTACTGACCGTAAAAGAAGGAGAAAAGCCTAGCTCAACTGAAGTGTTGCACTAGGCTTTATTTTTCAGTTTTTTTTTTTTTTAATATATTAATCTGAAATGGAATTTGCTCTGACCTCGACTTCATTTCTGAAGGCTGTGTGTTTTTTTGCATTCCTATCAGTTCTTCCTACAAAATGTAATATCTAATATGCTTCAGCATCAAAAAGTAACTCTCATTTATTATCAGATATGAACTCATTTAGCGATGCAATCACATTTTTATGTTCAAGTGGCGGGCTAACAGATGCTGGCACCTGCTCCAAAAACGTCAGTCACTGCTCCACACCAATATTTTGCCTGCTACAAAGGAATAATGCCACTCTCATTACTGCTAGCTAAAAAAATGAAGCTGTTTTTTGTTCTAGTGTGGCATTAATAAAACTTGTTAATTAAACTGTACTTTAAATTTAGTCATTATTCCACGTGATTATCAGTGATCGTACGGATTGATCGACCAATCCGACTGATATTTAATACATCGTCCCGTGTTTAAAAATACATGCAGTAGTAATAAAGAGTCAGTTTTTTCCAGCTACAGTGATTTAAATCAGAATAATCTGATAGAAATAGAAAAAAATTATGATTTGAATCAAATAAATTTATTTGATTAAAAACAACTTTCTTTTTCACTTTGATGTGAACTATTTTATTTTCAAACTAATATTGGAAAGTATGACACTCTTGCCCACCTAGAGAGTAAATCTTTATTTCTTTACTGTTCCTAATCCTGCTGCCAAACCAATGTCATGGAGATCTTGACATACAGGAGTGTACCTCTAGACAACTTAGCACTGCATCACTAATATAGTGCAAAGTCAGCGCTGCATCAGCAGGGTCAGCGCTATTTGCTGCGCTGACTAGTAGCACCATAAACGTGTAAACAGGCCTGGAATGGAACGTGTCTAGGAGGCTTTGTCGCTCTTGTACTGACCCCCGTGCGTCGCTTGGGGACTCCCGCAGGGGCTTCCTCAAGGAGGGACTGGAGCTGTTTGAGAAGGCCATCGCCCTCGCCCAGACGGAGACGGAGCTGGCCCACCTGCTCTCTCTGCGGGACGCGGCCGAGGCGCAGGGCCTCGTGGCGCAGCGCCTGGGCATCGTTGTGGGACCGGGCCTCAGCTAGGGGTCCCCGGGCTAGCAACCCCACGCCGCCGTCTGCCACCTGCCACGGTTCTCCGCTCGTTTTGTCCTCCCCTCCGCAGTTGGCGAGATAAAGCTCGGCGGGCCCCGCACGCCGCACCGTTTCGTGCCTGTGGTGGCTTCTGGTTAGACGGGACTCATCGGGGACCAATGAGACTCGTGCGCTTTCCCGGCAGGGTACCCTCCGTTCCCCAGATGTCCTTTGGACGGAGGAGTCACCGGCTGAAAACGCCTAGGCTCTGTTTTTACTGTTGGCAAAGGCTGCCAGCAACGGGCTCCTATACTCCGGTTTAGCTTGCAATGGACCGGGGCAGATGAAACGAGCCATTCCAGACAATTCCACGCCGCGATTGTGTCGCGCGACTAGGCGTCCCGTGCATTGCAGCGTGTCTCACGAAGGTCGCGCGACACCTGCGCAGTGTGGGATTTGCTTTGTTGGCTCGCAGCGGCGTCTGCGGTTCGTTGTGAGGTGAAGCGGAGTAAAGCTGCGAGGTGCGCCTTTGCTGCACTGCGGTGACGGCAGTTCTCGACGACGCGAGCTCGCGACTGCGTCCTTTGCCGCACTCGCGACGCAACTCGTAATTGGCGGCTCTGCGCTCGATCGCACACTGCCAGGGTCTGCTCGTCGACACAGTGAGGGGAGAATGGACGGTCCCAAAGCGAACAAACATGATGTGGGAGACGAGCAAGGGGGAAGTCGTTGTCGGTTTGTTTTTCTTCCAGGGTGCCTCCAGCTGTAGAATTCCAGCTTTGCTTTTCAGGAAAGCCATGTAACCTTTGTTTCTAGTCTGTATAACAAAATAAAATGAAGGGTTTTCCCGGTTTTTTCTGATCGTTTGGTTGCCCAGAGTCTTCTGTGAGCATAGAGCCAACGTGTTCGCTGCAAGTGTGGACGCAACATTATTGCACGTTACTGTTTTTGTACCCCGCTGGTTCGAGGCTGTGGGCTCGCTCTCATGATGTGCCTGCCGCCAATGTCAGCCAATGGGGGAATGGGCATTTCTTACGCGTTTTCTTGTGGTTACAGACGCCGCTGGCTCCACTCCATGGCATGGTTAATGATTTCGTAATAATAAACTACCGAACATGAAATGAAGAGGGAAAGAGGATTTATCCCAACTGAAGTGGTGCACTCAGATTCACTTTTCAACCATTTTTTAAATGTCCATTGTAAATGAAATCTACTCTGACCAGAACCTTATTTCCAAGGAATAAGACTGTTCCTTTTGTGCCTCGTTTATTTGTATCACAAAAGATAAGTAATACCTATGCTCCATGTACCAGAGAGGAACCCTCAATTATTATCATAAGGGAAGTAGATGCAATCACTTTCTAATTTTCAGGTTGTGCTATCCACGGTGTAGTATTAACAAATGTTGGCATCTGCTCCAAAAGCGTCAGTGGCTGCTCCAAACCAATATTTTGCCTGCTAGAGAACCTGTTACAAAAGGTAAAATGCCGCTTCCATCACTGGTGAAATGTACTGCAAAATACCGAGTGTGCGTCCATGTCTCAATGAGCGCCCACCACCCACTTTTGAAACATTTCAGCTTTGGGTAAAAGACATCAAGCACCTACCTCAGCAAACTTCCGAACTTGCTGAGCTAACCAACGTGCTCCTCTGCACCAGCTGCTTCTTGGAGAAACCGGTGCAAAGCAGTGAAGCTTTATGAGCATGCATCGGTGCGAAGCGGTAAAGCTTGACGCGATAGCTCCGGCACAAGGCAGGCTTGACAAGCGTGGCGCGGCTGCTTTAAAAATAAAGGGTTCCACCAGACTCCCATACTTTTCCTATGCCGTTCCGTCGGTTCTAACAAGGGGCTTCCCTACCATGTGCTCTTCTGCTTTCGAACTAATAAGTGCCCATCCTCGTTTTTTCGCGATTATCTCAAACTTTTGTGCAGGTACTTGCTCGGTGTTACACATTAGTGGGGTAAGCACTTAGGCACAGCCTGGCACTTAAGTTACGGCACACCAGTCGTAAGATCACTCTATACATTAATTATTCGTACGAGTGAACATTTGTGGGTTCAAGAAGGCCAAGTGGCTAGCTTGAATGGGAGGAAGCTCGGGCACTGGGAAGCTCATTGTATGGGTGGTTTCTCGCCACACTGTAACGTTGCAATTTGGTCGGAGCACTGCAGTCGCTAACTTGTCTTCAGTGTGTACCAAGTGCACTCAAGCGCAACACCTGCCCACATTTATACCGGCGGGACCGAATTTTGAACTCGTGATCTCCAAATCTGCTGCACAATGTTTCGCTCCCTACGCTCACGGCCACCAATTCCACCCAAAGCTTGAAAATCTTGCCGTAATAACAGAGCCTGCCATACATGTTTGCAAGTACTACCTCAGAGCGCCGCCATCTTGCTCATTGGGGTGCGCTTGGGCACGGCCATAATCAAGTTATGACACTTTGGCAAGGCGTAGTAATCTGATTATGATGCATGCAAGTGCACCCCAATGAGCAAGATGGTGGCACTCTGAGGCCGTACTTGCAAACATGTATAGCTCTTTGCATGCAATTGGAACATAAGATAGGAGGAGGAAGGTTACAGAGCAGATCCCGAAGCAGTTTTTGTGTACAAGAAAATGTTTTCCGAGTAGAGAATGTGACTATGTCACATTCTCTACTCCTCACCCACCCCCCTGCCGCCTGAAATTAATAAAGGAAGGTGGGATGGGCCATGTCTCGGGTAAGCAGAAAAAGTTTACAAAAAGCTAAAAAAAAAAACCATTTCTCTGCGAAAAGCACTAAATAAAAAAATTGGAGTGCGATAGAAGGTACGCGCTTCACTTTGGAGCTTTCTGAAGAACTGCACAACTTTGACGTTTTTTTTAAAGTTTCGGTTAGCAATCGGAGCTTCTCCGCACCGACGGCACCGCACCCCGTGGACAAATAGTGCAACCTGCCTCTGCTGCATTGCGCAAGGACAGCGAAGCAGATGTCGGTTGCACTATTTCTTTACGGGGCGCGGTACCGTCGATGCCAAGAAGCGCTTCGATTGCAAACCGAAACTGAAAAACCCATCGAAGTTGCACAGTTTTTCAGAGAGCTGTAAAATGCAGAGCGTACCTTCTATCGCACTCCAACTTTTTTATTTAGTATTTTTCGATGATGTTCAGCGAGTTTCCATATGGAACAATGTCTTTAAACTCAATATTTAAAAAAATAATTAACTACTTAATTATCCCAAACTTTAATAATTTTCTTAAATAGGCCCCTAGCCTACGACCAAAACGACACAAGCCTTTTTTTGGTGCGATGCATAATTTTCGCAATCTGGAATTTGTCCCCCTCTCGTGAAAGAATGTTTTTTAGCTGCACCAAATTAAAAAAAAAGGAACAAGAGATAGTGTAATTTGAGCCCTGGGGAGGTGTTAGTGGCCACAGCGGCCTCTAGAAAAAAAGGTGAAATCAGGTAATTAGTTAGCTAATTAACTAAAATGTTTTAACTAACTTTTTAATTTTTCACTTGAGGGCACATAATGTATTTAGAGGATTGAAGATCGACCATAGTATGGTCTAGCCGTGTCATCAAATTTGGTTAAAAAATTCCAAGTAGGCGCTATGGGGTAGATAAATGCCACTTTGGTAAATGGCGTCAAACTGAAACTGAACAGGAAAGAGCGCCGGTAAAGGTATTGCTCCGCCCTTCCGGACATGCGATTCGTCATTATCGCGGCCGGCTCCACTTGCTTAGCCGAGTTGAGAACATAAATACAATGGATTTTTTGTGCCATTCCGCTGGTTCCTGTATGGTCATCACCTCAGACGGTCACGTCCTCAGTATGGGAAGGAAAAAAAAGTGCGCTAAAGATTATGCCCGCGAATTCCGCGATTTTTGAGGTGTGTCCCGACGGAAGTTGTAGCGAAGACCACGTATGTATATGTGCTGTTATTTTTCGAGTGATCAAAAATATCGCAGCTACAAGGATCATCTGATCTGGTGTCCGAAAGCGTTTCTTCCATATTCACCGAAACAAAACAGTAAACTTTCTTGGAAATAAATATACACCGAAAACTGAATTTTAATATAAGCACCAAAAAAAGTATGCCGAATTTTGAAAAAGTAAAAACCGAAAACGCGGAACCCTAATTATGTGCCCTCAAGTGAAAAATTAAAAAGTTAGTTAAAATTTTTTAGTTAATTAGCTAACTATAGTCGGTGACAGGTCGAGAACGAAGTTGAAGCTCTTCCCACCCCTTTCCACTTTAGCAGAGCGATTGCCGAAGAGGAGGCGAGCTCCTCTCCACCGTTCGCTCTGCTAATGTGGAAAGAGGTGGGAGGAGCTTCCACTTGGTTCTCGACTTGTCACCAAACGTAATTACCTAATTTCAGCTTTTTTTTTGAGGCCGCCATGGCCAATAATGCTTCCCCAGGGCTCAAATTATTCTATAACACGTTCCCTTTTTTTTTTGAAAATTTGGTGCAGCTAAAAAAAAAACACCCCGTATATGTATTGTGCATATTTTTTCAATGTTTCAAATTTTTGGGGGTGGGTGTTTAGTGCAGAATGGGCAGATGCACGGTATTCTATGGGAAGTAGCTAAGACTGAAAGCGCAAAAAGAAAAAAAAAAAAGAAAATCCCTTTAAACTTAAAAGTTATGTACAAATTTGTGTGTTTGAAAACGATGCGTGCAATGACCATCGAACAAGAAACTCTGCAAATATATGACAAATGTTAATACCGCCAGATATCATTGCACAAACACTGCTACATCTCTGCAGATGTACCTATATTGCTCAGGAGATAAAAATTCCTTTGCTTGTACCGCGGCAACGAGCAATGTTTCCTTGGCGCACATGCATGCTTCAGCACAAGGTCTCAAACTTCCTGTTTTGAGGAGCTGGAGAATCCTTTCAATAGAGATTAACTTTTATGGTTCACATACTCATAGTTTCAACCATAAAATAAAACAAAAATTTACTTCAGTCTTCCTTTATAGCACATCGACACTTAGCTTCAATTCATAACAGCAATTAAGGCTCAATTTGTTTGTATGAAATATTTTTTTTTATGACTAAACATGGACCCTATTATTATGGATATACCTCGCTATATAGACAACATTTTTAGGGAAAAACTGGGTAAGCACATGCATTTTTATCTTATTATCATGGAAAATTCACATTATAGACGACTTTTCGGGAGAACGGATATGTCCATATTGCAAGAATCCAATGTTGGTCCTGGAAGAACTAGCAAAAACGTGAAAAGAATGGTGGCAGATTAATGACACAAAGTAAGTTAAATTGAGAATCTGAAAAACATGTCTGGCTCTTTTCAAGTAACTTTATTGAAAACTTCACAAGGAGAATAATAACAAGGGCTGGCTGCGTTAGAAATACCGTACAACTTTGTACTACGCCAGCAGAGCTCCTAGCAAGCGTGAAAATCGCAGCGACGGGTTTCACGTGCTGGCTTTAATGCACTTTGTCACGTTTACTACTTGTACACCAGCACCAGTGCCTACAGTGTGCTCAAAAGCATCTGCAGCATGGCTAGTGTAAGCTTCTACTGATTGTGCCAATAGCTATGAAGGCAACAACATTAGCATGCCTGCAATTTCTATCGCCACTGCAGCTCGTTTGGTGACCAAGAGTATTACCTCCAATGTTGCCTAATTATCGGAGCAGCAAGTATTCGAAAAGGCGGTAAATAGGTACGCCCATTATGGAGCCAGCTTAGGTTTCCATCCCTGCATTTCATTAGAGGATAAGAATATGGCACTGGAGCCTGAAAACATTTAGTCTTGCGTACTGGAGACTTGGACAACATCAATAAAGGATTTACAAACAAAACAATTAATAAAAGCATCAATAAACTTTGGTTAGCATAAAACAGAACCAGCCGATTCTCGACAAGCTGGCAGACATACCAGCAGAAGTACATCAACATTTACGAGCGAGGTAGAAAGCAAAAAGCTTTTGCTATTTGAAATCTACGCCGTGGATGACAAAACTGTGTTAGCTGTACTGTGCGCATTTTGGAAAACAGCTACCATAAATGTAATGACAGCTTGTACTCCAGTTAATCCTAACACCATTGCTCCTAAAAGTAGCATTTAGCATGCAATCACAACAAACAGAACTCGAGAAAATAGTGAATCACTGCCCAGCTGAAAATTCCCATTAAATCCAATTGGAATTCCAACTGGTTTTAACTGGAACCAATTGGTTTTAGTGGGTTCCAGCTGGAACCGCACTGGCCAATGGGTCTCACCAATTGGAATTATTTTTCCAGTTGGAACCTGAATGGGTTCCCAATGGTTCCCATTGGTTCCCGTTGGTTCCCATTGGCAGTGACCAATTGGTTGTCCAAAAACCCAATTGGTACCAATAAGTCACCAATTGGTACCAATAAGAAAATTCCAGTTGGAACTTAATGGGAATTTTCAACTGGGTGCTCTAACAATTCACTGTGAAAACCTAACAGTGTCTCCGTGGCACCTTTTTACCAAAGCACGAAGGATGTCGGGCAAAGGAAACTTTGTGGTACCCAGTTTCACCGTGAAGTACAGATTTGCCCTTTAAAATCTCGGCAATGGAGTGCAATAAAAAAGAATATATTTATGCAAATTAAAATAACAGACTGGATCAACAGACTTTCCTTACAAGATCTTGAAAACAGAACAAGCAATGTTTGTGCATGTCCCAGCCGGTGTCGTTAACATGCTCCCTAATTGGAAAGGCACAAACAGTCAAAAACATTGTCAGTGCAACAGATGAAGGTGTAAGGAATTAAAAGGACCAGGAAGTGCGTGGACCAGTCCCATTACAATGACACTTATACATCATTCTACCGCTCCACATAAGTTCCATTATATAAAAAAAAGAAAGATACTTCAGCAGGTAGAAGTAGAACACGACTTTTGCAACTCAGAATGGCAGTGAATTATTTTTGTTTTCAGTGTTGGTAAGGTTAGAGGTCATTGCACAGGCAACTGAAGTTATAGGTTGCTGTAAGATACAAAGCAAACAGACCAAAATCATGATATATGTAATTTCAGCACTTGCGTGACCCTTACACATGCAGATTTTCGGTTCTGAAATTCACAAAAATAAAAACATGGGTACCCATTTTAGCAGAGGCTCATGCTTGGTAGTTTATGGTCAGTTGCAACTCATAAAAGTTGTTGGACTAGAATAAAGTGTAAGATGTGAGCAACAGCCTGGGACACAAAGACCAAGGATGCTTCTTAGTTAAAGACACAGTGTGCAGTTAACCATAATTATATAAGTGCACATAACCTCACTTCCACATTGTCTTTCGGGTAATATAGGGACACCCAAAATCTTCAAATGGGTGGATAAAACACAAAAGGTAAAAGGAACGGAATTCACGAACTTCAACAAAATAAAAAGATTTGTTCCTTGCAGGTATAACGGCAAAAGGCACGACAAGACCAAGAGATAAAAATAAAGCGCCATCGATGTTACAACCAAACAAAATAAAACATGTTTGCAAAAGAATAAAACGTGTAAAAAAAGAACAAAGTAAAAAACAAAATCAACAAGGCTCCCATTTCTTTTTTCAGTCCCACTGAAACAACCAAGAACTTTAAAAAACCTCGCAAGCATTACCCCCAAAGAAGTGTCGCATGCAGAGGCCAGAACAGCCACGACAGGAGGTTGAACCCGGTTACGGACGGTGTGCTACCCCGATGGGGTGACGGAGCTGATCAGTTCAGGCATCCACTTCCAGGTCATACCTGCGTAAACAACAGAAATCGGACGAATGCCTTCAGAAAGATATGCCTCCGGATGAAAAACATACAATATTTCACACAGAATAAAAGGACAGACTAAAAAGGTGGCTATGTACCTATGTCTCGACATCGACGTACAAATATTACCATATTTTCCGGACTATAGACCAACACGCGTCCCTGACGTCACGCAGCTGCGGTGGCGCTGTCGACGGCACTGCGCATGCGCAGAAGCTTCAGTTCACTCGAATTCGATTTCTGCGCATGCGCAGTGCCCACACCTGGTGTGGGCAAACGCGGGCTTGTTTGTAAACAGCGTGTCGGTCTATAGTTTGCACCCTGCGTATTGTCCACATAGGCAAATTTCAACTGAGAAAAAAACGTTTCTGCTTAGACAGATCGCACCGAAAGCGCAAAGTCCACACCTGGTACATATTGCGCACGTAAAAAAATTTGATTAGACATCGCACCTCGGCGAATGCCTGTTTTATTAGAGGACAAGCAAGCTGGTAATACATAAAATTCATTGTTAACATAGCCTTTCATTCACAAAATTCGTCATATCTCGTCATAAGAACAATCTTGAAAATAACATCCATATATATATGCTAGTCCGCACCTGTAGATAATCTTTACCACAAAAAAATTTCGAATTTTAAACATGTATGGTCCAGAAAATATAAACGGTTCAAGTTCCATCAAAGGCTTCGATGCCATACTGCGCAAACAGAACACAGAATGATGATAAACATAAATCACTTCACTGTTTGTTGTATACTATAGTATTTCAAACTAATAGTGCACTCACAGGATGAGAACAAAAGGGAGGAGCTTCAGGTGTCCCGCCTCCGGCCTTCGACAACGCTTCGGCGTCTCGTGCATCTCAGGAGTACGCTTGTGCAGCCAGAGCGTGGTGGAAGGCACGGAGTGCATGCAGGAGGTTGGACGTTCGAAAGACACGCCCTTCCAGTCTCATTCTGTCAGGGACTATAGGCCCTATGCAAAATCCCATTGTCGCCTTCCATGATTGGTGCACAAAATTTAATACATTTGAGAGAGCCTGATAAATCTGCTTCAGTTATAAATAAGACCTCTGGGTGATCCCCAGGAGGCTCTTGAATATCCACAAAAAAAGAAGAAAAGCTGGAAGGTCCAGGTAGAAGTAAAATAACCAAGTTTCACGATAATGTAGACATTTTGCTTCGTAAGCTTCGAATCTGGCTCACCTTTTCACATTATTTTGTTTCTCCCTCCCAAATGGGAAGCAACGTACCAGCTCTCTACGCAAGGCCGCCTCGTGTGCTTCACCTTTTCGCGTGCGTCTACCTAAGTACATACTACCACGGTCCTTAGCTTACCTGGTCTGGAATCTTTTCGTCAAGCTAACGCAAAGCTTTCTCTAGGGTCTGATTAAGGTACCAAAGGCCAACATAAGGAGTCAACGGATCGGATCGCTCGGAGAACCTAACGGATGGACGCGGGTTCAAGGAAGCCACCGTGGAGAAGGTCGCCAGATGTGTCTATTCTTTCGTGAAACGCCACAAGCCCGTAGAAAAGATGAAACAATCGGAAATGCCTTCTATACTTGAGACCCAGGGGCCAGGATGGAGAACAAAAATCCATGCAATTCATATCGTGATGTAAATCGGGACTTAAATCGGACCAGTTTTACTATGATGATTTATATTGGATCTTCCCCGCACAAAGGAGCCAGAAAATAATTTCTATTTACCATATTTCTATCATTTGGTGCTTTCTATATGCTTCGTTTTGTATTTGAATCAAAGGACCATCGAGCAAAGATTTATTTAAGGCTGAACAGAAAAAAAAAGTGCTTTTTTGAGGGAATCGGAGCACTGAGCTTCATTTCTACATTCCCCTTCGTCAGCTGCGTAACATCCTTCTGCAACGAAATCAGGACACAAAAAAACGAAAACCAGAAAAGCAATGTCCTATTGCAACAGTCAGAATGCAAAAGAAAAATCAAATAAAGACTTTCAACTAACAAAAAAAATCAAGCTATCTTTGTTCTAGTATGGCAGGGGATTATGCAAGCAAAAAGTTAATTAAAATGTACTTTAGATTTACAGTAATAACTTTGTTTCGCATTGTTACCACTGATCGAACGAATCGATAAATCTATCGGCCATGTTGAGAAATATATATTTAGCAGTTAAGAATCACCATTTTTTAGCTACAGTTATTTAAATCAAATTAATCCGATTTAAATAATATAATAATGATTTAAATGAAATACAACCAATTTACTTTATCTTTCAAAAGAAAAAATTGTGATGTTTTTTTTTTTTCTTTAGAGGCGATATTATTTCGGAATAACTGAAATGCCACATGAAGGGTGCGCGACACTCCTACGTCACTGGGCAGAAATGGAGGGACCACTTTTTAGAGTGCGATAAACCAACACCTCCTAGAACCTAAGCTCTGGCGCTCATAAGTTGTGACGGCCCAATGGCCGGACAACGGAGGCTGCGCCGAAAAATGCACCCTCTCTGGTTCTCTTTACCCCGGCCATACTGTCTGCTCACTCAGGTCACATGGCTTATTCGTGGGCATTTATCCAACATTAATATATGTTTTAAATGTGCAGCCTCAAATTATTTATTATATGTATAATACAAATGTAATATACAATGTGTTACCAAGGGTGAAAATACCAAAATATATATGTATGATTATCCCCATAACCGTGGAACCGCTGTGCAGTCCCGCAGCTCCCCACACTAGAACCGGCTCTGGTGCGACATTTTCTTTCCTCATACAGGCTCCGATTCTGGTAAAGTTACGTCGTGTATGAGCTGCTGACATTCTGAAAAGGAATGACGAGACATTACAGAAAAGGAGGAAACTGAAAACAATCCAGCCATTGCCTCAGGGAGCGCACAGAAGCAAGAGATGGGTCGACGACGTTAAGTATTTCGTCCCAGTATGCTTCTGCTTGTGCTCTCGTGCGTGGTTCTTTTGCGTTCTCTTGATACTATGGCATTTACGTGTATATTCACAGAACAAGTCTTGCTATGGTGTGAGTAACGTCTGGCAACTAGTCAACAATGACACTGGTCAAATATCGATAGACCTCTCTCCCTCGACAGAGAGAAAAACTTCTTGAAGTTTGTGTTTAAATTTTTTCGTGAAAGATATTGCGGGACGTATGGATACGATCGACAGGTGAGAAACAACTTATTTACAGGCTTTTACAGCGGAGCTGTTTAGGGCTAGTGTCCCCAGGATCGTGTCCGGCACCCAACAAATGTCAACAGAACACTCTGGTTGCCGCCGCTGCTCATAGATGGCGGTAGCTGTCCACAGTGTTGTGTGTGCCAGTTGACTGCCTGTTGCCGTCGCTCATAGATCGCGGCAACCTTTCAAGCCTCGGCAACCAGACAACTGGTAGCTGCCGTCGCGCTCATAGATGGCGGCAACATTTCTTTGGAAGAAGAAGAGCGAGAACGGAACAAGCGGCAATGTGTGCAGCAGCACAAATGGTGCCGCGAGGCCCCTATCGCCTAAAATTCCACTGCGTCGAGCGCTTCAGATTTTCTTGCAAAAGAAGAGCAGATTGCCCGCCTGGAAAGCCACCACCGAGAACAGAAGCTACAGCTCTGCTGCTCTTCCTTCTTTACCAGAGTGGAAAGGCTGAAAGTTTGTTGGTCATGTAGGACACGAGTAGAGTGCTGCAGTCGGTTACTTTAATTTTGTGATAGAATGGAATCTCGTTCTTCCACGGTATAAGTGTGCAATTGCGTCGACATTTGTAAGTATGCATGGTAACATTCAAGTTTTTACTGGAAGGTTAAATTAATGCAAAGTTTATGTGTGATTATTGAAAGTGCATTCTTTGTGCTTGTATGTGTTTATTTATACTAGTAATATCACTTTATTGCCTTTACTGCATTTATACTAGAATCCTAGCTGTATTAAGGTAATATTTTGTTCTAAGGCAGCTCGAGCCCATAGGGACAAGTAAATTAGGTGAATGTAAATAGTAAGTTTAGTACCCCTGCCACATAGAAAAGTTAATAACTTCTCATTAAATTATATGGGACTAAATCAGCTCGTGATTGTGAGGGACTATACAAGCGTCGCGAGCTGATTTGCCAACCCCAAACCATCATTCAATCAAATTTACATTAATTTTGCCACGAGGCCGGGGTATAATGCAAGAGTTCAGTGACTGCATGCATCAAAAACCTTTAAAATGATTTTAAGTGACACTTGTCTAGCCGTGTTCGCGTTGAATACGTCTCCCTGATCTTTACTGTGATCCATTTTGCTGTATCCAATATCACGGTGTGTCTCGCCCTTATGTGGAAGTAATTCTGAATAAAATATGCATTCTTACAGCAAATGTGGCTCAATGTTTTAGACTTAAAACAATCACATCTCCGAAGACGTCTCATACGCATACCTCATACTATTTCATGGCGAATATTTAGCGGCAAAATAATTTGCCAGTGTAATAAAATGTTTTGTAGCCCCGTTGCTATGTGAAACTTTCATTTCAGCTAATAAGATACGCTTATGTGACTAAAAGCGAGTTGTCGCGACAGTCGATCCATGCACACTGCCTTCGCTTGGGCGCTTCGGTGTGCGCTCCCGACGGCCTTCCTTTGCGACATCACCGGAGGGGCACTACGGCCTTGTCTTCTAGGAGGTGTTGGGTAAATGCACCCATCAGAAATGCATTCTAGGTACCGCCCGACGAGGCTCCGAGGGAGAGAACGGAACGAAGGGCCACTGACCAGTCGGTGTGTGCCTTGGTGAGGTCCAGGTTGGCCAGGCTGACTTGGGTGGACCCAAGCACCTTGCCCCGGGAGAACATGGAGGAGCCGCTCTTGGAGTTGACCGACACCTGCAGGGTGCTGCCCTCCAGTTCAGAGAGGGACCCCTCAATCTCCATGCTGGAAGAGAGAAGAAGTTTCCGGTTCCTCGTCACGTCCGGCATACGAGTCGCGGCGACAGCCGGGATGCCGCGCACTACCGCACGCAGTTAAAGCTGGTTCGCTGGAACACTTTAAATTTCCATGTGCATTTCCTTTTTCTTTTTTCTTTGCGCATCATTATTTTGTATTGGGCTCGAAGGAATTCTGACAGTGTTATGAACAACCATTTCTCGTAGACAGCACCGGCGTGCCAGAGTGTTCTCTAGAGAGCCTGTGTTACAGAGAGTTTCCTTGACTGGGATCATGCAGTTTATGGGCCGCATTTCTGATACGAGCCGCAAGGAAGTGCCGAAAGCGTCAATCGTCTGCAAACGTCTCCGCCTTTCCGCCCGCCTTCCTCCTCGCCACGCGCGAGAACACAACGCAGGCGCACCACCGACCAATATCCGCGGAAGGCGTCTGTCATTAAATTGCAAAGGCTACTCATTGTTTGAGAGGGACCATCTCTTTGATCTAGGCTCTCTGGTGTTCTCCCGTTGCTAGAGATCGCAAGGGAGCACAAAACTGCATGGCACACCCAATTGCAACCAGACGCAGTTCTGTGAACCAGCCTTTGCACTGTAGCATTTAAATTGGCAGACTTGAGTTCCACTAAATCTAGCAAACGGCATGGCATCACGTGACCCAGTGGCGTCACGTGATGCTAAATTTAGTGGAAAAATTTCTCCGCTAAACTTGCAGGAGAATCGTGACCTCACCATGCCACAACACTGTCATTACCTGCTAAATGATACCCAGAAAGTTTTCCGCTAAATTTAGCAGGTCGCAAAGTACGTAGACTGTGTCCCTTAAAAATATATTTAGGGCATTTTCTTTCACTGCAAAAATAAACTATGCCTCGTCAAACACTTACCCTCTGCCAAAATGTAACTCTAGAGGTCCGGACCAGATGGGAGAGTTTCAGAACTCGGCAACCATTTTCGTATTCAAAAGTTATAGGCGATTTTCTGAAAATTACGATAGAAAAATGGGGCCCATTCTTGGTAGCTAATGCCATTCAGCTCCATATATCTGTGAGTTTCAATGGCTGCCATTTTTGCATTGAAATTTTCAGAAATTCAGGTATAGTATGAATTCATTACCACATGGTAATATACACCAACTTATGTTTACAAATAAACCTGAGCTCCCCTAGCGGACGCCACCGGCGCCGCGCATGTGCGATGGGGGTGTGGACAAGAAGCTCGCCGTCGCCCATAAGCAAACCATTGGAATGCGATGTTGTCAGCATCGGTGTGAGTCCCCCTGCCCTTTTTCACGTTCGAATTGTTGATTCTACGTCTCCCTGGCGATGTCTGACTGCTTGAGCGGCATCAGCGAAATTACCGAGGCTCGTTACAACACAAAACTTCGCGTGAACAATGTGACATGTGGCGATTCATTCCACGTGGATGCCGCAGTATGTACGCTAAAGCCTGATTCGCATGATGCGATTTCGCTCGCAATTTTCAGTCGCGACGCCGCTCGGGCTGCAAAAGCGTGAACCGTAGGCAAGATGGTCTACGTCGATACTGAAAATCGCAAGCAGAATCGGACCAAGTGAATTAGGGATAACAAGTCAATGACGGCCACTGATAACAATGATCAACATTTCCTTGTATCTACTGTTTACATCGAACCTGCTTACCAACCTTCAAATTTAAGTATTTTGAGGCCTGCACTTACTTCTTATCGCAAGTACCTGGCCAACATTTGGTCTACGGGCCGGCGTCGTCTAAGAGAGCAGACGACAAGCAGAAAAGTTTGAAAGAGCAGACGACAGTTCGAACGATCAGGCGGCCGTTTGAACTTGAAGACGCACTGAACGTAGTCAACAGGTGGTCCACACAACTCGACGATTTTCTGGCGTTCATGTTGGAACAAAACAAATAAATCTGATGACCACAAGTATCCGTAAATTCAACCCAAAGTGCTTCCCGCCCAAGCAATCGTTGTCCGACGGCGTCTGTTTTTTCCTTTTCACGGCAAATATTCAGATTCTCGGACGAACCGAGCACGTGAAGACTGGCTTTCAAACCTTTCTCGACTCTTTTGGTATGGCCCCAGCCGCAGTGTTTCGACGACAAGGCAGGTTTTCGTCTGGTTCCTTTCAAAACAACGCAGGAATACACGTCTGGCATGGGGACTTCCGCCCACAACCCCAGACCGGAAGTGCGACCGACGCGCCACCACCGCGCCGTGACGTCACAAAGTTGAGTTCGTGTATACTTGGGCAATCTATTTCAAGTCACAAAAATTACGTCTTTGCATAAATTAAGTCACCTACAGCTGTTAAACAAAACGAAAAATACACGAGGGCGCCACTGACGTTTCGTCGAACACAGGGTTGCAGGAGTTCCTGCAGGTCTGAGTCTTGCGCTTGTTCTCTTTGAGCTTGTCAGGCAGCAGGTGCAGCTTCACGTAGGGGTCTGGGAGATCGTCCCCCTCTTTGTGGGCCAGGTTCCTGCGAAGAACATGGAACCAGTTGCTTCGACCACCGGACAGGTTCTCAAACTGGGCTCTCAGGAACCTGGCGCTTCCCCAGAGTACCCCTCGGGGTTTTCCGCACTCCCAAATCTCCTCAACCATCCCCAACTTGAAGTAGAGTGTTTGTCCCGTTTAAACACCATTTTAGCGGATCCGAATCACACGAGGATGTGTAACTATGAGCCAAACGCTTCCTAATGCATACATTATTGTTTATTTGGCCCAAAGGCTTCCGCACCGAGCTGCATCAATGACGGACCAGGAGGGGTTCCTCGGTGTCTACAAGTTTGAGAATCCCTAGACTAACACATCTTGGCAACAGCCAGGTGACCACCTGAGGGCTTGACCTTCGGGTCAAAGCATTCTTTGATAAGGCCATGTGCCAGTTTACCGCACCTAAAAAGGTTTCCACTACACCAGCCAGGTTTGGCCTGAATTCCATGTAAAATCTGCCAGTATTTCAAGACTGGCTAAAGATTCCCTATAATTCCAAACCCTCAAGAGGGAACGGTGACCTAGCGTGGTAATGCACCACAGCTCAAACCATGTGGAGTGAAAGCTCACACCACAGAACCCAGGTATCCAGGGCTCAATCCTCACCCCTGCCCGTTCCAATCTGGACGAGCATTGTACCGGCGTGCAGTCATGTATCATTACTGCAGGATCCACATTAAATATTTCCGACTAGCAGAGGTACTGCACTTGCAAAACTTCTTGTCCAAAGCGGAGTTGCCAGCTGCCTATGGAGGGATACCATACTTCCCGCCCTCTAAACGTGCACGCAACACAATAATTAATTCCTTCGAGCCAGACAGGAAACGACGCACTCACACTGCCCTGTGAATCACGACCACGAGGCGGCTCCTCTGCGCACTGTAGCGCAGCGTCAGCTGGAGCTTTCCTGCACCGGGATCCCCCAGCACTTCCCTGGGGGTAAGGAAACAGATCCGGTGTGAGGCAGTCGGGAAACAATGCGCGTCTTGGGATGCACTGCCCTACCGCAAAACTTAGGTATGCTTGCAGCAACAAGATGAACGCAGAAAATGAGACTACATCTTCTAGCTTGTGAAAGGTAGTCTGGGTACTTTGGCGAAAATTCATAACAGCGGTTATTTATGCCTCGCGGGGCCATGTACCATAAAGTTCCGAGAGAATGCCCGCCCCCGAGAGATCGCCCATCCCGTTCTTCTGGGTAAATAGCTGTACCATAAAGATTCCGAAACATCGCCCACCCCCCGATTCCCGTCAAACCTCAAGCAATGCCCGACGAGAATCGCAGCCAAGGAGCGATCTGCTGTACCGGTACGTCTGATAAGCAAGTTCATGGCGGCTTCCCACATTCTTGTCCGTGATCTGCACGCACGATATCGGCTCCCGTAACACTAGGGTTGTTCCCGCGTGTACATTGCATCGTGAAATAGGATCTGCTACATCCACGATCTGCGGTATCCATTCTTTTGACATGGAAGTTTGTAGCGGATTCCAGCGTTTTAATCCGCGACCTGCGTACGCATCATTGATTCCTGTAACACACGAGTTGGTCCCGCATGTATACGGTATTGCATCGTGAAATATGATTCTGCTGCATCCGTGATTTGCGGTATTTGTTCCCTTGACACGCCAGTTTGTAGTGAATTCCCGTTTTTTTTTTCTGTGATCTGCACGCGCGATATTGGTTCCCGTGACAGGCAAGTTTGTAGCAGGTTCCCACGTGTTTATTGCACCATAAAGCTTGAATTTGCTGAGTCCGTGATGTTTGTTCCTGTGAAATGCGAGTTCTTGGCGGGTTCCCACGGATCCTTTGCACCGTGAAAGCCGAATCTGCTGCATCCGCAACCTGCGGTATCCTTTCCTGCGACAAAGGAGTTTGTAGCGAATTCCCGTGTGTTTATCCGATTGTGAAACATGAATTTGCCACGTCCACAATCTGGAGTATAAGTTCCCGCGTCACGTGGTTTATAGCGGGTGCCAGGTGTTTATCGTTATTTTTTATAATGTTTTGCTGTGGCATCCCCAAAGATAGCCCACCACATGTTTTTCACCATTTATCTCTTCCTTTTGGGTGGGCATTCTTTGAAACTTTAAGGGTTGTTTATTAAATGCGACAGTATTTCCGAGAGAACCTTATACAGTTTTCCCCTCGTGGCTAGGTTTGTAGCCAACGAAGCAGACAGCACACATCTGTCATATAGTCATATATTCACCGTAACATCCCGAAAGATGCCCCACCCCCGAAAGATAACCCGACCCTTATTTTTGCACTGATTTACTATTTTAACTTAAACACCGAAAGATAGCTCACTCTTAGTAGTCGCAGCGTTTGGATCAATGATGACCTCGGCGTAAATGCGGCTAGTTAGCTACGCCAGGATATAAGCGAACATTGCTGACTGGGAAGTACAGTCATCTTTGCTTTACTGCCCCTCACTGTGATAACAAGTTTGGCAGGAACCCATAAAAATAGCATTTTTTTACTTTTCTTGATTGCATGCCAAAAGTTACTCCTCATTTTCACCCGATTTGGTCTTAATTTTAGGCGGGCTATCTCTCAGAATATTACAGTACTTCAATTATGCATACAGGGCGTGATGCGCCCGACGAATGTGATGTAATATATTAGCATCCGAATGGCAAATGCAATAACCAAAGATCTTATTATGTCGATATATATTGTGTTTATATAGAAAATATGCATATAAATGAATCATACTTGATCGAATGGAACAAAAGCTACAAAGCCACCAAAAGGCAAAAACTTTGGCGGAGCTGAGATTTGAACTCCGGGTCTCCCAATATCCGATCGGGTATGCTAACCACTACACCACTCCGCCTTGTCTTTCTGGCATTTCCTATCTACCTTGTTAATACACCGAAACAAAACATATCCAATCAGAACTATTCCGGAAGCACACACTGCCATGTGGAACACAGTACGATGCTTTGGTGACACGTGGTATGTGCTCGTTGTGCTCCAGAATTCCTCTCACTGTTTGTCTCATCACATGTACACATATTATTTCTTGCTTACGAGATTTTTGAGACATGGTGCAGTTTAAGCTCATTAGAAGAGACCTGGTTACAACAGACATTTGGATATAACATACCAATTTGGGAAGTTCTAATGATTTTCCCTTACATACCATTGACTCAAGTTCATATCTGCATACAACATACTCCTTTCACAACAGACTGAAATCTTGGTCAAAATCAAGGTATGCTATAATGGGCTTAGACTGTATCATCATCTACAAAAATCAAGAGCCATGTTTTGAATATATCATAACATCATGGGCACTTTTATCATCGTATATGGCAGGGGTGGCCAGGCTGACCCGACCTAAGAGCTGTAAACAAAACCACGAAACTTCCAAGAGCCGCAAGGGGGGGGGGCCAACTTTTGTACAGTCTATCTGAGTCAAAAGCAGTCCAATTAGACGTAAGGTAGCAGTAGCCCAAGACTACCAAACCACAACCTGTCTTTCAATTTAAAGCATGTTTATTTTATTTTTTTTTGTGGGGGGGGGGAAGCCGCGAGCTGCACTTTAGCAAGCGAAGAGCCGCATGTGGCTCGCGAGCCGCAGCTTGGCCACTCCTGGTATATGGCCTCCAAAGAGGGAATACTAATTGAAAACATGCAGATGAATGAACCATCTTTACGATGTGTTTATCAGCTTCGGCGGACATTACCTAGATGGTCAAAATCCTCCTCAAGCTAAGCTAACTAAATAAATAACTAGTAGAGGTGTGTGAATATCAAGATCTTTCAAAGCGAATCAAATTGAATATTTTTCAATACGAATAGTAGTTTCGGATAAGAACATTTTTGAAAACAAATATTTTCTATGAGATGTGAATCAAACAAGAATGCTGAATCAAAGCACAACTGTAATTTTTTTTTTTTTTTCAAGAAACATTTATGAGAAGGTTATTTTTATTCCAATAAGAAAAATGTCACACATGTGACTGATAAAAAAACATGAAATAAGATATCAGTCAGTAAAACACCAATCAAGGAGTGAAGTTACAGAATGTAAATGAAAGTACACAAGTGAAGGCGGGTCGGCAAGTCACAACGCAGTTGGAGGTCACGTTGCGGACGAACGCAACCATGTGAGCGCAAACGAAAGTACACATGCAGACGCAGGTCGGCAGGCTACAGCAGAGTTGGGGATCGCGCAGTCGCACTGACTTTGCGCCATCTCTTTTCGTGTGCACTAGTTCTGTCGATAGAGGATGCCACAAAGAAGCAATAAATTAAGAATACCTTTTTATTTTTTGGAGGAGGGAGCAAGTCTCACTTTTATCAGTGGAAACAGGTAGAAATAAATAACAAAAGGAATACTGGCAAACTGATGAACAAAAATATCAAATGGAAAATAACACAAGCCAAATATCGCCAATAGCTGAAGTCAGCCATAAATCCATATCCGAATCCATAGCACCTTGGCTACTGCAGTGACTGTAGGAAGGAATGTAATCAGTGTGGTCTGTCGCGTTTGTGCTTGCAACAATGCACGTGCCGTTGTAAATCGTAGTCTTTCATCAAATCTATCACAGCGTTTGCGCCACGACCACTTCGCCAACTCCGCAATCCAGACATCATGGCAAGCAAAGGACCACATCACGCTACCGCATACAAATAACTTTCTAGTGCTTCATTTATTAGTAATTGCCATCGATACTGCAATTTCAACATGACCCCTAAAGCCAATAATTAAAAAGTTAATGAAGAAATTTTATTTAGTCAGACAACTTACCACGACGATTCTCCCCTCATCTAATGTCCACCGAGCCGGATAAAACACGAGGTAAAGACAGAACACATCTAGCTCTCACCCCCTATTTTTTTTTTAAATCTCTTTGAATTAAAATCAGTTACTCTGTATAGGATTTCCAAACGATTTTTCAAATGCCAATAATTCGGACTTGTTTGAGATTTCGGACCTAAAGGAGGAACCGTCACCTACCCGATAGAAATAGTGCGCATTCACGACCCATGTTTCGAACAGCAGTAAAGTCTGAATGTAAAATTTTTTGGCCAAAATCATTGCGAGTGATTAGCGGGAAAGACCACAGAGAAGCCACCATTTTAGGTTCTATATTGACAGCGCATGAATTGGCTTGGTATAGCAGCGCTATTCAACTACCGCTAAGTCCTACCGCTAGGTGACGCTATGCAATGCCTTTTTTTTTCTCCAGCTGTGCATCATTATCGTCACCATTGTTACCATTTTGCTTTGTTCATTCGCCATTCTGCGGTCATGGACTTGCGCCTCTCATTTCAATGAATCGTGTTTTTGGACTACGCTGGCTTGGACGTCATGGCCCCATCTGTTCTTCCGCCGCATCGAAGTGTTGCTAAGAAGTGCGGAAACGGCTCGACCATAATGCTAGAAAAGAAGGCAGGAATTCTAAAGCTAATAGAAAGTGGCCGAATGCAAGTGGAGGCGTAGCCTGAAGCAAGACATTATTGACGGCTTTTTTAAGATTTATCAAACTGCTCTGTTATTTGGACGTTTTTTTCGGGCTCTGCGAAGTCCGAAAAATCAGTCGGCGACTGTATATAGTAAAAGAAAGACATTTAAATTGCAGTAATGCTACAAGAAAAGTCGTTGGTTGGTAGTTAGGTAAAAAACTTTTGTGAGCTGGTTTTCAATGTGACAAAAGACCTGTCGACAAAAATATTCTTAGAATTTCCATAGCAGTTCCTAGGCAGTTTAATAAAGAAACATTTACACGGTACAAGATGGTGCAAAATGCTGTCGCATGTCAATGACAATCTGTGCAGCGATTTTGGCAACAATTTATTAAACAAGAACGTTTGAAAAATGTGATTCAATTGTAGTGGTCATAATAACATATTGAGCACATGCGAGATTGGCCAAGACTTAGTTTTACTCCATTAAATTTGTATTTTTGTAATAGTGGCATTCATTTTACAAAGGTGTTCTTTGACTGTGTCCTTATTTGGTTCACATTTAGTTTGACTACATTCATACATCCATAGATTATTTACATTCAGTTTTAGATATTTTCACTCTCTATATTAGATTTACGTCGACTCCGAGATACCCATACTTTGCTTGCCATCTGGATTTTGGGAATTCACGCGCCCCGTCCTTAGAACTGGGCCCTTTAACGGGGTATGAGGAACAAGAGTCCTAGCTTTAGCCCCATCTCCCAGCAGTACCTCTGGGGGTCCCTGTGGCTGGCGTCCAGTGCCCTCTCTCCCATGGCCATGCTGTCCAGGATGGGCGAGACCGTCGACTGAACCACCTCGTCCAGGGAAGGGGCCGCCGCCACCTGCAGGGGCCGCAAAGAACACGCCGTCAAAATTTTGGTAAGGCAACGCTCAAGCACCGTAAAACTATGTCCGAATCCAAAGGATTGAGAGAGACTCGAACGTTATCTCAAACTCGCAGTGCTCTGCACATGCATATCGTTGTATACTGAGCAAGCAGCACTCACCCAAAAGCTGCCCCTTTCCCCCAAAATTGTGGTGAAATCATTGGTGGCACAGAATGTGGTGCAGCGCCGAGACAGATGCTCGGCACCGCACCATATTGTTAGACGCTTTAATATATGCTCAGGGAAAATATGAAAAAGGCCAAGACAGCACGCAATTTTGAAAGCACCCAGCGCTATCTATAACAAAGGAAAGCCGACTTATCAGCAGGCACGATGCGTATGTGTGACATTTGAGCGGCTGTTCGTTTTTTGTTGCCACTCCCGGCTCAGACGGCCAGCTGTTTCTGACTCAGTGCTTATCTCGGCGCTGACTTTAGATTAAGATTACCACGTTCAATAACAGCCAAATAGCGGAAGCGATTGTGGCTCATCAAATAGGGTCACCCTGTGAGCCCTCCATGTGCGAGTGATAGGGGATGTAGCCGTCAGTGGAATTAGTAAGCGGAAATTGAACAGCATTAGATAGCGCTGGGTGCTTTTGGAACCACGTGCTCACTTGGCCTTTTTCATATTTTCTCAGACTGTTCATAAAAATTTAGCAAAGCATCACCTGCAAGGTCTGCACCTACCGTAAAATACCAAGCATGAGCCCAAGTCTCAATAAGCGCCCACCACCTACTTTCGAAACATTTCAAAAATCACCAAAGGACATATCAAATGCCCGTCCCCCCACTTAAAGCAAGTTTGAAAATGTGTGAAACACACGCAAAGAGTCCAGTCGCCGTGGGTGGCCGTTATCTAGGTGACAAGCGGACTGCACAACACTAGCACGGGTAAAGCGCCGAAGCAGGAGAGGGTGGACGAGGAGTGCAGAGTTGAAAGAAGGTAGAAACTGACGACGATAGACGAGTTGCTCTTTTGTTCTAACTCAAAAGGGTCATTCAAAAACCTTTGTAACGAAGACCAGATGATGCATGATCGACCACATTTTTCTTTTCCTCAATAAACTTGCTTACCGCATTTACTCGCAAAATGAATGCGTCCCCCACAACGGTTGTTAGTATACGGGTAGACACTGAGGGAGAGAAGGAGACGAGAGGACATGGGGACGTCGGAACACCGAGTTGGAACGATTGGTGGATAAACGCAAAGCTAGTAGCCTTTGTTTCTACTCAATCTTCCAGCGGGTTTTAACACTTTGAGCAGTGAGTAAAGACAAAGAGGCATCTAGCTTTGCACTAATCATATCAATCAGAACTCGGTGTTCCAAAGTCCCTATGCACTTTCACGTCCTCCTCTCCCTAAATTTATATCCGCATTGATTTTTTTTTTTCCCACGCAGCCGCCAAGTTGGTTAAGCCGCCGAGCAGCAAGGTCAAGCCAAGCCAAGTCTAGCATGGCAGCACATGCATTCAAGTTATGGCTGCAAATGGGAAAATCGCAGAAACGAACAACAGTGTAACCGAGCGGCACACATGGTCGACAAAACTGGGATCGATCTCTCGGAGGTGTCTCGTCCCGTCGGACAAATTCGTGTCATTGAGCATGCCATAGTCTGGGGTTCATTTTTGGACAGTGACATTGTGAAAGTGGTGAGGCCCAGGAACACATCACTGCTGAAACGCTACAATATATTTAGTATTTTTCCTACCATTGTCCTATGATCAATCGCGTGTTCCCATCCGTGTGTTTCGTCTCCGAAGATTGAATATACCTCGAGTTTCGATCTGCACTTGTTTCGATGACCTGTGTGACTTCTGAATGAACATGCTTGTGTTGTGTCTTGGCAATTGTTTTGTTCAGTTTCTTGAGTATCTTACACAAATAAAGGTAGCGCGAAAGACGAAGACAAGTAGAAGACACAGACAAGCGCTGACTCAGAACTAACATTTAGTGAAGAATCAAAGGAAGATAAAGCAGAAGTGCAAGGACATATCCAAAATGAGAAAAAAAGAGAAAAAAAGTCATATACGTGGGCCAGACTGGCCGGTGTGTGAACATGGGATCGAGAGAACATGCACCGTCTCTGAAGTCATCACCGGCAGGGCATCCCGCTCTACATGTACGAGATTGCAAGTGTACCCTCTTATTTTGTCTAACAAAAATCCTAAGGCAATTCAGCGATCGAAGAGCAAAAGAAATATATGAGGTGCAAATCTTAGCAGCTAAAGGGGATACATGCATCAGTGCACTGTCAGTAGCCTTTTTGGCGAGGGAAGTGCACTACTAACAATGTTTTGTCTGAGAACTTTGTTTCACTAGCATAAATTTCAGAAGCCTCCTCTTTCTTTTCCTTACTTTCATTTTATTGGAGTAGGTTTTCATTCCAATTAGGTTTTTACAGCAGAGTATGATTAAAGGCTAGTTTCCCTAGTTTCGTGCCCGGTACCAAACAAATGTCGACACAAAACTACACAAAACTCTGGACAGCTGCCACCATCTATGAGCAACAGCAACAACCGGACAACCAGCCTGGTTGCCGCTGTCGCTCATAGATGGCGGCAACCTTTCCAGCTATCATAGAAGAACAGATAGTTGGGCGAGTTGGTGGGAATTCATCGTAGGAAACAGCGTGCAAAACAGACGAGGGCGAAGAAGAAACACACTGGACGAGTGAACAGCTTCACTGGTCGTTTTTCTCCACCAGAGTGGAAAGGCTGAAAGTTTTTTTGCCAAGGGGGATCGGTGGCTGAGTGGGCGAGCGCGCACCAGCTCGGAGCACATGAAGTGAAAGCTTGAGCTGCAGAACCCAGGAATCCTGGGTTCAATCCCCACCCCTGCCCGTTTAAATTTAGATGAGCATCATCCCGGCATGCAGTCGTGTATCACTACAACACGGTGCACTTTAAAGGCCCCAGGCTAGCAGTCGTACTGCACTGGCTATATTATTCAGCTACAATAGGTAACAATGTTGCCATGCTCTGGCAGAGTGGACTCCTGCTGCATAAACAACTAACGATTAATTTGTATGTTTTGTTTTTTTAGGCCTTTTCTTTCCTTTTTTTTTCTTTTTCATGTCTATATTAGTGTAACTGATTCATATTAATCCGCACTTCATTTCTTCTTTCTTAATTTTGAAGTAAAAAAATATCTTTGCTTTTTTTTCTCATTTCGTATATGTCCTTGCACTTCTGCTTTATCTTCTTTTGATTCTTCACTAAATATCAGTCATCACTCAGCGCTCGTCCGTGTCTGTCTTCTACTTGTCCTCGTCTTCTGCACTACTTTCATTTGTGTAATGTATAACCAACTAGCAAGTCATATGATCTTAGTTATTGTTTAACTTTCAGTAGTACAAGTTTACCTCGTGTTCAAAAATTTGTCTCATTCAATTGATTTTGTGGCCAAGGAATAAATGTATTCCATTTCATACTTGTGTTTCATTTCACTAATTCTGTTACATCAAAATAGATCTGTTATATTTGATACATGCGTTTCCTTTCACTAGACTCGGCAAGTAGACAACCCACCAAAAACTTGCAACCGTGTCGCAGTATATACACGGACTACCTGTTGCTTTGGCCTGTGCTAGGAGTAGAATGTCACTCTTTTTGATCATGTAATGAGACCCACGGGGAGTAACTCAAATGTACTCGAGCAAGACGTTCAGCTGGCACTCATGTCTAATTAGGCAGTCGCTGTTTCCCTTTTCGTTTCAGACGTGCAAACTGACAATAGTTAGGTGCCAGCCATACACCAGATTCTGCGTTAAAATTGGACATAATCTTTAAACAAAACTGGGGGATGGACACCTGCTAGGTTCAAGAGCAAAAATGCAAAGGGGCATGGGATAGGGTGGGCTTCACCACTTTGCACCGAAGTGCTCGAAGGAGCAGTTGACGCATAGCAGCATCTCGGTTAGCGAGGTGTGCTCAAAAGTCTGGGTTGAGCGCTTGGTATGTCCTTTGCTTATTTTTTTTTATGTTTCACAAGTAGCGGGAGGGCGCTTATTGTGACGTGGGCACATGCTCCATGTTTTATGGCATATTCGTAGTAAGAAGAACTCTTCCGGACAGTTCCTCTAAACATCCGAGGATGACACCTGCATTTTTTGTGCGGACCAGATAGTACCAAAATTATCTACAAGCATGCTGAAGTGCCTAAGCTATGCCTGTTTCTAAAGTTGGGCTCTGCCTAGAGCACGAACTCCACGTGTCATACTTTGAAGCACTCAGTATATCCTCTGAGTACCAAGGCTATCTTCTGCTCTGAACCACTTGAGGCACCACCATAATAGCACAAACATGGCAGACTAATTTTGCAGCCTGCATGTAAAACAGACACCTTGTAACGAACGTCTACCATTAATCTACTTCCATTTTCAATTGCAACAAGCCTAGAAATTTCCAGAAGTTTCGATTCTAGGGGCGTGCAAACCATCAAATTTGCACTGTGAATCGAGTTTGAATGCTGGAAATTCAATGCAAATTGAAAAAGACTATTTTTCTAATAGTGAAGTGAATGGAATCAAATGTGAACAGTATCAAAGTCATATTTGGATCAATAATATAACAAAATTTTAATGACAACAGTTATTTTTATAGGATATTATTTTATGCATCTTTCAAGGGAAAGAATCAAGCTACTGTCATAGGACAAAGTAAGTGACTCTGTTTCTGGTGAAATTTTTTTCAATTTTCTAAGAAATACTACTTTTACGGAGTAATTTTATCCTTTCCCCCACCACTGTTAAAGTTTAGCATAAACTTCAAAGAAAAACAAGACATGCATGCCTTATTTAGCAGCAACTTCTGGTAAATTACTGTTTTACCACATTGCATACACTACTTGAGCATGATGTAAAAACAGGCCATTCAAAGAAGATTTAGCAAAAACGAAAGTACAGTATGTTGCAGGATGCATACTTTTCATTTTCTGAAACTTGTGCAGAAAACAAAAGATGTACTCAACATCAGATAACTGCACCCATGATGACTGTCTACAGAACCCCAGCAGGTCGGTCGAATGCTCGTAATCTATATCTTGCATGTCCAGATTCCCAGGTAGCCTAAATTAATGCACGGTCATTTGTTGAGGTACACCAGATGCCCTTCTTTGTCTTGGAAAGTAAACCCTGAAAATTTAATATGAAAATTTCTGTCCATTTCACATGCCCACACTACCCTTCCTTGTTTGTCCCGAGTGTCGTGAAGCCCAAAGAACAGGTACACAAAAACTTCTCCATAGCAGAGACTGATATAGTGAAGCAAAGATGAACTTGCCCGTCTTGACATGTTTCACAAACGTGACCATTCCTCTTCTTTTAGCAACAATTACTGTCAACTGCCATCTCGCATCAATTCGCATTGTGACCACAACTTGAGAGTAAATCTATTTGTGAGAACTAATGCGGAGAGCAAGTCGTCTGCTTCTTGCCTAGGGGTTGCGGTGACGTCAGAACGACGCCGAGCCCTGGTTGGCTTTGATTCAAAGGATAGTGGGCAGACCCTGAGTGCTAGATGTCTTGAGGTTCACCCACTATTTTATTCAACCTGCCAATAAGAGCTCGGCGTTCTGACATCATCACAACCCCTGTGCAAGAAGCAAATGAACTTGTGCTCCGCATTAATTTAAAATTCTCTGCTTTCCCTAGCTATTCTTGACTGAAATTCTCTTCCTGAAATAATCACACCCAAAACAAATCAGGCTAAATTCAGTGATCTTTGCAAGACACACCTCAAAAGTGTTTTCTGTCAGTCAAAAATGTTTACTTAATATCGCCGACTTTTTTTTTACTTGTGCCTTTTACACTACAGTCGAACCCGGATATATCGAATTCAAAGGGGATTGTAAAATAGTTAAATATATGAATAATTTGATATACAAAAATATGTTAAATTAGCTCGATTTAAAATTTCCTGGCATATTATCTGCTAATACCGAAGGTCGCGACAAACGAGAGCTTACCGAATAGAGCATCCAAGAGCCGCTAATTACAGTAGAGCATAGTTGGCGAAGACGGCAAACACCCCCGCGCTTACACGCGCACCTGGCCGGGACCTTCACACAGCATAAGTGACAAAACACGAAAATAATAAAAAAAAGAAAAAAAGGAAAAGCGAGACGCATAAAAATATAACTCTCAATCCATAAAAAAATTAAGCAAGCAACAAAACAGAACGCTCACTAAATTCAGGAAGCTAAAAAGAAAGGAAAAAAAAAAGAAGAAAAATGGGCAAACCATTAACAGCAAAGGAAAAAGGTAAACAAAGATAAGGCGTTCAAAGTGTGATTGCACAACCGTTGTTGGCAACACACTCAACTTGCTGAAGACTTTTTTTTCATGCTTATTCTATTTTGGGGCTAGGGAGTCGTGCAGCATCAGCAGTTCGGGGAAAGGGCGAAGGCTCCCTACTCTCCCTATGCTTGCTTTTGCCATCCTCCACTTTTTTTTTTTTTTTTTCAGTTCATTTTTTTTTTTTTTTTTACAACTGCTTTTTTGTTTTATATCTTACAGTGTGTATGCTGGCATGGTGGCCTGCCAGCCCCACAACGCAAGCGATGAGCTCGCCACCGGCGCAATCGTATTGCGAGGAAAGCAACGAGCTGCCAGGCTTCTTTCGCTATATCGAGTGTCCCTGCCATGGGAGTGATACAAAAAGACAATGCTCCTATGGTATTACATGTGATTTTCAAGGGGATGTTTGGATTGTCTGATATAAACAATAATTCGAAATACCCAAGTGTGACATAACCAAGCTCGACTGCACCCCTAAATATGTCCCTCATCCGTAAGTAACCAAACTGTTATTCGGCAACTTTCACTGTTAATTTCTTGTAATTGGTCACCCCCTCATGTAATGCATTTCACTAAAGCGGCCTTGAGGATTATTAAACTGAACAGAACTGTATGCTCCTAACACTGCTACAGAGTACAGACACCAGAGGAGTGAAGGTTTTTCCTGTAAAAACTGACTTCATTAAAGAAATACTCGAACGTGTCCCAAAAAGAAAGGGCCTACCCTGGGGCTGGGAGGAGGGCTCCCACGTGGAGGAGGAGGGGGTGGAGAGGGCTGCTGATGAGAGGGTGAGGCCGTGGGGCCGGTCTCGTCCACCGAGCGCACGCTGGCACGATGCCGCTGCACCGGGGTGCCCGAAGTGGAGGACCTGTGGTCAGACGGTGCAGACTGGAATTGCAGGCGGCCAACGCAGCTGGCACACTGCATCACAGCTGTACTCCGTTCACCCCTAAGCTGACGGCGCAGTGGAAGTTACATGCTCGCCAAACCAGTCATGCGTCTATCTTTCATCTCGTGGTTACGTCACCGTCCATACCCACGTGCAGAGACGGGGGGTCAAGTGATGAGAAGGAAGTGGTTGATGGGTCTGGCGAACGCGTTGCTCCCACCGCACGCCGGCTTGGGAGTGAACGAGGTAAAGGTTGCGAAGCTATTTTTCAATATGAAAACAAAGGTGGCAAGCTGCTGACCAAAGGGGCCCTATTTTCGAAAAAGCCAGTCTGTTCTTCGTGTTTCTCCAGCTTTTTGGATTGTTTCCAGGAGAATTTATGCTGACAATGGTGGCACTTTCCTGTCACAGTTACTAGGCTAGAAGTAACTAAAATCGGAAAAACGATTACATCCAGAAAATTATTATCTGCACTGCTGCTAATATACCAATCAAATTCCTACCCAAAAATCAGGAGACAATATTGAGAACACAAAGTTTATACACTCATCTCGGCTACATTCCACGTTCAAGACTGCAATTGTTTCGATTGCTATCCCACGGATCGTAAACGTTCCTGGGAATGTCTGCACGGGAATGTCAATGTCCCAGGGTGCCCTCCGGTCATCTGCAAGTGACGCACTCTGTCTGGCATTCTGGTTTTGCAAGTGCAGCAAGCAAATGCTAGGTGATTACTAGTATGGAGGAACTTCGTTCGTGATAAGATAAAATGTATATATAATGTGGTACTGCTTCTATACCCGTTTTCACGTCAAGAACCGTAGTAAAACAAGTCTGGCTCCTCGCGTAGCGTTACTAGTTTCCCCCTTTATGAGGATAGGTATGCAGGTGAATTTTAGATTATATACATGTTATCTTATCAAGACATACAAGTTCCAAATGCCAAAAGCATCACTTTTTACTTCGATAACCCAATCTCTTAAGAACTACTTCGCGCCTTGTATGATCAATGTGCAAAACTTGCTTTTTTCTTGAGGTGAAAACAGGTATAGTTGTCATGCAAACGGCGGCACATTTTGAGATAGCTAGCAAAACTTCCACGTTTAGCTTAATGAGAAACCTAACTTAATTAAAAGAAACATTATAATGCATTCCTAACTATTTAGGGTATGCAGTCAGAGTTAGGGAACGAAAGGCAGAGAGGTTAGCCTCAATATCTGCCCTAGCTACCCTTGTGTGGCATAATTAGTTCTACAAAAAAAAAAAAAAAAAAAAGAGTGCTTTTTGAAAAAGCTCAGCCACAAAGTTTGCCTCCAAACATAATTAAAACCAAAGGGAATGGGGCACGTGGCCTCAAGGTCTGTTCACGCCCTTGCAACTCCTTGGGACCCAGTACCTTAAAATCTTTTACAATCTCTTAGAACACACTGGTACGCTGGAGCCATCTGTGCGGTGACCCTGAAACTGCATTTCACTAGCGCAAGGGTTTGGCGGTATTTGCAAGGTCGAATGTGCGTATACTACCTATAAGAAATGGCTGTTTGTTAATTAACAACACTATTGAGGTTAATACCGAGAAAATCGGACAAATTCTCGGTTTCTGTGAATTTGGATCTGGATTTAATTTTTTCTAGTTTCAAGTATTAAGAGGTATATGTTGCCAGCATAAGGCTACAAAACCGTGGGAAACCAAAGGGTCATAGTTACTTCAGAATGACCGCGAAATCAACTGAAAGATTAATTTCGTGAAAAACATAATGTGTGTTACAGCACACAATTTTCGGAAAATATTCGTGTTACATCCGAGCAAATGCGGTACCTGCGCTCTGCGCTGTGGAGGAGGCGCAGCTGCAGGGTGAGCTTCAGCTTGGCCTGGTGGCCCGTTCCCAAGAGGATGAGTGGCTCGTCTATCTTCAGGCCCTCCTCCTTGAGCAGCCGCGACAGACGCAGTGGCAAGTGCCCCAGCACCTGCCCGGTCTTGTTGTCCACCACCTGTGGCCGTCGGGGAAGGCATATCTCTCGACTGCTCACAGACAGATCCAGATGCGATGAAACACGGCACGCAATTTGGCCCACCTCTTACGAAGAGGGTGCGGAGACGTCGGAGTACCGAGCTCTTGTCAGAAAAATAGGGAATAGACGCAAAGGCTACCTGCCTTTGTTTCTACCACCCTCTCCCTTAAATCGAAGCGAGCAAGATCGTCGTGCACTCCTTGCGCAGAGGGAGCGGTCGTGTAAGGGTCTGGCGTTTGGGTGCCGAACGACGGTGTCGTCTGCTGCTCGTAGCAACGGCTGTCTTAACTTTTCCTTGGCTTTTTCAAACCTACTGGTTCTTTACGAATGAGGAATCGGCCTTGGATAAAAGGGAGAGGAAACAACTCGGATGGTAGGTATTTTGTTTTTGTCGACAAGCAACTATGGTGATTTTCGCGTTCCAACGAACCAAAAAATCACAGCCGAAATGTCGTCTGCTCTAAACAGAGCAGCAGCCGTAGGGGTGAAGCTTTGCCACACATGTGATCACTCCCTCTCACCATGCCTCGTCTCCTTTTCTCTTTCACTTGTGCACCACATAGAAGAAGTCACTCTAACAACTGTACACTTGCACAAAACTGCTGGGTCTTGGCAAATTATGAAAGTCTCCCGAATAGCAGAGCCACACAAGTTTCAGTCAAGTGCACAGCATGCGGTGGTGGCTCATCTGATCAATCTTTTCCGTCTCCTGCCCGAGGTGTTCGGATAATCGATTGCTCTTAGGCCAGTTGAATCGAGGTCAGGAAGTAGCCTGGTCCCGAATGAAGTCGAGTGATCAAAAAGAGGTCTGGCTTTTTTAGCAACCTCAAATGGACACCGGAGGAAAGTTTTCAGGACTTAGAGAAGTAGACACACAAACATTTCACATTCTCAGTGTATGTATTCGCTCAGATAATTATGTATACTGGATTTAATTAGCAGAAATTTATAACCTCAAGATTTTTCAAAGCTCGCTAGAGTACACTTTCCAGCAATTTGCAAGCAGGGTGACTTGCCACTAGGGTTGCCACTTGCCCGGTTTTTGACCAGCCCGGCCGGTTTTTTAGACAGCAGGCCGGTTGCCGGTCAGTGGGTAAGACCGGCCATCATTGGCCGGTTTTTTGACAGCCATCGAAGCGCGATTGCTTTTAGCTTATTTTTTTGGCGTTTTCTAAGCGACAATTTAACAACTACTATAACAAAAAATATTTGTCAACGAAAAAAGAAAATTTTTTAAATTACACAAACATCGTGAGGACACGCGATTAGAGAATGTATGTGGGCGAGCGCAGCAGGAGAACTCGCTGAGATGGGGGGGCGGGGTACAGTCACAACACAAAACGAAACGATTACCGGGAGCGCGATGGAAAGCTGGAAAGCAGGAAAACGAGGGAAAGCGAGAAGACGCCGGAGGGCAACTCGGTGACAGGCCCTCCCGATAGCCGAGCCTTCTGGTTGACAAGGACACGCACGGCGCTTCATCCGTACACTGTGACGGGCGGCGTATGCGCTTTCCCCAAGCTTTCCCCTTCCACTACACATGGCGTAATATTGTTGTTGTCACTTTAGATCCTCGCCGTTTTTTCCCCTCCCTCTTCGTTCTCCATTTAATTGTTTAAGTGCCAAGACCAGAGAAACGCGCCGACAATGTCTAAGAACAGCTGAGCGTCTCTCACAGCTGTTGTCACTTTGTTGGCTGCCTGTATCCCAAAAGTAACTTTCCCTTCCCTTCAGACCTCCATAGTTGTTTTTCTTTTGTTCTCGCTATTCGTTCCCCTTCGGAAAGCTTTGCGCGAGCATAAGGAGTTACTCAAACTTAATGGCTTGAGTGCCAAGACAGACACGCGCCGACGATGTCTGGGAAGGGATGCGCGGCTCTCGCAGCTGGGGTTAATTGGTGGCCTGCGTGCGTTCCAAAGTGACAGGGGGTGCTGATTCATTGCCTGTGCTAGCGTGCATTGCCAGTGGAGCCATCTCAGAGGATCAGAAAACGACGCCGACATTGCCGTTTTTTCGGCACTCTTTCAGAGCATCGATATGTGCTGCTATGTTCAGGCTTGCTTTCTAACTATTTCCAAATGGTTGCCATAAATTAATTACGTGCCGAGAGACGTGTCTGTGTTTTTTCCAAAGGGATGCTAAACACAGAGGAGGTTTGAGGTGGAAACGAGGGCAAAGCTATCCGTTTTCTGCTACTATATCCTATTGGAAATTGGGTCTTATTAAAGGGCAGTACCGTACGCAGCGATGCGACTGGTTTGTACAGAGGCGTTTCCGACGTCAATCACCAAAACTTCCACGCTATTTGTCAACCACTTTTTATGTTGTGCCAATAAATACTGGAAACAAGGTCCCTTCAAGTATACTAATCATTGGGAGAGCGAAAATCTGCATCAGTGATTACGCGCTTCCTTTGCTTGCATCATGAATGCGAATTCTCCGCCTTCGAAACAGCGAAAATTACGTCAGTGCGTGTTCCAGAAAGACTGGAGATCTCAACCAGAGTACGAGAGTTGGCTCCTGCCCGCGGACGACGATGCCACCGCTGCAAGATGTACTTTATGCGCAAGCACGTTTACGGTGAAATTTGATGGCGTGAGCGCTGTCAAGCATCACGCGTCAACGCAGAAACATAAGCAGAACAGCCTCGCCTCGAAACAATAAGCTGCGCACACGAAGTTCTTCGCTCCAGCGACTTCTAGCGCGGAGGATAAGGTGACTGCTGCAGAACTGGGCAACATATTCCATGGCATCAAGCACAACTACAGTTACCTGTCAATGGATTGCGGCAGCAAGTTAGAGTCAAAAGTCTTCCCGGATTCAAGTGTCGCTTGCAGAATGTGGCTTAGAAGAATGAAGATAGAACACCTCGTGAAAGATGTGCTGGCACCTTATACAGTGGAGTGCATAGTCGAGAAACTTCGCCCAGCAAACCGCAACCTCCCGCTTGCTCTCTCCACGGACGCCTCCAACAAGGGAAATAGAAAACTTTTCCCCATCGCCGTGCGCTTCTACGACGTGAATGGTACCGGAATAACGGACGCTCTCATCACTTCTGTGAGCAGGCGGACGAGACTTCCGGCGGCATCTGTGAACTCTTGGCAACAAGTTTGGAGAAGGTGGGTCTTCCTCTAGAGCGAGCTGTAGCGTATAGTGCAGATAACGCTTCTGTGAATCATGGGAAACACAACTCCATTTTCTAGAAGATGCAGAAAGATGAGCCGCAATATTTGAAGGCCAATTGTTATTGCCATGTAGTGCACAACACTGCCAAGCACGCAGTGAAGTCTTTAAAGTTTGATGTGGAAACCCTTGTACTAAATGCCTTCAAAGAGTTTTCTTCTACAGTCAAATCCGTTTATAACGAACAGCAGGAAACGCTACGATCAGTTCAATATAGCCAGTAATTCGATATAGCAAAAAACATTTACAACGAACTTCCACGATGCGTTCGTTGTAAGGCAAGAGCTTCTCTTTCTCATCTCTTCGCTCCTGCCTTGTAACAATGTGCTGGAAAAAAATTTTTTTTTTGCATGCGTGCAGAGTTTTTTTGTTTTTTTTTTCTTTTTTAGCTTATATCTTTCTGAGCTGCTTCTCTTCGTGGGCAACCGTTTTGGGATGAAAAGTTTTTTTCTGTGCTTGCACGCATTGTGTATTTTTAGCCTTCCCCCCTTTCGAATCGCTTCTCTTCGCTCAATTATGCTTGCAACTTGAGCTTTTGGAATTTTCTTTCCTACTTTTTTGGGTGGAAAGAGACAGGCTAGAAGACGATTGTTTGCACGTTTTTTGGAAACCTTCCCGACGGGAAAAAGTTCGATATGGCCAATATGTTTTTCGTTATAAAAACTGCTTTTTACATGCACTTTTATTTGAATTTTCTGCGAGTTCGATATCGACAATAATTCGCTGTAAGTGGGTTTGTTCTAAATGGGTTTCACTGTAGTTCAAAATGTGTAGAGGAATTGAAAACGTTTTTCGACTTCTGTGATCAGGAATATAGCAAAAGTGCTGGGTCATATTTCTGTCTGTTGGTTAAGCTTGTTTACGGCCTTCTGATTAAGAACTGGCCTCCCATCAAGTCCTACTTTCTGAGTCAGGGCGAGAAGGAGTGCGAAAAAATAATCTGGATATTTATTGGCAACCAAGCCGATGGACCTTCAGAGTGTATCACGCTTCCGGAGTGCTATCTGCACTTCATGCACTCGTTCCTTGAATGTTTCATTCAACGATCCTCAACCTCGAAAAGAGTCATCTTGAGCCGACAGAACTCTACGCTGTAATGACTAAGCTCAGGAAGCAGCTGATTAACCAGAAGCACGATATGTTCTTCGGTGTCAAGGCTAATGAGGGACTTGAAACCCTTCCGGGCAGACAGGCTGCAATGCTGCACTTCGTTAATGTTTATGACAGGGCCCTTGCATACTTTGGAAAGTGGTTTGACTTCAAGAATTCCTCATTTAAGAGGCTCACCGAATTGGATCTGTGCAAAGGTGCACCCAGCATGTCACTCGTAATAAATGCGGGGGAGCTTTTCGGCCTTAACTTTGAAGAGCATGGCGATGAATTGTACTCAGAGCTTTGTCTTTTGATGGATACTCTTCCTGGACTTCTAGGACATGACGAGAAATTGAGCTCGATCTGGCTCAAATTTTTGAAAGAGGTCAGGTGCCCCCATTTGCAGAACCTAATGGAGCATGTTTTCTCCATTCCCTGCAGCAATGCGTTTGTGGAACGCGTCTTTAGCGTGATGGGGAACTTGTGCACGGATGAGAGAAATCAGCTAAGCGTCCCAAAGGATAAAGCGGAGCTCTGTGTGCGGTATAATTTGGTGTACAGCTGTGAAGACTTTCTAAAGATGGCGAGAGAAAACAAGCAGCTCATCCGAGCAGCTAAGTCGAATTCGAAATATACGTTCAAGTTCCGCAAATAGAAAAAGGTGAGCATATAAAATGTTACCTTTTTTTGTTTTTCTGCATTGTTTTGTGTATTGCATATTATTCCGCGTGTATGTATATATGGATAATATTCAATACATTGTGACATATGCACTGTATACTTTTTAACGGACGTAATATGCCACTGGTTTGGTGGATTTAGTTGCGAAGAGCATTTTATGTATGAAGTATGTGCGGTTATTTTTCAGTGCTGCACATGGGGAGCCAGTAATTGCAATTTCTTGAAAGGGGTCTGCGAGTGGCGAGGCAGCATGTTATCTTTTTTTTTTTTTTTGTGTTGGTACTAGTATGTTGTTTTTATGGCTGTCATAAGCGGTTATGTGAATTTTATATTTTTGTATCTGTAGTATGTTCTTTCTGTCACAAGACGTTACGTGAATTTTGTATTTTCTTTAACATAGATTAAGAAATGTTTTATCTCAAAGAGGTGCTTTCGATTATTTGATTACATAAAGTATTCTCCCCTTTGTACATAGCTAATCTGTGCATGTGGTTTTCTGTCGTGCTGCCAAACTGGAGACGGGCACCAGACTTTGTGAAGCTGCCTCTGGCAGCTTTTTAGGGGCAAAGCTCCTTAGGGGCTAGCCATGTCCGTATGTCTGTCCGCCGTCGGGTGCACGTGCTCCTGCTCGTGAGCTCACGCGCTCACATGCTTACGTGCTCGAGTAGGGCAAAAAAAGCAACCACATCTCCACGTGGTAAATGATGTTGATTGGGGCAAAGCTTTGGTGGTGCTTGTCTGTGTAGACGCTGAGCCGCAGCATGCCAAGCCTTTCGTTCGTTTTCATCCATGTCAGAAAGAGAATGTGTGGTATGGAACATGGTTATATACGCATCTGAGCATTTGACCGCAGCGTGACATGGATGAAAACGAACGAAAGGCTCGGCATGCTGCGGCTCAGCGTCTACGCAGACAAGCACCACCAGAGCTTCGCCCCAATCAACATCATTCACCACGTGGAGATGCGGTCGCTTTTGTTTGGGGGCACCGTTGGCTCAAAGCCATAAATAAAGTTGATTTGATTTGAAGAGACGTGATCTACTCGTCCAAAACCCCGAGCTGGCGACTTTAGAAAAATATGGAATTGCGCTCCGTCTACACGAGCATAATGCTTTCTGAGAGTAGCAACAAAAAACCTCAGTCACTTTTAGTACGTATGTTATTCCATTCACAGATATTTTTATGCCAAACAGCAGACTAGTTGGTTCTCCATCTGCTGTGCGCGGCAAGTTAGTCAGAAATGTCTTTATTTTTCACTAAAGACGGCATATAATTGCACATATTATTGAGCGCAGTGCTGTGTATTTGTGTACATGTACGTTATACTAATTCCTCTCTAAGAAATCATTCGTGACAATAAATTGCACTGCCTGTCAAAGTCCCCATCTTTGACAGATGGGGACTTTGACATCTTGGCACTCCGGAACCCCGCGTCTGGCAGGTAAGGACCTTTTCTTACCTTGCCGGCGCGGGGGCCATTTTGGATGGGGACATTGTAGTCCTTTTAAAAGAGTGTTCTAATAAATACTCTTGGACCCTGTCCTTACTCTGGCACGTGTGTCTTCTCTTCCGCTATATTCGAGAGAGTGAAACAAGGTCGACGATCATTGGCACCGACGGAGGTAATTTGTCGAACCGGCCCGCAGGAATGTAGCCCTAAACGTCGCCTACGTTGCCGCGGAGATGTGGGGACTGCGCTACTAGGTGTGACGTCTCCTTTGAGATCGTTGCCTCTGTTGAGATAACCCTTTGGTTACTCTATCGGTACCTGTGTTGGTAGCTAGCAAATCCCACATAAAATGGAGCAATGAAAGACCTTCGTGACACATTCGATCTTTATCGCTTCCGCGGGCGGAGTCGACAGGGTGAGCTTTTTATCTGACCTTGTCGGCGCGGGGATTTTTGGACAGCGTGACTTTTGGTGTTCCAATAAACACCGTTGGACCCAGTCCTATTGTGGTACGTGCTCCTCCTTTATAGAGAAGCGATCAGCTGTGCGGCTGACGTTCGGACCCGTCCGTAGCGGTGTTCTCGAGTGAAAAGCTGCAGGGTGTGGGAGTAAGCTTGGCGTCTCCCGATTAGAGACCGCCGCTGAACCCTTCAGTTACCACCACCCGTGACCATCCCACAGTAGTAGTATCTTAAGCGTACCACCCTCGGTTATTGTGCTACGCCCCAGGGTTGCTTGGTCAGACTATCCACTAATTTAGGCAGCGCGTGTCTCTCAATCAAGGGCAGGAAGCTTGGATAAGCAAACGCACCTAATATGGTTTGGACACTAAGGACTGCCTGCAATCTTCTCCACCCCTCGTGAAACTCCAGAGTGTTCCGCGAGCAAAATTAGCAAACGAGACTTTGCTCAGATTGCCATTCAGTCCCCCCAACCCCAACACTGACGTGCATCGGACCCCCTCGTCGAGTGCCCAAGCAGAGCGAGGCTCCGCCCACACTCGTCCCAGAAGCTCCGTACCTTGATCTCCATCTCCTGGACCTCCGGGTTAGCAAGCAGTAGGTAGAAGATCTCCTCCCAGACAGGATCATTTGTGCTATGCTTGATAGAGCTCCAGCGCTCCACGTGACCCAGCACTAGCTGCACCTGGGGGCTTGGCTCGCCCGCAGCGCGGCTCGCATTCTGAAATCATCGAGGAACGGCCGCATCACCATCGACCAAATGACAGAGGCCCTCGCGAAGAACACGCGAGGAACTAAGCTGTGAAGACGCAAAGCTGCAAGCGAGCAACTAATAAAATGCTTTGTCATGGACTCCCAGGTGAAAACGCGTTAAGTTGGGGCTGGATCATTGTAAATAGTCCCAAATGTATCCAACTAGGACTAGTTGCAAAATCAAACTCCAGCTGAAACGACTTTTCACAAGGGCTGGACTCTTGATTCTACTCCAATTCACATTAGGTACGAGAGTAGCAGGAGCTATTAGAAGCATGCAATGGGACAGCAGCGCCACGTTGCGGTTCCTAGACGAAGCATTTTGCATAGACCACGGCCGGACTGGCATAGACATCCAGTGTAGCGCCAACTTTAGTTTATAATTAATGACAGCTTACCTGAGCAGAGCACCATACAAAACGTGTGGGGGCCTACTCGGCGCTGATTTTTTAAAGCGAGACCCAGAAGTTGGGAACACGGATCCCCTCCATGCGCTGGCAAAAAGCGCTGCGATCGTCCCAATCCCAGTAAGTCTACCCCATCTGCCAGCAAACGAAGAGCAATCTGATGAAAGAGGAACGGAAAGTATTGATGTGAAACAAATGATTTGTCCACTATTACTGCTACTACTCGCGCATCGGCACGCCACTAATGTTATTAAATAATAAAAAAGGAAGTTTATTAATTTTAAACAAACTAATATGATGAAAGACTTGGAATTTTATTACTTCATTATTTTCATAATATTCACATCCCCCTAATTACTGTTACGTTAAATGCAACACATTGGCCTTTTTTTCACTAGCTGTGGCTTGGCCAGGGCCACTATTGGCTACTCCAGCGAAATTGATGCCGCGTAGCTCAGGAGAGGAGGTCGTTTCGACTCTGTTGTCTGCTATTGGTGCTTGGTTCCCGTAGGCAGCATAGAAACAAACATTGTTTCCAGTACTTGTTTCTATGCTTCCGCAGTGTCATTCCTACGCAATGACTAGAAGGTTTCTACCATCGAAAAATCACTTTGCTTTCATGTGTAACACTGATTTTACGCTGCAGTTAAAGAAATTTATGATGGTCCACGTGCTGAACGACGAAAACAACCTCCTTTCGTCCACCATTTTGCCTGACCAGCGCACCCCCTAAAGTTCACTAGAGTCGCGAATACAAAACTAAGGCACAACAAACTTTGTGCTAATGCAAGACGCATGCTGTTTCTATGCACTTCCCTAGTCAAACAGTTCTTCATAACAGTGTTTCAGAGAGGATACCCAAAAGGTAAACAAGACATGTTTGATTCCCAGATCTCACAGCACACTTTGGTGTTTCTTACTTACTTCCTGAAATGCAACACTCACTCGAGTCCTTGAAAACCATGCACGACAGTTAGTCTTTGAAATCACATTCTGAAGAACAAGAGCAAAGCTGAGGTTGAAGCAGTCACAGGCCGACATGCTTGGATTTCTACATTCAGCACTATAGTATTTTCCACATACAGTTGGCTATAATGTGTGCTGGTCAAGAAGGTGTCAGCCACAGAGGATCGACAGCACAGCGTAAGGGAAGAACCTCAAACTACAATCACACTCCTTGTCGCCGTTGAGTGCATGTCGCTGCCCAGTAAGAGCAGCAGGACCGGAAGATGGGTGAGTCAAAAACAAAGTTCAGCAATGACTTTAGGCAGGAAGGACCCGACTTTACAACATGAGTGCCATGTAATCGTTTCAAGAGCCAGTTTACTGTACTGTGCTGCTTGTGTGTCATGTGAAAAATCATATAAAAATGTTAGCTTGAAAGGCCATTACAACCAATGACAATGAATCAATGTGTACATTTGAACTTGCTTTCCTCATTTGTGCCACTATCCGGAATCAACAAAGTGTCACGCATGGTGTGTGACACTCAAATCAGGGTCTCTAAGTTTGACATGTGGTGAGAAAGTCGGCGAGATCTTTGACCGCCGTGGTTGGCCAGGGCTGCACTTGACCTTGGCACTAACCAATCACAGAATGGCATTGGCCAATCGTGGCGGTCGGCGATCTCAAAGACTTTCTCACCAAGTGTACAACTTAGAGCCCCTGCACTTTATGACTGCTGACGATACCAGACCCACCTTCTGGAGTGATGGCAAAAATATAACGGTGAAAAACAATGTGATCACAGCTCACATACCATCGACAAAAAGCAATGCCATAGCCAGCACTTTCACAGCTTCTATCGTATCAGAAATCAGCCCCTTTCATTCTGAAAGGGGCCGATTAGAAAGTGACAAACTGCATAAACTGGGGCCATTTTTGTCAGGCATAATTTAGGCCAATGGCTCTGAGGTAATAATCTCAGGTAAAGATGACTCAAAACAACCGTAAACATGCTTTGTTGGAACATTCCTCGAAGTTTTACACACATCTTTCTGAGAGGCCTACAAGATAGTGCATGATTCTATACTAAGTGAAATACCTAATATCATACCCTACTCAACCATACATTCATATATGTTTAGGCATGTTAACAGATTAAGCTCTCAAATCTACTTTTGAGTCCAAGTGCAGTAAACCCTGGCCTAGTTGTACAGCAGGATGTCCGTGGGGGGAGGCAAGCGTAAAATGAACCTCATTTTTTAAAATTTTTTTTTTAATTTTTATTTATTTGATACGTGCCCACAAACAGCATGACACCTTTAGCGTAGTGCACAAAAGGAAACGAAGCAAAGAAAGTATGTGAAAATAGGTAAAAAAGCAAAGAGGAAAAGAAAGAAAAAGAAAAAAAAAATGAACAAATACCTTACATGATTGTATAAAACATGACTCTACAACACAAAGAAGTACACTCAGGCTTTCGACAAATTTTTCACAGCTCGGGCAAAAGTATCATAACAATCAAAGATGCTCAGACAGGTGCCTCAAGTGAGCCATGAACTAGCAGCTGACAGCAGGGGCACATAACATCACACCTGAAGAAGTTAAAAGGGTACTCCGCCGATTTCTTCATGGTCCCCGATTTGCTTGAAATTTTGCTAGACTCACCAAACAACATCGCCAAAATAGTATCCCAAATATTAGGTCAAAATAATTTTTTTTCACGAAGTTATTGAATTTACAACTGTGGACCTCACCGTGTTTTTCAAACTGAAAGTCTCTACTGGCAACAATGAAAAAGTGACGTCAGTGGAAGTGCGGGGGTTCACCCTTTGGACAGTACAATTTGTTCCCAACTGAATCGAAGCAGTTTCATGGTGTCAAATGAATGCTTTGGAAGCTCGCTCCAGTCCCCGCGCTCCAGCACGGAACAAATGATTGGCATATTCTATCTTTTAGACTGCTCGCCCGACTGGCAAGCTTGCCTTCCACTGACGTCACGGCCCTGAAAAGGGCGGGTATATTTGAATGTTTGTTTTTGCATCATTTTCATTTGCCGACTTCGCAATAACTATTATGAATTTCACGATACTAAATAGCATACCAGAAAGGGTAAAGGCCGGGGAGTCAGAAAATATAGTTAGTTGAGGTAGCTCAAAAATCGGCGGAGTACCCCTTTAAGTGTCTTAGTGAAATGTCTGCTATCACCCTGAGGCTTCCAGGTGGTTTCTTCTCAGGCTGCTTCTACGAGCTTCCACTACCTTTGTGTTTTGCTCGATCTCACAAATTCATACTTTGGTGGCATGGTTTTTAATTAAATTTTGCCAACTTTTATTGCTAAAAATAAAAGTTAAAGAGACAAATTAGCTCTTCAATTTTTTTGAACAAAAATAAATTTAAAAAAAAAATGTTTTTAACTTACAGGTTTGGCAACATGCACCTTTCAAACTTCAGTATGATGACCTGAATTCAGCTTCACAAGGGCCTACAGCCCTCCCATTAAATCACTGGTTTCAGAGATTCATCTTTTGGCTTCGAAAGGCATGCATCTACAGTTGCACCCACTTATAACGAGCCTGGATACAGCGAATTACTGTCTATATTGAACGCCCAAATATTTCAAATGAAAATGGAGGTGAAATGCACTTTTCTAACGAACAACATAATGGCTATATCAAACTTTGAAACAGAAAACGGCTATCGGAAATACAAAAACGACTGTCCCATTTAAGAAAAAGAAAAAGGCTCTAACGCAGCCCGCTGCACCGATGCGCGACAATTTTCGAGCCAATGGAATTACTTCTCTGCCAGAGCCCAAGGCCCTGGCTTGAGATTACGACGCGCGGATGGCCGACCCGACCTCTTTAAGACCAGCAGTCTCGACCAGCTTCAGCATGAATCTTGTTCGTGTTGGAGATTACTGCTATGCAAGCAAGTGCATGGGTGCAAGATGAAAGAGCAGCGTTGTTTCCAGTCTGCTGGTTTCGTTTAGATTTTGGAATCAAGGGAGGAAAATCTCCTTCAAGAACATGCCTGTCATACTGCCAGCCCTAAATCTAAAGCACAGGCGCTTGTGGCTCACCCGTAATCAGTGCACTTCACACAGCTTCTCAGAGAAAAGGGTGATTCCTACTAGAAACTTCACGAAGTCTAGATGCTCAAAATGATTAAAAAGCGCAACAAGAAGACGGACACAGAAGAAGACACAGGCACAGCGCTCCCGTCCAACAAACTTCCCAGCAGAAGAGACAGCTGAACTGGGATTGCTTCCTGTTTTATCTATTAGCCCTCCTAGTGCATTCTCAGTTACGGTTTCTTGAATTGAATGTTTCTTTCGCGATCCACTGAAGCACATACAAGTGTTTACTGCACATTTAATGTCAATACGTTGTGTTTCAAACTCCCGGCATTGAAATTCGCTAGATGCAAGTTACGATATAACAAACTATTTGATACATCTAACCAATGCGCGCATCTGAAGGAGTTTGTTAAAAACGGGTTCAACTGAAGCTCTTCCGCCTCCAGAGGCAAAAAGGTTATTTACTCTAACATTTCAGTTCAGTATAATATACTAATCACTCTAGAAAATTTTGAAATTACAAATCAACAAGTGGACATGGGTCCCTATCGTTTCGTTGAAACTCGTTTCGTGGACAACTTTTCATGGACACACGTTTTATGGGCACAAATTTCGTCGACATGAACATTTTATCGACACTCGTTATGCGAACTGCAAGCTGTAGAGACATTTTGTCGCACGTGTATCACTGGGTGCGTGTTAACCCATCCGGCCACCCCGTTTACGCCGCTTTGCGGTGACAGTCTGCAGTGGCTTATTACAAAAATGTTAACTCACCTGACGCAGCCATAAAAGCCGCTTCGCGGTAACAGTCTGATGCAGCTTTTTACAAAAAAAGCTAATCTGAGTTGTCTATGAAACAATTTGTCAATCAAATGTTGTACGATAAACTGATTGCCACCAGTGGACATGACTCGGTACCTAACTATACTAATTTGTAGAACTGATTTTATTAGCACTACGTAACAGAAACATGCTGTAGCAAAATGTGCAGCAAAACTTGCCAAAAGCCACTCACTGGAAGGTGCTTTGCCGAATCCAGGAACACAATCAGCACAGCCGTTGACAGTGGCGTCTTGGTTGAGATGGATTTGACACGCTCCAGTTGCTTGAGGGAAGAGCGGAAAGACTCCATAAAATATAAAACAGCCAAAACATGAGGAGCACTGTGTGCCTTGATGAGCACACAATCAATACTCTGATAGAAAGTAACTTAAATAAACTTCACAATGAGTTTCCGGAAGGCTAGGCTTGCCCTTCAGTGATCCCTGGTACAGTGACAAGACTCAAATAATTGCTGCACATATGGAATTTTTTATCTGGATGCATTAGTCCACCAGTTGCATCGTCAGCCTTTGATACACCAACAAATGCCCAACCAAATTTATGAAAATGACAGTTACAATTTTGAGGAAACATGACTGCTTGAGCCAGGTGCAGTTGTGAAGTGACTGGGTACATGTAAGTGGCCAGGAACACTGCAGAACACTCCTACTGTATGTTTAATCAAACAAACCTTGGTTTTTAACTACTCGCAGTAGCTTTACTGAGGAGTAAAGAAATAATTAGGTGGAGTTTGCCGATAATTTTATCCAGCTCAGTTCTCAAACTGCTTCAGGCATCGCAAGAGCACTGTCACTGCCACTGCACTCCAATTTGTTCCAAAGCAGCTGTACGATGTTTGGCATCTCTGCAGTGGTTGGTGTTTTCCGAGGTGCCTCTCTGACGTCGCTTCATGTTTACCTTGGCTGCACAAAAGGTCTACGATCGCAGCATACGTGGCAAGAGCAACAACGGGAATATCCGCATCGACAAGCATGGAAAAATCAAAGTTATTCTCGGTGGCTTCACTACTGTATTTGCACACACTCCTGTAGAGATCGCTACAGATCTAAGAATCATGCACTGGCTCGGCAAGAATGCACACGAGAGAAATTCTGATGTGCACAAAGCAGTTGGCGATCTTTTGTCAATTCGAGTCGCGGGTGTGCTTTCTTTTGCATAGAAAACTCTTCTCAAACCCATCCAGTATGTCTTGCTTATTCTGCGAAATGGCGGACAGCGTCAAACAGTCGATGACAGGATGTCAAATTTCTTGGCAATTTCGGACTTGGGCCGCCCACTTTTCACAACCTCGCAGATCGAAGCGACTTTCGGTAAACCCTCCCACACTCCCATAAAATGCATCTGTGTGATTTCAGATAAGATCGACCAAACGGTGGCTGGTCGACATTTTTAAATCAACTGATGTTTTTATATATTTTCTAGTGTCTGGCATGAACAAATCCAAACTTAGTTTTGACCAAAAAAAAATTTGGGGATGAGAAAAATCGTAAGGCATGAAGAGGTGGACAGTTGTATTTACGCGCACTGATGGAGGGGGCATGTTTGAAAGTGAATAACTAAAACAATAAAATTAGGAGAATTTTAATAGTTTTAAGAAACAAATAGCTAGCTTGTAATATATAGTAATTATATTTATATATATTATATTTCGTTTTCTAAAAATTGCCAAACATGCCTGCTCGAACGAAAAATGGCAAAATTTGGGACCTGTATCTCATGAAATAATTTAATCATTATCATATACTTTTCAGATAGTATTCTACTTATATATGGATATCATTTAAAAATAAATAAGGTATCCGAGTGATACGATAGTCGGTATATATTTAGGCAAACATGGGAAAAACTTCAAACAACAAAAAATTCGGATGCAAATAAAAAAAAACCAACATCACCTTCGATTTTTTTTAAATTTGGGTACCCTGTCATACTCTATTTCGGCATTCATTTCTATTAAAAACATGTTGCATTATTTGATTGAGAAAGAAGACACAACTCCCCAAAGTAGGATCTTTTTTCAAAGCAACACTTAGCGGTGCCACATACGAGAAGTGACTCCGAGTTCCAGTTTCAAGAAACTAACACACATCTTTTATGTATTTTTATTCAGATGAGGCCATTGATAAATATAGAAATACAGGGTGAAACAAGAAGACGCCAGGCTCTTTAAATCGATTGGAAAATTCGGTTTCTTAACCTATCGCGTTACGGCTTTGTGCAGCATTGCCTACAGATGCTGCATTTTTTTTTGTAAAATTTGCAAAGAGCGAACTTACCTGAGGAAAAAGTAAAGAAAGAAAAAGGCTTAGCTCCTGTGGAAACGCAGCGACGCCACCGGTCTGCAAACAACACGGCGCCGTTTCGCACGGGAGACGAGATGGCGCAAGATGTCGCGACGCCTACTGCCGCCAACGAACGAGCAGACGACGCCGAGAGCCGGCCCTTTTGCAGACAAGGAGCTGCAGTTCCTTGCTGTTACCACGCCTGTCTTTTTTGTTTTTGTGACTGTGGCCGCCTGCGGAACGCGCGCCGCTTTTGAGTCGAAAAGATTGTCTGCTAAAAAGGCCTGCTCTCGGTGCCGTATGCTCGTTCGTTGGCGGCGTTTGTTGCGCCATCTCTTGTCTCCCGTGCGAAACGGCGCCGTGTTGTTTGCAGACCGGTGGCGTCGCTGCGTTTCCATAGGAGCTAAGCCTTTTTCTTTCTTTACTTTTTCCTCAGGTAAGTTCGCTCCTCGCAAATTTTACAAAAAAAATGCACTATCTGTGGGCAACGCTGCACAAAGTCGTAGCATTTTGCCCTGCATCACCCATTTGCACTGTTTTCTTGTTTGCCATTTGCCTCAATGAAGAAGAGGGAGAGAATGCAAGGGTATCCGTGCGCTTTCGTGTATTCCTGCATGCTTTCAGCACTTTGGCCTTCGTAATAAATGCATTCGGCTGCCAATACACTTAAAATAATCGGGTTCACAATGCGTGCTCTTTGGTCAGGACTACGTTGAACTTTGATAAAAGCTATAATTAGAAAAAAGCGACAACCCGAAAAAAGCGATTTTGTTGTAACGAGGGACTATACTGTTTCTCCTTTAACAGTTACATTTAAAATGCTGTAACTGTCATTCAAGAGGAATTACCATATTTTCCGGAGTATACAAAAGTTGCGGCTTTCTTTTCTCCTGTTTCCATCAATGCATGTTATACAACGCTGCGGCTTTTATGCATGCATTTTTATAAAAGTATGGACCTTAAATGTGCAAGATGCAAGCCATATCCACATTTACGACAAAGGAGGGGTGGCAGGGCACCCGCGGGTGGCCTAGTCTTCCAGCGGTCTGAAGACGGTCCAAAGAAAGGTGGCAGAGGTCTGTGGCTTTGTGGGAGGAAGAGTTGTGCAACTTAAAGAATGGCACAACTTATAGACCGGAAAATATGGTATTTTCCAAAAGCTGCGAGAGGTGACCAAGTTCTCATGGTTGTCTCTGTAATGAGCTCGTTACCAGGGGTAGATCGTCGGTGTCGGTGGTCAGGCTGAGCCAGAAGGTGCGCAGGCGGATCTTGCCCGACTTGGTGTCGTCCAAGGTCAGCCACTGTTGGGAACGTCACAGGGACCACTCACACGCTGTTCTTGTTCCCACTCACCCAAAGAGCCACCACTGCTCACCATGTCGCCTTGCCCCTGGTCCTGGAGGTCACTCACTGACACAGAGACCCTGGAGGGGGGGGGGGCAGAGGCACAAAAAGAGTCACAACATCCTCTCAGTAGATTTTCTCCCTCTTTCTGCCACTGCACTCGCAACATCTTGCAGTTTGTTAAGTTCAATGTTCTCGTGTTGGTAAATGACATTTATTATGCGGGGATCACATCGGTGCTTCGTGGGAAAGGTTTATATAAAACCTCAGTTACGTTGCATGTCCTGAACCAGTGAAGGAGAGACATGCCTGGAAACTTTGGGAATCATTCCACTTCATTTGGAAGAACCGGTGCCCGCTGTCGACACTTGGTTCAAGGACTTCTGGGGGGAAATTCTCAGAAAGAAAAGGTGCCGAAGGGAAGGAGAGAGAAGCTGTAAAAACTTGGGGGCAAACGATACGCCACAATGGGAACAAAAACAACATTTTGGGAGCTCAATCTAGGTAACCGTAGCTCAAAGTAGGCAACAAAATCTAGCATTATCGCTCAAACAAATATTCGTGCTCGCTCGTGCCACACCCATTCAGCTCTGTACTGCAAAACTATCAAACTGGGAATTCGAAAAATGGTCTATTATTCAGTATGATCCACACTGCGATTTCACAAAAAGGCATACCGTAAAGTTCCGTAAGAGCGCCCACCCAAAATGAAGAGATAAACGGTGAAAGACGTAGGGTAGGCAATCTTTGGGGATGCCACAGGAAAAATTGATCAAAAATTAATCATAAACACTGTGATAACTGCTACAAACCTCATGACGCGGAAACTGACACCGCAGATCAAAAACACGGCGAATTCGCGTTTCACGATGCGATAAATACGCAGGAATTCGCTACGAACTCTTATGTCGTGGGAAAGGATAGTGCAGGTTGTGAATGCAGCAGATTTGCGTTTCACCATTCGAAGGACCCGCGGCAACCCACTGAGAACACGCATCTTATGGAAACAGATATCGAGGACGCAGCAGATTCAAGTTTTGTGGTGCAACAAACATGCACAGTCTGCTGTTCTGTCCGTCCCAAAGTTTATTCTTTCAGTTTTATTTAACTTCACCAACGCGCTCACGTCGAACTAACCTGCTACAAATTTGCCTGTCACAGGAAACGATATCGCACGCATGCAGATCGTGGAGAAAAACGCAGAAATCCACTAGAAACTTTATATCACGGGAACGGATACTGCAGATTGCGGACGCAGCAAATTCGCATTTCACAGTACAACAAACACGAGGGAACAACTCGCGTGTTATGGGAGCTGATATCGCGTGCACAGATCACAAACAAAATTGTGGGAACTTACTATGAACTTGCCTGTCGGGTGCGCCGATACAGCAAATAGCGCAGTTAAAATGTCCATGATTACTTGAGCATTCACAACTGCTTGAGTTGGGGTTTTAAAAATCATTATTTTCTCGTGGCAAAATTAATTTGACGAAATTCTTTCTCCAATATTTTGTGCATGCAACTCTTGACTGGCATAATTGCAGATGCCAAAAGTTTGAGAACATAGATACATCCGTGAATCATTGTCTCTTCATACGAGATAATGAAGTGTAGAGTAAAGAAACCTATTAAGACCCGCAGATGAAAAGTTTAAGGATAATCAAATGATACCTTTGGGTGTTATAGCACCCCATATCAGCATCCAGGTACTATAAACTCTAAGCGGTATGGTCACAAATAGGTTTTCACAACTGCTTAGTCTCAATACTTGGTCAAACGTGAACATCGACCTCGACTTCGACCTAGGAAATTCTGTTCCAGTAAAGGAAGCTTTTTCGTACAACTCAGATGATTGTCCTTTGCATAATCAGCAGTATGACTCCAGAATAAATAGAGCCCTGCGCAGAGAACAGTTTGATCGTCCGCATCCGATCCGCATTAGCAGGCTTTGTATCCGAACCGCATCCAACCCACAATCCACGCACTGATGTTACATCATAAAATCAAGACTAAATTAAAAAAAAGAAAAAGGTGTCTGGATGGTACCCTATACGCCATCTGCTAGTATTTGTACAAGAAAAATTTTGTTTGATCATATTTGTATTATAAGCGGTCATCCTTCCAGAGACACTTAGCATCGCTGAAAAGATGATCGCAGTTATGAGATCAGCCCAGGGAGTCTGCGACATTCTGCTCGGAAGATGCACACGAATGGAATAACATTTTCAAACATTTCTTTTTTTCTTTTGTTTTGTTTCAAGCAGATGCATATTTTACAAACATGAAAATGAACAAACAGGCAAATAACATTGTCTAATTTTATTTAGGTCAAACAATAAAAAATGTGGGAGAGAAAAGGTCGTCCCTCACCACAGCGAAGTACTCACATGGCAAGATGCGAGTACATCACTGGAAAAATACAGTCTAAGCTCATTACAACAGACCTGGTTACAACAGACATTTGGATATACCATACTGATTTGTAACATTTGGTTGGATTGACTCAACTTCATATCTGCAAACAACATACTCCTCTTCCAACAGACTGAAATCTTGGTCAAAATCAAGGTCTGTTATAATGAGCTTAGACTGTATTGTAATATTTATGGCAACACCTCCTATCGGTTTCAGTTTTAAACACGACCCCAACTGCGTGCTCCAAACTACATACTTATCAGCAACTAACCAAGTGTCAAGAAAAAAACAAAAACGCACACACACGCACACCACGCTCCGCTTGTCGAGGAGGCTTCTTTTACTTTCTTGTGAACTGTATGTTTTGTGTTTTCTTTGCCAAAGAACATTTTCCACTCTTTCCCTACCAAACAATAACATGCTTTCCCAGGACGATTGATGCTCCTGGATTTTTTACTTTTTCTAGGGCAGCATTTTTGCATTTTTGGCGAGTTAGTATGTTCAGAAGCAATCTTTGGTGAGAATAAAGTCTTTCTTGGCATGAAGAATAATTTTCCCCCCCGATAGGCACCTTTTCTCTAAGACAGTAATTTACTCTCATGCTGGGCTCTGAGAATAAATCATATTTTAGTCTTTCAGCAGTCAAAGCTAGTATGTAGAAAACGTCTCTACCCTGCTCATCTCAAAACTCCACTGAAGTCAAACTCGTTTCCATTCTTGACGACTTAAAGTCGAAGGGATTGATTGCGTGCTCATTATGAGACAGACTGCACAACCCCGTAAAGCCTGCCTTCTAGTTAACCCAAAATTGAGACAAGCTCGTATAGAGCCATCTGCAAATTTCAATCCTAGTTACTCAATGGCTATCCATTTTCGATCATGACACTCAAAAAAAGTGCAGCGGATGTTCTTAGATGGAAATCACCTGTATAAGCTTAAATAACTACTGCAGCAAATGGGGGTTTGCATCTGACATATCCTCCTGAAGAAGAAACATATATGCAAGTTATGTAAGCTGCAGGAACGCCCAAAACATTAGAAGGTTGGCTCACCTTCCAAGGAAGTCGTCTTTGCTGCTTTGGTCTTCGTCCATCACGTCGATGTCCACAGTGCACCCAGGAATCTGGTAGATCACTGCCTAACAGGAAATCAACAGTGCAAAAGAGTGTCAGCACCACTGCTCCAGTGCCAGGTGCTCCATACGAGCAGCTGCTCAGAGTTGGGCTCCACTGCAACAACTTGGACAGAAGGTACAACTGCTTGGAAGCCTACAGAGGTTCATCTTCCATCATTCCTTGTGTAACTAAAACAGCACCCAAAAAGGATAAAAAAAGTATCTTTCCATGGAGGTTAAGGTTAATTTGAACACACTGGCTAACCTCTAAGTAGGGTTTGAACACAAACTAAGTTCAGCACTGTAAAATATCTTCTAGCTATTTGTTATACTTAACTAAGATTTACCAAAAAAAAAAGCCTAAATTACTGTCAAACCCAATTTGTAAAAAGAAAGTTTTTTTACATTTCATTTTAACATTTGAGGACAGTGCTTACTAAGATGGAGTCTTAAAAGCCGCAACAGTACTTCAAAGTATTCAATATTATAGATATACAGTTGAACCCAAATATATTGAATTCAAAGGGGATCGTAAAAATGTTCAATATATCAATAATTTGATATACAAAAATATGCTAACTTAAGCTCCAGTTGAAATTTCCGCGCGTCTCTGCTAATACCAAGGCCGCCACCAACGGGACCTTACCAAATAGAGCCTCTAAGAGCCGCTAAATGCAGTAGAGCTTAGTTAATGAAGATCACGAACACCGCCACATTTACGGGACGGTGTTTGCGAACATTTACACCGGGCCACGACCTCCACACGGTGCCAGCAACAAAACACGAAAATAATTTTAAAAAATAAAAAAAAATAAAAATGCGAGTTGCATAAGAAAAAAAATTTAATCCGTAGAATAAAGTTAAGCAAGCAAATAAAAAGAAACCTCACTAAATTCAGGCAACAAAAAAAGAAAGGCAAGAAAGAAAAAAACTTTTAGCCTTTCCACTCTGGTGAAGAAGAAAGAGCAGCGGAGCTGTAGCTTCTGTTCTCGGCGGTGGTTTTCCAGGCGAGCGATCTGCTCTTCTTTCGCAAGGGAATCTGGAGTGCTTGACGAAGGGGAACTTGAGGCGAAAGTGGCTTAGCGGCGGTGGCGGAATTATTCGCGCTGTTGTGCACGTCGCCATCGCTCATAGGTGATGACACCAAACTCTAGACAGCTACCGCCATCTATGAGCGACGGCGGCAACCAGCCGGTTGACTGGTGTCAAATTATGACACCAGTATTCGGTGTCATAATTTTTTTGCTGGAGGACACGGTCCTGCGTTTAAAGTGTGATTGCTCAACCGTTGTTGTCAACACACTCGACTTGACAAAGACTTTTTTTTTTTGTTGCCTATCTTATTTTGGAGTTAAGAAGTCGCACAGAGACAGCGGTGTTCGGTGAAATAGCGCAAGCTTCAGTTCCAACAGCCAAGCACCTGCCCTCCCTACGCGCGTACATGCCCTACCCCTTGCTTTTGCCATCCTCCACTTTTTTTTTTCTTTTTTTTTTACTGTTGCTTTTTTTTTTTTTTTTACAACTGCTTTTTTGCTGTTTATTCCTGTGCGCATATGCTGGCGTGGCGGTCTATCTGCCCTGCAATCAACGGAAGCTATGTGCTCGCCGCCGGCGCAATCTGAGCCCGGGTGGCCTGCAGTGCTTTGTTTGCTATATCAAGTGTATCACCATGAGAGTATACAGAAAAACAATGCTTTCTTGCGCCATTTCATTCTAAAACTATGCAACAACTAGCCTAACTTTATGTTAAGGTTCTAAACAAATAAATAGATAAATAATTTAAGAAAGCATTTTAGGATTGGGCAAATGTGGCTGAACTGGCTTACCTCACAGTAAAAGTTCCATTTTGGGTTGACCGTGCTGGGAATAACCTGCGTGCGGAACTCTTGGGCTCCCACTAGGAGGGCAGAGAAAAGTGTATTGAGAAAATGTAGTGTTTGAGTTTTACTGCGTCGGCTGCTTCTGGTGCTACCACTGTAGGGCACGAGGTGATACGAGGTGAAGAGTGCGCATGTACTTCAACGAGGAAGGTACAGTGGACCCACCACCGGTAATGTACGAAACAGCCGACATGTTCAATTGGAACTGTCTTACTATGTAGTACCAAACAGAGAGAGCAAAAAAACCAGCCAGAGAATTAATGGCAAAAGAGTCCTTGCGCCGTTATGTCAAAAACAGTGATGCCAAATAACAGTGAGACCCAAAATTACAACAAAATTATGGAATTCTACAGTGAGGTGCACGAGTAGTGAGTGCATGATTCTCGTTTAAGACTAAGAATGGCAATGCGAGTACCGGCTGTGCTTGTCCACATAATCATAGTATATATAGGCTTGTGCCTGCCTATATTCTGAGTCTCTGATTCATATGACAATCAGGCAATGACTAATAATCTTCTAGGGAAGTGTTTCTCACATTAAATCGTAAATACCTTCAAGTTTTTACGTTTTCCGCATCTGTCTCTTGGGTTTGTGGATTTTCGGCACACAAGAACTGAAGAGGTACTTGTCCTTTATTTTCCTCCTTTGACCTTCCTCTTGTTGCGCTTGCTAATATATATCATCTACTTTGAAGGCACTTTCGCTGGAACGAGGACTAGTCCTATGAACTGGAGTTTAATAAATAACCTGTCTGTTCACACATACAAGCGTGCAATTGCTCACACTAAGTGTCAACATTGCACACGCTCAAAAACCAGCTGCAGAAAAAGCAAAGCATCTGCGTGCACTTTTGCAATGGCAGCACTACTGCGGCGGCACGACATCGGAGGCGTGCGTCAGTCCATACAAACCTCAAACGTCTTCGGCGTCTCTTTATCTTTCAAAAAATACCTTCACAAAGCTTAAGCAAACTCCTACTGCCTCTGAATGCACAGGTGCCTTGCAGGCACTGGGCCGGTTGACCGACGGGAACCGTTTGTGCACACCCCTTGGATCGCATTCCAGGGCATGCATCCGTCTAGATATCGCTGCCTCACCTGTGATGATGGCGTAGGGGTCAGACTTGCCCAGACCGAGCATGCCGATGTCTGCCTTGACCAGATCCTTTGCTGCAACCACCTCAAGCCGTAGGACTCCCTGCAGACGCAGGAAGGTAGTCACAATCTCCGGCTGCTTTAAGCAAAGCAGGGAGTGACTCATCATGAGCACACCTCATTCTTGGGCGTTCTTATCAACTAACGCCGCTATCATGTTGGCTGCAGACCAAGAATATAATGCTCCGAACTAACCACATGCTTCTGAAGCTGTCGGCGACAACAGTGAAGACATGTTTCAGATAAAATGTTGGAATGTGCATGTGGTGAAGATAGTAATATTAATAATTGCTGTATTATTCCTCGAAACGACCCACTCTTCACCATCCAGGCAAAAGTCTCGACGATGAAGGCAGAATCTGGCCAGTGCAGTACAGGGTGCCGAGAACTAGAGGACTTCGACATGTGTCGTACAGAAGTTAACGTGCACCAGTACCGTCCGCACATAAATGAACTGAACTCGTAACCTCCAAGTCTAGCGTACAAGCTTCTGCTCCACGTGCTGCCGAGCTATGGGTCCTTGTTTCGCTCGGAAAACTCCATCGCCCAAAGCCTCTTTGTAGAAGGTAATAGCAAAGACGTGCTCAAGGCAAGATCGAGGGCTGGTGCTCCCTTTGAATAAAAAGGAGGGTGCCATACCTACTCGAACATAGGTAGGTTACGAATATAGGTTGACCCCCGCAATTGAGAACTCGGCGAGAAAATTAGAAAAATATTTGCATGTAGGCAAACTTTCATATTTTAAAGGAGTGGAAGGGAACAAAGCACATAAAAACATTTGTTTCACAGTGCGCTTAGTCACCTTAGCTACAGCTCACTTGGGAGTGACATCGTCGACACGACTTCCAGAATTACGTGCCTTCAAGCAGTAGCACTTGTGCTGTGCAGCTTGCGTGAAGCTTCACGGCTACGACGAAGCATTTTCGCATACAGCTTTGCCACTTTGCATCGAGGTGCATGCCTCCAGTTTCCCCGCTTTGCACTTGCATGCTCAGAGGAGCGACTCAGGCAAGGGAGCATCTCAGTTAGCTTTATGGGGTCGAAAATATTGTTTCCCAAATTCTTTCGTTATGATCAGAAGCCCAATCCCCAATTTAAAAAAAAAAAACATTGGAGGGAAAACAAAAGATTAATCTATACTTGGATAATTACAGTAACTGCAGCCCGTATGTGACGAGAGTTCCTAATCTTTGTGAGGCGAATCTAGCGCTTAAAGGGGTACTCTGGCAATTCCTGTGAGCTAGCCCAACTAACTATATTTTCTGAATCCCCGGCTCTTACCATTTCCGGTGTGCTAGCTAGTATCGCGAGATTCAGAATAGTTGTAAAATCGGCAAATGAAAATGATTACAAGACCAACATTCAAATATACCCGCGCTTTTCAGTGCAATGACATCAGTGGCAGGCAGGCTTGACAGTCGAGCAGACAAGCAAAAAAATGAAATATGCTGAGCATTTGTTTCGTGCTCCTGCACAGGGTGCTGGAGTGAGTTTCCTAAGCATTCATTTGGCACCACAAAACTGCTTGTAATCAGTTCAGAACAAAGCCTACAGTCCATGGAGTGAACCCCTGCCTGCTGTTGGCATCACTTTTTCATTGTTGCCAGTACAGACTTTCAGTTTGAAAAACACAACGAAGACGAAAATTGTAAATTCAATAACTTTGCCAAAAATCAATATTTTGGCTTAATCATTGGGATACTGTTCCAGGTATGTTTTCTGGTGTGTTAAGCAAGTTTTCAGACAAACCACGGACCATGAAGAAAACGCCGGAGTGCCCCTTTAAAAACGAGCCTGTAAACTTACACAGGGCAGAGAGAAGCGCAGCGACTGGGTCGACACATGCTCCTGCAACTTCATAGAGAACTTGTTAGGAAGCACCATCATGGCTGCCACTTGGTCTGACACCGCCTTCTTGAGCAGGTCACTGTGAGGAATCGGTAAAACCTGGGATGAGGTATGCAACCCACGACAATGGCAGAAATCTACAGGGAAACTTCCGACATGTGGAATTTATAAACTTGACCTGACTTGATCGGGCCTAAACACTCAACATATGGGTAGTCCTGCAATAAACGAAACTGCCCTTTAAAAAAAGTTAGAAGCAGTTTGATAGAAAAAAATCAGAAGTACCACATGGTCCAATGCGTTAAAGTTTACAAACTGTTGCCTTCACTCAGACAGCTAATATGTTTTTATAGAGCAAGGACTATTACAAAAATTGGTTTTAAAAGTTTTATATTTCGTGGCTTTTATTCCTTAAATTCTCAAACCTGCTATCCAAAGCAATTTTACCTCAAATTTGATTTTTGGCAGTGTCCTCATTATATCACACTGCACTCTGTAGAAAAACATACTGCGCAGACAACAAAGGCGCAACACTTACAGACGATGAGATAGTGCTACAGTTAAATGAACAAAATTAAAAGACAGAGGTACAGCTAAGCATTTCTTATGAGTTGTGAATGCGAAAGCATGCAAGCTGCTCGTCCGCTCCTTTTTTCGTCTGCTGCATACTTTTCGTCGCCGGTCAGTGCGTGTGCTATCCCTGGGCACAGTGACCTTGGACGCTCGGTGCCCGGGGGAGCAACGGCGTGCTGATGGACACGCAGCGCCATGGGGTGAGCGGTCGTGGAAACTGACGAGCACAGCAGCCAATGGGAGCCCCGTCGATGCGCGCCAGCCAATGAAACCGAAGGATCAGGGAAACTAGGTGCCGTTTTCGCGCTTCAAGCTCATGATGTCAGCTTGCTCCATGAGACTAGTTCATGCTCTCGCATTAATAAATAGTGCGAAAACCACTAAGACACACAGTGACAAGCACGTTAGCGCACCGCAGCTCGGAATGCGCGCAGCAAAAGCTCGCACTGCAGAGCAGAGGGATCCTGGGTTCGATTTTGATTTGGATAAGCATCGTACTGGCATGCAGTTGTGTATCACTATTGCGTGGTGCATGTTAAAGACCTTGGGCTGGCAGTCAAAGGGAGACCGACCTTATGCTGCCTAAACATGAACGTCAAATTAGTTTGTTTTTTTTTGGTCAAAGAAGTAAACAAGAAGTGCTGCAACAGTGGCAGGCCAGTGACTGCATTCCCAGGATCCCCAAACTGCTAAAAACTGTGTACAACATGTGCACAAAGCAGTTCAAATACTAGGCAGAAAAGGTTCAATGGGATACAAAAATATAGTGTTGCGAAAATATTATAATTTTCAGATAGTAGTTTCGAATAATACACTATTTGATATTCGCTTCGTGGTGAACTGGGATATTCCCACTCTTTGAAGTGTTGATTGCAGCGAGTTAGCCCGCCCCGTTCTGTGTGCTTCATACCGAGCACCTGTGCATGCGGGGAAGCAATACCTGCGCAGCTCGCGGGTATTGCTTCCCCGCAGTGCACAGGTGCATGGTGAGAAGCGCACTCAATGGGGCTATCCCGCCGCAGTTATGCAAGAGTATCAGCTAGGTATGTAGCGATGTCTTGACAACTCGCGCTAATCATTTGAATGTTGTTTTTGTTTTGTTTGTCAAATTGTGAAATTGATGAAGTAATATTTGCACATAGCAAGCATCTTTATAAACCCCCTCGATTAGGGCAGCTGCAACAATTTTGTTGTTTACATGTCAAAGCTCGTAAATATACTAAAATTATCTGAGCTTAGAAGTGGCCAAGTGGAAGGTTAGGAACAACGAGTTCAGCTGAATTTTTGTTTAAGCATGGTGCGCAATAGTGAAAGGCTTGGAAAAACTATTAGACATTTGGTTAGAAAATATTTGGTCAAAACCACTATCACTCTGAACTTAAAATCCACTACTGTATTTGCACGTGACTACTGAAAAGTATTAAAATTGAAGTAGTAGTAATATTCAATCAGGGTCTTCAACTCTGTCCTGGTTTTAGTTTTGTAGCGTTAGCTACACTGGCCGAGGTTAAGCAGTTTCGTGTGGCCCTCATAATGAGTAATGCTCATTATGTGGAGCGCGAGGAGGTGGCGGCGGAGCTCTGCATAATGAGCACGGTGCCGCGTGCTCCGCATAATCAGCATGACTCGCATAATAAGCACGGCTCATTATGAGAGCCACGGGAAGCCGCTGCCGCGCGCTCTGCTGCCGCCACTGCGCGCTCTGCTGCCGTTGCCGCGCCCTCCGCCACTGTCCGCCTTGCCAGTCTGCGCATTCCAGAGGAGTGACGTCATAGCCACGGCAGATGCACTGGCACCGCCGCGTGCCCAGCTGTGCGCCTCCATTGCACAGTAGCCAAGTCTGACGCTGCACCGGGGCCGCTTGATAGCGCCTCTCATTTTGTGCGCATAAGCTCACGCTACGTATATACCAACACAGGCGAGCTAAGCCACCGCAATTTTTTTTTTTTTTATAAAACTAGAACAATAACTATGGCACACAACTATTGAATTGACAAATTCCAAACCTCCTGAATATTTACCATAGGACATGCTTCTTCCCTGCTCACCTTTAGGAGGCAATAAAAATGTATTGAATATGTCCGTTGCAATCATTGTTGTGTTTTAAATTGTTGTTTTATAGTTTTTGGTGCACGCATACAACTGTATTGCAGTTTTTGTGATGTCATTTATGTGCACGCCCTTATTTTACTTTTTCCGTCGATCAGTTGCCTGTGTCGCAAGTGCAGTCCGGCACTAGAAGCATAAGCAGGCGACATCTAGCGTTGCCTTTTGTCTGAACTTTGAGGCAACAGACCCCTTTCCAGCTTTCCGGTTCGAGAGTACAAAATGCACGTGTTGCTAGGCCGGATTAGAGGCTAGGTGGAAAACAAGGTTGCCATTTTGCTTGACGCGTGGAAGATGTGTGGGCATGGCAGGAGCGCGAGCGAATAATCCTTCGAATAAAGACTCTAGGTCCTGTTAGGTCCACTAAGCGATGGTGACCTAGACTCAGCTCCGGAGACATTGCTTTTGTGTCCATGGTGGCTTGTCAGTCACCCCCAAGGTAGCACAAAGAAGCTTGTCTCCTCTCCTTCCTAGTCTTTTCGTTACATGCCAAAATAATCCTCCCACACGGGGTGCCACTTGTGCGGAAAAAGGTGGATTCTGTATTCCCACAAGTTAAAAAATAAATTTAAAAAATGATTTATAATATTTTTTTTAATTTTCAAATCTTTCACAATTAAAAGGTTAACGTGCCTACTCAATTACTCAATTTCTAACTGAGAACTAAAAAAAGAAAAACTGTTTCTCTCTACCTGCACCACCTGACAGTACGTGCCTACTAGTGCATTGCGACCTGAATGAAAGAGAATGCAAAGCCGGAAACCCTCGACCAGAGCCAGATTAGGGGGAGGGGGGAGCTTAAAGGAGCTGTGCAACGATTTTAATGTTGAAAGAATTTGCATCTCTTACTTTTGGCATTGTTCACCTTGTCACAAACAACAGAAAGCACACCTCCTTTTATCGAAATGTTGCAATTCCGACGCTTAATCGCGAGGCAAAAACAACAATATTTCTCGACCTGCAGCCGCGAGCAGCGGCCATGAGAACCATGCGGCGTGACATCAATCGGGGACTTGTAAAAGGATAGAAAGTTGTGCAAATACCACCTCGATAAAAGGTAATTTTTCTATAAATCTTGTCGTTCCAACATAAATATAAATGCGTCAAAAGCCTGGTATCATTGATAACTTTTATTATACGCAGTTTAGTGGCGGCGTTTATCAGAGGTCCACAAAACTGTCAGCTCTATCTGCTACCGCGAACAGCCGCTAGAAGCCAGAGGAGGACAGGGGCAGAGCCGGACAGGGGGGGCCGGACCCGGACGAGAGTTTCCTCCTCTCGCCTTGTTGATCGTGCTGTGCAAGCACGTGGTCACATGGTAGTGAGCGGGTGAGTTCTTGATGCTCACTGATGGCTCTAGGGAGAGCTTCACCAAAACACCGCACATCCCCCATTCACGTCACAGCACACGTGACTCGGAAGATGGTGAAGGAGTTAAGAGGTGCCGAAAACCTCAATCTTTGTCAATTTTTAAAATAAAAACTAGGACACACAGTCAAAAGCGGGTTTTTGTTCTTTACTTGAGAAAGGTTGAGACACCAACCCGCAATTTATTTAAGCAAAGCACTGAAATTGTTGCACAGCCCCTTTAAGGGGCAACACTATTCTAGAGCTTTTTTATATAGCCTACGATTCAATTAAAATGAAATTTACATAGCTTACCTGCCTTTACAATATGGCTACACATATTTACTTCGTATTGATGTAGCCTAATTACGTTTGTTGATGCAGAATGTTTAATTTGTCAGGATTATGAGAAGGATTAAGACAAACTGAAATACTGAAATCATAAAATAAATATATCTTAGTAAACTGAAAGGTCTGTGGAATCCAATAAGGTACAAATGAAAGCCTTAGTAGGATGTTTTATAAATAAAAAGTTGGGGCACAAACAAGCTGGTGAAGGTTTAACATTTTAGACAAAACCCCGAGACAGGGGGAAAAGGAAGGACAACACAACACAGTCTTTGTGTTGTGTTGCCCTTCCTTCCCCTCCCCTCCCCTCCCCCTCCCTTCCCTTCCCCCCCCCCCCCCCCCTTACTGCCTCGGGGTTATGTCTAGAATGATTTGCAAGTTTTTCTTTTACAGTTTTGAATTTTTTGTCTTAAAATTATTTTAGCAGGAAGTATAGAAGGCATCTAAAACACCTGATGTCATATTTAACATATTTTATACCATTCTGATGTTAGCCTGAGACTGAGGCAGGAAAAGAGGAAGTTTCAAAGTAGAAGAAAAAGGGACAGTCGAGGATATGTCTCTAACACAGCTAAAGACAAGTTTATTCGGTCACCCTCTTATATACACTTCAGAATGGTTAATTTCCACCAGCTCGCCTGCGCACTCACTACAATATATTTTATACCTCTTATTGGATATTTTGCACATGCGCCTACCAGAAAAAAAAAAAGAATAAAAAGCTTAAAATAAAAAAAATTGGATGTGTGCAAGCAGAGATTTCGCTTCCATAAAATAGCAAAGTGTGTAAATAGTTCAGTCTGATATATAATAGCAAAAAACATGCACAGACCCGTTGTACTATGTTTTTAAGTCAATACTTCAAGACAAAAGAGGGTTATCTCACAAACTTACTTGAGGACACGATGATAAACGCCCGTCAATTTTATAAAATCTGGCTTTTTTTGTTTTGCCTCAAAGAGCACAGCCTCATGGACCCCTCTCTGCCCATTTCCCGGCACACTTTGCTTGACCTCGGTTTGGGACAGAAAGCTGGCGTACCATTGTGCACTTGAACTCTGTTCTCGGAGGTTTACAACCGGACGTCAATTTTGCGGCGAAGCACCCGTCTTCGAAGAGATCACAAAAATTCCAACATCGCACATTTCAGAAGCAATAAAAACAAAAGAGAAAAAAGCCGAGTATAAGTTTATTTGAGAGACAAACATTGAAAACCCAAAGTTATCAGCCGTAGTGCGCCACCCAAATTATCCTTTAACATTGTAAACCAGATGTTCCCAAACCTTTTGATCTCGAGGAACTTTTATCCGCTTTGACTGACACCCAAGAGACCCCTCCCAGATGTCATATCATTGAAATAGAGCAGTGTGGACGCCTACAGACCTTGTAAATATAATAATGTACATGGTAGGAAGAATTTGACTTGTAGTTACGCATCTGCAGGTGGCTAAGATCTGCTAAATTAGGGACGGTTGAGGAAATCTGAGAGCTTAGGGAACCCCTGAGGCTCCTCTGAGAAGCAGTCTCTGGGTTCCTAGGAACCTGAATTGAGAAGCCATGGTGGAGACATAAGGTGGCATTTCGAGGCAGCCCTGTCTTCTTACTTTACAAACATTTGTGCGACAAGTTTGGTTTTCGTTTACGAAATGTCTGAAGCTATAATTCCGAAGTAAGTTCCAGAACCAATAAAAAGTGTTTCTTATAATAAAGCTGCTTCCCACTCTTGTTGTATGAGTCGCCATCGAGGTTATCCAGAACCGTAAGCCTCGCAGGTGGCACCCGGTGGGTAGGCGATGCGGGCCGTCTCTAAACGAGCTCCCGCTATGCGACATAAAATCAAAACTATACGAATCAAACTAACAAACTCACTTAAGGCCCGGAACCTCCAGGACTTGTCCCAAATTGGTCAGTTGAAAGTCAATGGCCTGCGCAATGGGACGTCGTCGTAATTGAGACGCCACTCGCGAGGACATTCAAATAATTTTATTAGACTGCGCTCGTAAAAAAAAAAAAAACCATACAGTACCTTTGCTAAACTTGCACGTCTAGAATGTGAGCATTCCCAACACAAAAATGTAACTGGATAAAGTTACATTTCTAGCCTAACCGAAAGCCCTAGTTTTCAAAGAAACCTGCAAGAGCTAAGTAAGCATAGCTTGACTGTACAAGCAGTTGTACGATCATTAAACGTTACAAATGTGTTTTCTCACACTGGAGGCGGGACGGACAACGAAAAGACCTCCCTCCTGTCTTGGTCAAACTGGCAACTAGAGCGTTACTTTAAGTACAACTACGACCTTCTTGTTGGCTCCCAAGTGCAAATCAAACTTGGAAAGCTCACCGGAGGACGGAGGAAGAAAACAGTGACTCCCCCGACGATAGGCATCTCCTTGGTGAGCGGCCGCATCACCACACGCAGGTGACCGTGCACCTGCGACGCACCCCCGAAACAAAGGGTTTGTGTGAAAGGTAGGCGAACGGGACAGTTAGATTAAGATTTTAATGGCGTGAACGGGACAAACTATGGGTCAAGGCTCGCACTGTCCAAGAGACAACCATCAAGATTTTGAAGGGTGATCTTACCCAAGTGAAGAATAGGTAAAACAGGAAGAGCCCGATTTCACTATCCATGACATCTGTCTCGTAGCAAAAGACGTTTGATTGGTGCAAGAGCCGACAGATGGAGGCAGGTAAGAGCAAGGTCGCAGACAGCGATCTCCGATAGCAGACAATGTTTTCGAGGTAAATGTGGCGCAGGCTTTTTCGGTGTGGTGTACGATTTTCTCATTTTTAGCAATAAAACATACCCAATGGACACAAAACCAAAAGGATTTTTTGTTGGGCTATTTCGCTATACGCCAACATATGCGGCAATTTATTGGCTCTTTCATTTGTAGGCGGCCGCCGTACGTAGCAAATTTACACTCTTTATTTTTTTCTTGGGTAAGCTCATTCTTTGAAATTTTTATACACCTAATGCACATTCTTTGGTCACCTCTGTACAAAATTTTAGCAGCTGAAACATTAAGAAACCAATTAATGCGGTCCAATCAAAGGGCCAATGATCAATTTGACTCCCTCGGTATCTCACAGAGCCTGCTGTGTCACCTGTAAGTCCCTGATGCCGGCCTTGAAGCCCTTGACCTTGATGCTAAACTTGCAGTCTCCTGAATAACTGCAGAAGGAAGAAAGACGAAAGAAATAACATCAAATCTCGGTGACCACAAGCACAAACAGAGAAGGTTAGAGGTGTATGTAAAAGTGAACTTACAACAACTCCAGGTCCATAATGACCTCATTTCTGGAAACATTCTCCTTGTACACCTTGACCCCTCCAATGCGAGGAGGCTGGAAGAGAGTGGTTTAATGAGATTCTAGTAAACATATTCCCGCATATAAGCAGACAAATACACAAACCTACTCAGGTGCAGAGTGAGCGTGGCACTTATTTCATATATGCTCTGCGGTACCATGAGGGTCTTCAACAATAATTATACATTGTAAAACTAAACAAGACAAAAAACGGCTTGGATCAATCTCTCTTTTCTGCGGCAACTTTCTTTATTCTTTACTCAAAGATTACCCCGCATTGCCCGGAGGCGTTATTACAGGGGGGTTACAGTTTTGAAAAAAATATATCTTCATTTGTAGAGCACACCTGGTCTTCAGACAGCCTATTCCACTTTGCAATGGTTTTAACAAAAAAAGAATTTGCATACATGTTCGTCCTGGCGTGGTACTCTCGGATTTTGAAAGCATGTTCAGTCCGCCTAGAAACATAATGTGGGTGTTTTCAATATACTTCTCTGTTAATGCCAGTTTTATTATTATATGAGAAATAAAAACTTCAGTCTCAACTTAAGAACTTTGTGGGTTTATTTTGCAAAGTGTCAAGTTCATATTGCCAGCACTATAGGATTGTTGATTACATGTCACAAACATTGGTGTTAGTGCCTCTTTGTTTTGTTCATTTATAGTTTTTTGCATTTTTCTACTGGATAGGCTTTCACATATCTGTTTGCCCTGCTTGGACCATTTGACCTGTGGTACGTTTAAATAAAAAGATAATTATAGTTTCAGCCTTAATTTCCTACGACATCTGACACTTGCATGTGCAGGTGCAACCCAAAAAAGATTGAAGTCTTGACCGTGCTGTCAGGGCACATACCACATCTCCCAGGTCGATCTTCTCGAACTTGAAGCTGTGCAGGTAGGCGGGCAGGGAGGAACGGACGCTCGGCTCGATGGACTCAAGGATCAGGTCCTTGACATAGTTGCCCACAAAGGGCCAGAACTGACCCAGGATCTGGGGAGGAGGGCATCCAATGCTGTCGTCAATATACAGGTCTTTGCGGAATGCACAGGAGCCACAGCTAACCCACCTTGTTCACCCACTCTGCTCTCTCTGTGTCTGGGAAGAACACCTGTCCACCAAAAAACGAAACAAATGGGATATATTAAAAATGACGCAACTCCTAAATAAGGTACGGAGATGGGGCAACCAACGAAGAAGCCCGAGAAGGGGCCGCAGGAGAGGCTCATAATGAATGGAAGAATTCTGACAAGAGAATTGAACATTCTGGAATGGTGGAGGAGACGGGAGCTTGTCATCTTTAGTGGTCGAATCATACAATTATCAGCGGCCAGTGACAGCGAAAAGCCAAAGGAGCCGGCCACTAGTTCAAACGTGGTTGACCCCGTGCTGTTGGCTGCAGTAACAACAGGCATGATTGCTGATTAAATTTCTTTGGAAGCCATCGAAAACACTTTTTAGTTTGCCATAGTAGATGCTTGGTGTCGAAGGTTCGTTGAAAATAGAGGGTTTGAAAAACACCGAGACAATTCCTATAGCCAAGATGGGTATGTCAACGTTCCTTCATAGCCCTTCCAACAAAGGTGTCGAGGAGCTCTACCTCTGAGAAAGACGTCAACTGTCAGTACAAGCCATCACTAAGCTCTAGTTTTAAAGTGCATTATGCTATGTATTTTCTCATGAGGCTTTTTTTGTGCAATCTGCGCAGTATTTTGTTTGATTCCCTACCAAATTCGTCCTTCATTAGTCGCACATACCGTTGCGTGCAAAAGTATTTATATCTTTAATGCGACTAGGCTCACTGAGTCTATTACAGATACAGACATTGTGACGTAACGTTGACATTCAATCAATAAATTTTATAACCGACCCTCCGCTACAACTTTTTTAAAAGAAGGGTTCCAACCGAAACAGCAAGCATACTAGCATACTATAGATTGATGAAGAAGTAACCAGCCGTGTAAACAATCCCTCTAATGGGATTGTAACAACTCGGTGCACGGTCCAAGCGTGCACTTCACATGCACGATTGAAAACACGTCCGTCACATTGACTACCACGAGACCAACTCATAGTTGAAGAATGCGGAATTGGCCACCTACCCAGGCGGGAAGGTCTTCCAGAGTAGCCAGCACGCTCGCCTTCTCGTGCTCCGTACTCGTGATGCCGGTGCGAATTCGTTTCTGCTCGATGTAGTTCTTTTGGGCCACGTACGAGGCGACTCCCATAAGCAGCCAGGCCGGGCTCAAGTTGAGCCAGCCCATGATGTAGAGACTGCCAGCGATCAGCATGCCCTTCGCGAACTTGTACACGAGAGACCCCAGCGTCGTGCGCAGGATGGCACGGGCCTGCTTCACGGGTTCCGTGGACGCTGGCTTCTCCGCCGGAAGTTTCTCGGCAGGCAGCAAAGGCTCTGCGTCCGCTGGCGTCTCCGTCGTCGACGGCCGGTTTGCATCCATCGTGACGGGTTGCCGATGGTTGGTTCGACGGTCAAGCAGAATACAACACGGAATCGCCTAGAATCACCAAGCCACGCCTAGGGCGGCCAGCTGCAAACAGTCGAAAATCGTGCTTTACCCGGAAGAGCGAATGGACGCGCAACTGCCGGCGCGCAAATAGGAGATGGTACGCAGCCCGCTTTCTCCGTTCGGGCGGATCGGATTTCACAATCTTTGGCACGGTTAATGAAGGTGTATACCCGTCGAGACCTCGCTCAGTGCGCGATCATGAGTAACAACACCAACACCGCAGACGACATATCGGCAAGCCGATTCATAATCGGATAGATTTAAAGAATCACACACAATGGGTGGATAAAACAGAAATCCATCGTGAATAGGCCTTCTGAATTGGGTGGCAGCTTGCGACACCTAACTCTGGTCTGGTTTTGATTTTTTAAAAGTTAATTTTAAACAAAAGAAAATCGAGGATATCCCGAGTATTTAAAACTTGAACGAAGTTGACCTAATCTCTAGATCCCAATAGTTCTATTCTACCATGCAGCGCAGTTTCAGCTGCTAACGTAAATCAAGGATCTCTAGCTTTAGCGCTCTGCCTCTAGCCTGCGTGAGCGCACGGCTGCATGTACCCAGAGAGTTCCCATACCTTTAACTTCATTAAAAAAAAAAACAAAAAAAAAAACACAGTGCATTACTATTTATTAAGACTATAAAAACTCCCTTTCGGCTGTTTTGAAATTCTTATTTTTATTTCACTTTTATTGTTCGCGTGCAACGTGACCGAGCGTGTCGAAGCGCGGAGCATTTCTGAAATGAAGAGCGCACATTTGTACAGCTTGAGCAACGTTCAAGCGCGGGCGAGATCGGTTTTGCCGGATAACTGCAAGATTGCCTTGCCGTCGAGAGAATGGGTCCGAGTAAACCCACCTAAAATAAGGCCGAGGCTACATCCACGCGCGGGGACGTAGCCAAGTCGGGAGGAGATAAGGCTCCATTAGACCTGTGCGCCGGTCAAAAATCGCCGGCGGCGGCGCGCCGGTGTTTGTACCTCCGGCGGCGGCGTGTTGACGGCGCGGGAATCAACGGATCGGCGGCGGCGTGGCGCGGAAGAGGGGGGGGGGGGGGGGGGGGGGGTATATTAGAGGGTGAGGGGGAGAGAGAAAGGAGTCGAAAACAACATACAAATACCATAAAAAGGAACACACTTTTTTATTTTATTTTTTTCTGGAGAGGTAAACATAGCCTTCGCTGGTGAAGAGTGCGTCCATTAGAAGAATCAGGCACTTCGGCGTCTTGTTTATTCTCGTTTGTGAGAATATGTCGCCGGCTGGCAGCCGCGCCGCAAAATCCTCCGCAAGACGAGGACCGACGGCAACAGGTATTTTATGATAATGTAGTGATTGCGCAGGCGAGCTGGTGGATGTTAACCATTTTGTTCTTAGCCCGAGACTGAGGCAGGAAAAGAGGAAAGTTTCGAAGAAAGAGAAAGTTTCGAAGTGTTCATTTTTCTTCTACTTCGAAACTTTCCTCTTTTCCTGCCTCAGTCTCGGGCTAAGAACAAAAATAGGTATTTTATCACCGCGTTCCGCCTCACCACGCGCTTGTCGCACGCCCCGTGCCTAACAAGTCGACCGAGCACGTCCTTCGATTTATAGAACTCGTACTCATTCGGTACGCCGCAAGCCGTCATCACCGACAACGACAGGGTCCCAACCTCTCGTTCGGCTTCGCGGTACTTCGCCGACAGGCATTCAGAGCGTCCCTAACAGTACCTTAGGCTCCCGAAGCTAACGGCTTTGTCGAACGCGCCAACGGAAAAATCCTTCCATGTCTGCGCGAAAGAACGTCAACGGCGACATCGACCATTGGAGCGATTATCTCGAGGCAACCAGCTTTTGAGTGAACCAGCAGCCGTACGCCAGACTCCAGAGATCACTGCTCGAACTCCTGTTCAACTTTGTCCCACGTCGACCAATGGAATTTTCCCCGCTTCCCGACGAGGTCGGCGACGTCCGCGCGAACTGCGACGCTGCAAACGCGAACCTCGCTTACCTCCACGGCATGAAGCGTTCCTACGATGCAAAACATCGACCAGCTCCATACAGCGTCAGGGACAGGGTATGGTACACGAACGGCCTTCCTACCTCAAAACTTGGCCACTTGGCCTGCTTTTCCACGGACACTTAAGTCATCACCAACGTGAACAATCAAACCTAGACCATTTCCAGGTTTACCCCGCAAGGCACACCGGATTGCCGCAGAGCTGCCGCACGATAGCTCTTTTTTTTTTTTTTTTTTCACGAACAATCTGCAGCGATTGACGTCGATTTCAACCAACTCGCCTTGCACCGCAGCAGATCCTCCGATTACAAGCGCATCACGCCGACGCCGCCCTCCACGATGGCTAGACGCATAACAGAGGATCATGACAACATTAACAAAATGTGCGAGGGCGCAAGGATTTTGAGCTCGGGAGTGTAAGCAAATACGCTGGCGGCAAAGACCCGTAAGGAGAGCCTCCCCGACTCGACCGGATGGGAGCTCGACTTCGACCCCCGATGCTGGATCCCGGCGTGGAAACGAGAAAGAAGGACCCCTAGAAACACGATGTGACACGAACAAGCCAGGCGTGTGGATCAAAATAAAATACGTTTGAAAGAAGCCTGAAAACGGACGCGAATATAGCCCTCTTGTATCAAATTATTTCACAAAGTTTTCATTAAATCGTTTTGCGGTCTACCAAACCGTTCAGTCCGTTATAACACTTTAAAAACACTGGCGAGCTGACTTCCATAGTAACGGGAGACACGAAACGATAAAAATAACGCACAAGACAACAAGCCTCAAACACAGCTTTTATACCCGTTTTCACGTCAAGAACTCTGGTAAAAAGAGTCCGACTCCTTGCGAACTAATTTCCACCTTTATGTGGAGAACTAAGATATATGTAGCTGGATTCTACTATATATGTTATCAAGACGTACACGTCCCAGCGCCAAAATCATCGCTTTTTTCTTCGACAACCAAATCTCGTAAGACTTTGCGTCGCGTATACGAACATCTTTGTTTCATGTATGTGCTCTCCCCCTCTGTAATGCCTTCGGGCCCTGAGGGTAGTTTAATAAATAAGTAAATGCTCGAAACTTTCTCTTTTTCTTGAAAAAACGGGTATAGTTTATTTGAACAAGGAACGCTCTTATATATATACGTCAAGACCCCGATCACCAAAAAAGAACTCTTTAAAAAAAATGGTATCACCATACACCCTTTTGTCCCATATAACGCACCCAAAAACTTTAGTTTGACGCACAGCGCACAGACGGCCATACATTTTACAAGGGGCTTGATAACGGAGCGACATAACTGATTAAATAGCTAAAGTACGTATCAAAGACCACAGAAGGAAAGCACTGAGGTTTTGCAGTAGGGCCAAGAAAACCTCGATTATCTTTTTGTAGTCAGTAACACGTACATTAGCTATGTTAATAAGTTGTACCACACGGCTATCAAGCCTCTCGTGAAAGGTAGTACCGACAGATCGAGGTCTGAAGTTTTCGGGTGTCTTATAGGGGACTAAAGGTGTAAGAATACACCCTTTTTTTTTTAGAGTGTAGGTCACTGAAAGCCGGACACTCAGACAGATCCAAATGATTCATGGTCACACCAACCTGCCACCCAGGCGACCCCGCTTGATGAGTGACCAGCCACATGCGATAACAGGCAACTCCATCAGAACCCCTGATACACGCGTGATGAGATGTCCCTAGACTCCCTACAGCGTTCAATTCGCTTAACGAGCGTCGATGAAGCGATCGTGTCGACAAAACGTGTGTCCGTGAAACGTGTGCCCATGAAAAGTTGTCTGCGATACTTAATTCCACGAAACGAGTTTCGACGAAATGAGAGGATCCCGTACACCACTCCTGCCTGAAAAGTTACATTTGGGTTCTTATGTTTTTTTCTGGCGCCCCTGAAGACCACCAGAAAGGGGGTTGACCTTTCTAATTTGTGCTGAGCTTTGAAAACTAAATTTACACCGAACCTATTTGCCACTGATATAAAGTTATGAGAGATTCCATGGTAGTAAGGCACACACACACCATTCTTCACAACCGGTTTTTCCACAGGAGCCGGATTAAACCTTCAGCACCTTGAGCACAACTCTAACATTTACATCGTGGTGATGGTCCGCTTCCAGACGACGCATCTTTTGAAACTCAACTGCCTCACCAACCCAACACATACGGGATTCTTTACAGGCGTTATCCATCGCAGACGCACACCACTCTTAACTATTTTCAAGTGACAGCTGTCAGCTGCCAGCAGAGGTTTGGCTGATTCCTTGCCGTACCTCCAGCACAGGCCCTTTTCCGTGTGCAACAGCAGGTCTATAAGTACTTAATTCGACTGTTGCGATGGCAGGGTTGTGCAGTCCAATCGACAAGGACCGCACAACCGTGCCAACGTGTAAATAAGTCTTGTTAAAAAAGAAAAAAAGAAAAAAAAAAAACCTTGGACAACACTGGAGCAATTCACGACCCGATACACACACCCTGTTTTTAAATAAAAAGAGAACCATCAAAGGCTACGGCAGTGGACTCTAAATGAAACTCCAGAATGCTGATAAAACTATCTACATCAATCCCAGTGGCAGACTGCAACTTCACTAGATTATCATCACCTCCTGACCCTTATTAACAGCTTCGACTTGTCCATAAAGTTACATAAGTCCTTGATGTCTACAGTTGTCACATCGCACCTTCTCCCATGATGCGGATTCAATATTTCAATCAATTGCTCAGAGTTTTTGAGTGACAATGGACTGTTGCTCCACTCCTGTCAGGCATTTCTAGATAAAAACCGACAATACCTTCTGCCAAGCTCAATTTTCGTTCACAACCATTTTAACAATTACAGCAGGATGAGATCGTTACAGTTGTGCTCAAGGTGCAAGGAACGTACGTTCAATCCGGCTCCTGTGGAAAAAAACCGGTTGTAAAGAATGTTGTGTGTGTGCCTTACTACCTTGGAATCTCTCATAACTTTATATCAGTGGCAAAGAGGTTCGGTGTAAATTTAGCTTTCAAAGCTCAGCACAAATTAGAAAGGTTAACCTCGTTTTCGGGTGGTCCTCAGGGGTGCCAGAAAAAAACACGTACACAACACGTGCCGGAACTATTGATGCCGTCCGCCTCAATTATCTCTCCAACCGTCTTATCTTTGTGCCTAGCGAGAACAGTGGAAGAAGCAAATAATGGTTTGCACCTGCAGTCATGCGTGGTTTCAATCGATTTTGCAGAAAAAGAGATAGTGTATTTGCGGTCC